TGGTAGGCAAAAGAGTGACCTCACCCACCAGGATGCCTTGGCGTGGGAGGACCACCCTTCCACGTGTCATCTGGAAGGAGTGTGGGCATCTGCACCGGAAAGCAGAGAAGGGAGCTGAGGCCAAGCCTTCCAGGAAGAGGCAGGGTCAGGGTGTAGGGACGGGTTTAGGGCAGAATCCAGAAGCATCTGCCAAAATGTACACAGTGGTGTATGCAGTGGAATTTTCAATTTGAGAGAGAATTCAACAGAACCAAAGGGACAGGAGATAAACTTCAGCTCCACTCGGGAGGCTGAGGCAGGAGGGTCACTGCAAGTTCGAAACCAGCCCAGGCTACAAAGTGAGCTCAAGGCCAGCCTGAACTGCACAGAGAGACCCTGCCTCAAAAAGACCAAAAAAAAGAAGAAGAAGAAGAAGAAGAAGAAGAAGAAGAAGAAGAAGAAGAAGAAGAAGAAAAAACCTCAACTCCTTGTGGATATTTGTGCCAGGCCCTGGTACCAATGCTCAAGGTGACACAATGGCCTGGGATAACAGCAAGGCTCATTTGTTGCACAACTGACCAGTGAGCAATGACCTTCCTTCCCCCCATGAGGCAGGCTCCTTGCTCCCACGACAGATCGGAACTCAGCACCCCTGAGCCCCTTCCAGGCGAGGCCAGGCCAGGCCAGGGGTCGGGGAGGGCATCTCAGCGTGCTTGGCTTGGCCCTGGCTTTCCTGTTTGTTTCTGGGGAGCCTAGGCATGGCCAGACTTCCCGTGTCTCTTGAGCATTCAAATATTTCTTGGAGTGACCTGGAGGCCAGTCCTGCAGGGCCCTGGACCGCATGGTCAACTGTCGAGTGTCTCCAAGTGGCTCTGGGGACTACTCCTAACTTCTGGTCCTCAGGGAGTGGGACCCGCTGCCAGCTGTGTAGGCGAGGGTCTCTCTCGCCTTGCACCCCCTTAGGAGAATCTAGTGTGGCCCCAGTGCATATCGTGTGCAGCAAAGCCAAGACAGAGCCAGGTGTGAAATGCAGTGCTCAGGAAGCCACTGCCCTGACCACCCTGGTCCTCCACGAAACCAGTGCCCGGTGCCGAGAAAGTTGGGGACTTCTGCTCTTCAGCACTGCAAGGTGCAAAATGTCTGAAGCTTGAGTCTGGGGCTGGCGCAGACGGGTTGGAGGACAGTGCAGTGGGAGGGAGACAGTGTCTGTTTGCGCCTTCCTCTGCCCTGGGGGTCCTTGCTGAAGCAGCACGTGGAGGTGGGGTGCAGCCCAGGCTTCGCTGGGAGGCATCCTAGGTGCAGGATTCTGTCTCTCTGAGCTTCTGATTCCCCATCCGTCACAGGAAGAGGAAATGCTGGCTGCAGGTAGGGGTTGCCTGAGGGGAGACACAAAGGGGCGGGGAGCCTCGCTCAGTTGAGATGGGGTCCCACTTTGCAGTCCAGGCTGGCTTGGAACTCACTATATAGCTCAGGCTGGCCTCACACTCACAGTGATCCTCCTGCCTCAGCCTCCCAAGTGAGTCCCGGTTACAGTGTCACCATGCCTGCCAGGCATTTGCATTTTTTTTTTTTTTGTCTTTTTCCTTTTTATTGGTATGGGGGATCGAACTCGCGACTGAAGGCATTTCCATTTTTATAGTGAACAGATCTGAGGTCTGCAGAAGGACAGCTGGGGTGAGGCAGGGCCTGGGAGGGCCGGGCGCTGAGGCGACAGGTGACCCAAACCAAGATGCGGGGAAGCCTATGGAAGGACCCCTGTGATGGAGGAGCCTCGGGTTCTGATCCAGCCCTGAGGCTGGTCGTGGGTCCCCATGCAGACCCAGGGGACAGCATGGGGTCCCCAGGCTGGGAACAGCAGTGCATGCTGGTTTTAAAAGTGGATGGCTGAGGGCCTGGGGATTTAGCTCAGCGGCATAAGTGCCTGCCTTGTAAGCAGGCAGTCGTGAGTTCGATCCCCAGTACAGATAAAAACGAAAAAGACCAAAAAAAATAAAAAAAATGTGGATGGCTGATGGTGTTTGTGTCTACAAGATGCGGCATGATGGGAAAGGAGACAGGAAGTTAGGGCTCCACGGACACCTTCCCTTCCGAACATAAAGGGAGAACGTGATTTTCCAGAGTTCACAGTTACAGGCTCTTGGAGGTCCAGAGAAGCTTCAGCGTCAGGGCAGAAGCGGTGACATTTAATGTGTCTCCCCTGACCCGCCCGGGACTCCGGGTCTCCTTACTTCTGTTCCATTCCCACAGCTGCACTGTTGGGGAACCCTGGGCACCCAGGTGTACCCTGGTCAGACATCTCTCTTTCTGGAGACACAGTGGGTGAGTGGTAGGTGCCCCCAAGACTCCTTTCTGAGCCTGCTCTGTGCCCTGGGAGCCTGGCCGTGGCCCCGGGGTGGTGGGGCTGTGAAAAGCGTCAGAGGTTACCCCGTTAGCTCCTGTTCCATCACAGGTCATTCTACCAGCTGGGAAAATCAGGCTGGGGTGGGAGGCTCTGCTAGAGGTCACCATACGGTTTCCAGACTCAAACCCCAAAGGCCGCTGACCATGACCCTCAAACCCACGCCTCCACCTGTCCTGGTGACCATTCTGAGGACCGGCCCCTTGCTGTCTCTGGGTCACCTCTGCTCCTGCCTCTGAAGACCAGACTCAGCTTTCTGGCACCTACGAGGGCTGCCCTGTGTACCCCTGGTACGGTGGCCCCTGAACGGGAATGGGGTCACTGCCCGCACCCCTCTCTATGTCCCTGGTGCCTCTGGAAAGGCCCAGCCAGCCTTGGGAGGTGGCTCGTGGTGTGGCCGTGGCCCCCGCGTCTCCCTGCCTGTGCAGTGCTGTCCCTGCTCGCCTGCTTCCCCTCTTGTTTCAGGGCCAGCTCAGGCTCCCTCAGTGGCCTCCGCTGACCTCGCGGGTCAGCCCCTCCTTCCTCTGGGCTCCCAGAGCTCTTGGTAATTCATCCATTAGCACTCAGCTCACTGACTTAGCAGTGTTTGTTTACATGTCTGGGACAGGGCCTTCTGTGTGCTCAGATCGCCCAGGCCCAGGGGCACCTTGGAGAACACGGAGAGCATGGCAGGTACTTTAGGTCCAGCCAGTGTTTGTGCAGTGAATGACCAAAGGACCTGTTTGACCCGCAGGGTCGCCTGCCCTGGCTTCTGTCCGTGGTTTCTTCCTCACAGCTGGGGCCTCTCTTCTGTCTCCAACAGCTGGCCTGGCCCTGCCCAGGCTCTGGGGCAATTGCGGCCCTGGCCAGGGACATTTAAAGAGCCACTGTCCACATGTGACTCCAGGTCACCCAGAACCAGGCTGTGAGTTCCGCTCATGTGGGTCGGGAAGCCTGACTTCTGCGGACGCCAGCTCCCTGGGACACAGTGTCCCCAGGACCTGGCCCCAGTGTGGGACTGCACCCTCCTCACGGCCGGTCCCTGGCTTTCTAGCACCTGCTGCTCTGCCGTGTGCCTGGTCCTGGGCTCTGCTGCCATAGAGTTTGTCACCCCAGTCAACCAACGAAGTTGCAGCTGGCAGGAGGACTGAGGGCAGGGGGTTTCAGGGCAAAGGTGTCCCAGGGCAGGGGCAGTGGAGAGGGGAGGGAAGGGAGAAGGTGGGGCCTTCTTCCTGATGAAGACTGCAGGGCAGGGGCTGGAGGAGTCACCCCTTCCCATGGGTCTAGAGCTGCAGCCTGGTCTGTGGGGCCCCTGTCTCTCTGCACCCCGGGAGGGACTGAAGTCTTTCACAGGACTTTTTGTTTTTGTACTGGGTATGGAACCCAGGACCTGTATTACTGAGTTGCGTGCCCAGCCCTAGAGACAGATCTAAGGTACCCAGGAAGGACTTGAACCTGGGATCCTCCTGCCTCAGCCTCCCAAGCTGGAATTACAGGTGTGCCACCATGCCAGCCTCTCACATGACAAAGTCAGGCATGCCAGCAAAAGCAGTGTTGTGTGTGTGTGTGTGTGTGTGTGTGTGTGCAGACTGGAGAGTGAACCCAGGGCCTTTGCACTGAGCTATGTTCCCAGCTCTTTAAAAATATTAAAAAAAAAATTTAGACAGGATCTTGCTCTGATCTTATGTAGCCCAGGCTGGGCTCAAATTTGAGTCTCTTGTCTCAGCCTCCCAGAGGGCTGGGTGACAGGTGAGTGAGCACCTGCAGCATTACTGAGACACTGCCAGAAGCCAAAGACATGGTTGGAAACTGGGGGTGCAAGACACAACCCCGCTGCCAGGTACCCTGGATCCCAGGCCAGTGGGAAGAGGAGCCCAGGGCCCAGAGCACTGCAGAGAGGGCAGCTGGAGGGCAGAGGGCCAGCTGACCAGTCAGATGGCTAGGTGGCAATGTTGTGTAGGGGACCCCGACCCAGGCCCAGGCAGCGCTCGCCCTGCACCTTCCCCTGCCATCCACAGTGCGGGTGAGGTGGGTGGACAGAGGGTGCCCAAGTCCTTGGCTGCTCCAGGGACCCATGATGAGGTCTGGTCACACTTAGGGTGCAGCAGGACTTAGAACTTGGGGTCTTTCTAGATCCAGTTTCTGTGTGGGCACGTGAGGTCACCTCTGAGCGTCAGTTTGCTCCTCTGCAACCTGGATTTGGTGGCCGCGTCTCCCCCTGGGGTTGCAGCGAGCGCCCAGAACCCGGCGGGAGGGAGCGCGGCCCGATTATCCGGGCCCGGACTCGGCTTCGAGGTTCTGGAAGGAAGGGGGCGGGTGGAGCGCGGGCTGGCGCAGGGACCGACAGCTCAGCCGCCCGGCCAGGCGGGGTGACAGCCGTCGCGTCGCGCCCTCCCGCCCCCGCGTGGGCGCGCAGGTGTCCGCCGCTCCCCGCCCTGGCCAGGCCCCCCCTCCCCCGCCGCGTCCTCCCCTAACCCCGGTTGGACGGGAGCGCAGGGCTGGGAACGTTTGAGTCACGGTGGGGGAGCGGCGGAGGCGGGCCCGTGACCCTGAGCGCGACGGGGAGGACCAGGAGCCGCCTCGGGCTCCCTGCAGCCGGAGCCTCCGCGCGCCCCGTCCCGCGCCCCGCGCGCCCCGCAGCAGCGCCGTGCTCTCCAGGATGCCCGGGGCGCCGCTCCTGCGGCTGCTGGCGGCCGCGGTGGCCGTCTGCGTCTCCGTGGCTGGGGCGGCGCTGCACTCCCCCAAGGGGGGCGCCACCCTGGCCTTCGTCTTCGATGTCACCGGCTCCATGTGGGACGACCTGATGCAGGTGATGGACGGCGCCGCGCGCATCCTGGAGCGGACCCTGAGCCGCAGCCAGGCGGTGGCCAACTACGCGCTGGTGCCCTTCCACGACCCAGGTAACCGCGGCCCCGCAGCTTCCCGCCGCCGCGCCCCTGCGCCCTGGGCTCACCTGCACTGGGGTACGGGACCCCGCACCTGGCGCTGCTAGGACCCGGGCGTGAGGCCCCCGCTGGCGCCGTCAGGTTATTGGCTCCGCCGGGACCCCAGCCCCGCACCCCAGCTCCGGCTCTGGCTGTGAAACGCCGCTGGTTGGGTCTTTGCCGTTTACTTTTGTGATTTCTTAGAATCCGCTCCCAGCTTGGGCGCTGAAGGCCAGAACGGAGCCCAAAGGCAGGGTCCCTGCGACGAGGGGCGCACCGTGGAAGCGTAGGGGTGACCCTCACCCTACCACTTCGGTCCCCTGCCGTCTTAGGGACACGGCAGCTTCCGCAAAGCAAGCGCGGCGCCCACCTGCTAGCTCGTTCCCTGTAGGCAGGGCCCCGCTGTCCCCGGAGCCCCTTTGCACGGCTCAGTGCTGTGCATGCCCTTGAATCGTTGAATCGGTCCTGGGGGCCCTGTAGGGAGAGTTCCTGCTGCAGCGGCTCTGGCTTGGAGCACACGTCAGCCAGAGCCGGGGACGGGTCCTCCCCACACTCTTTTTTGCGACACGATCTCACTGTGCAGTTCAGGCAGGCTTTGCGCTCACTTTGTAGCCCAGGCTGATCCCGAATTTGCAAGGATCCTCCTGCCTCAGCCTGCTGAGTGAGGGATTATAGGCGTGCGCCTCCACGCCTGCGTTGCCCTCATTCTTTTCATAACAGAAAATTTCAAATTTAGAACAGAGAACAGTACAGCGAACACCTGCATGCCCGGCGCCTGGGTCCCCTGATTTATTCTGTGCTCTATCGCCTTTCCCCACCCACCCACCCCTCTAAGCAGAAGGAGAGCTTTAAAAGGAAAAAAATTCAAAGCAGATTCTTTGCGTGATTGAACGGCGAAGTCGTTGGTGCTGAGGAGTTGCACCCAGCAGCCGCTTTTGGAGAGTGTGCGTCTGTTAATCCCAGCGTCTTTCGTCCTTAGGGTGGCTGGAAGCTGCCATGCAGTCCCCAGGTGAAGGCGTTGGCTTGGGACCTTGGGGTCCTTCTGCTTCCAGAAGCTCTGGGCTCCCCAGGCCTCTGCAGTTCAAAGCCCAGAAGTGAGGGCTCCCGAAAGAGCCCTCCCCCACTGAGGCAAAGAGCTGGGGCGCTGCCAGGAGCTGGCCTGTGACTGTGTCCTGCAACTTCAGCAGGAACTCCGTCGCCCTCCACCTGGATTGTCCTGGAGCTTTCCAGAACCTCACACTGAGGGAGGTGGGGGTCCCGGGATTCACCCCTTTTACCTGACAGTGGAGAAGCCGCGGCTTGGGGCAGCACTGAGTCCTCCCCAAGGTCACTGCCAAGTGACACCACTCCTGACCCCTAAGCTGAATTTGTCTCTGAAATGCCTGACTGTCGGGTAGGAGCCAGAGAGCCATCCTCAGGCCTAGGACAGGGCTCCCCAGGGTCACCTTCCTTCCTCCTCTGTGCCCCACCTCTGGGGAGCCCTCCAAGCACCCATGCCTTCTCCCCTCTGCCTCCACTCCGTCTCTTCCCTGGTTCCTCATGTCATACTCCCTGGAGACACCCCAGGTTTCTGAAGAGGGGGCTCCCCCTCAGCTGTGAGGGGAGCCCAGTGAGGAAGGGGGCCGGGGGCAAGCTCTCTGGGGACACAGTGTGGCAGGAGGGCCAGGAATACAAGCCAAGCCCGATGTGTTGATGCACACCTGTCATCCCAGCACTCTGGGTGGCTGAGGCAGGAGGTTATAATGTTGAGCTCAGCCTGGGCAACTTAGCAAGATTCTCTCAAAATGAAAAGTAAAAAGGGCTGTGGATGTAGCTTAGTGTGAAGGCCCGGGGTTCATTCCTCTGTACCCCGCCCCCAGGCACACAAGAGAAGGAAAGAAAGAAAAGAAGCCAAGCAAAGGAATGTTTTCTGGGGTTGGACCAATACCTGGCGGGTGCTTGGTGCCGGGATCTGGTTGGGACAGAGGACTTGCTGGGCTGCGGGGAGCTGGCTGGGCAGTAGCTGGAGGACAGCCTGGCATGGGGGACAGGTGCATGGGCCTGTGGGTAGGAGAGGAGAGGAGAGGAGAGGAGAGGAGAGGAGAGGAGAGGAGAGGGCGACAGCCTGGGGTTGAGGTCCTTGCACTTCCTGCTGTGGGTTCTGATCTTGGCTGTGAGCAGCAACATGAGTTGGCTGCATCTTTGGGGTCAGCAAATGGGGCTCCCTTCCGTGCAAAAGGTGCTTGAAAAATCAGCTTTCTTGTTGGCAGGGCTGGAGTCTACAGGCTGCAAGGGCTTTGTTAGAGGGTGGGCCTAGGGCTGGGAGCGGTGGTTCAGATCCCAGAGGTTTGGCAGCAAAGGAGGACCTGTGTTTGGAAATGCTGTTAATAACTTTTCCTATGTTTCATTTTTTTTTTTTTTGTCTTTTTCCTTTTTATCGGTACCAGGGATCGAACTCACGACTGCCTGCTTGCAAGGCAGGTGCTTATGCTGCTGAGCTAAATCCCCAGCCCTACTATGTTTCATTTTTAAAGTCAGGGTCTCAATATGTAGCTCAGGCTGGCCTCAAATGCATGGCAATCCTCCTGACTCAGCCTCCCAAGTGCTGGAGCTTCAGATGTGTGCCACCATGCTTGGTGATTTTCAATGATTTTTAAATGCAAAATGTGGTATGTTTCCAGAGATGAAAAATTAACGAAATTCACAGCCAGTTCATTTGGTTAGAAATTTAGATTGCATTGGGGTTTTCCGTGGTGAGACATTGCTAACAACACTCCTGGAGGTCCAGCTTCGTCTTCGATGGTTCTGCTGGAGGAATAAGTCTCTGCAGTGGAAGTGCTGGGCCAGTTTTAACAATTAATACAGCGCTGAGCCAAGACCTCCCCTGGGGGCACCTGGGGTCCCTTCTGGGGCAGCTCCATTTTACACAGGGAGTTGGAGGATGTGGTTCTTCCCTGAGTTCAAAGGACAGAAAATCATGTCCTCTGATTCCATCGGTGGTGAGGCCGGGGTGGCTTCGTCTCTCTTCCATGACAGTTGCTTCCGCCCAGCTCTTTTGGTGATTTTCAGTTTCTTTGCTGACTTTTCTTTTTTGGGGGAGCGGGGAGGGTCTCGCTCTGCTGCCCCGGCTTGCCCTGAACTCACCTTGATCCTCCTGCCTCAGCCTCCCAGGGGCTGGGATGAGAGGCGTGCACTGCCATAGCTGGCCTGGCTGATTTTTCTGCTGGGGTTTGACTGTTTTCTTTTCAAGGCTGTGTGTCATGGGTGTGAATCCTTTTGTTTTGTGGTTAGTAATTTTCTTGGTTGTTTGCTTCAGTGTGGCTTTGGTTTCTTTCTTTCTTTCTTTCTTTTACTTTTTAAAGATTTTATTTTGGAAAAAAATTTAAAAAATTTTTTGTACTGGGAGTTGAATTCAGGACCTTGTGCTTGCCAGGCAGGCGCTTGTACCACTGAACTAAATCCCCAGTGAAAAAAACATTTTTAAAATTGTGTTGTTTTTAAAATTTTCTTTTTGGCTTTTGTTTTCTGATTGTTCAGAGATTTTAAGTGTCTGTATGGCAAAATTTCTTTTTTTCCCTTTCATGATTTTTCACATGCGTGTGTAAGAAAGCGTATTTTATTTTTCTGTCATGAAGTCAGATGTTCTAGATTTTCTGTTTTCTCTATTTGCTTTTAATCTTTTCACACAGAGCTTTTAAAAAATGTATTAAAAGTCTAATGTAATTCTTCTTGAACAGTATAAGTAATTGTTCGGGTGTATTTTTATTGAATAATCCTTTCCCCCATCACTTGGCTCCTATTTTAATGCAAATTACTTTATGGATTAGGATCTCAGCTGGACTCCATTCTGTTCCGAATGGCGATGCTGGTGCCAGGAACACATACAGATCATCAGTCTCCTCTCCCCTCCCCTCCCCTCCCCTCCCCTCCCCTCCCCTCCCCTCCCCTCCCCTCCCCTCCTTCTTTTTTTTTCTTTTTGAGACAGGGTCTCACCACACAGTTCAGGCTGGCCTTGAGCTCATTCTGTAGCCCAGGCTGGTCTCGAACTTGCAGTGATCCTCCTGCCTCAGCCTCCTGTGCTGGGATTACCTGTGTGTGTCACCCATACCTGGCCTTTGGTTAGTTTTTAAACGAACTTTGGAGGGTAATTTTTTTTGTTTCCACCCAGACCCCTGTGCCTTTACCTATCGTGTCTCTGAAGCACTTTGGGTGGGCTCTTTCCAACACCCTGGCTCTGAGGGGTTCTGGTCAGGCTTCTGATCCCTCTCTGTGACTCCCCTGATGGGTTTCTCCGGTTCAGTATAGAAACGCAGGCCCCTGCTGGCTGCGCCTGGGGGATGCTCCCTGCTGGGCACACACCTGCATGGGTGGTGACTGTCACGATATCCCTTCCCACACCACAGCGCACCCCTAGACAGACGTCACTGCCCACAGCCCATGCTGGCAGCACTGGGTACCACACATCCCGGGCTGTGCGGGGGCAGGTCCCCCTGCGGGCCGCAGCTGCCCCTGCTCCCGCGCTTTCTCCGCTTTCTCTGTGGCAGCCCAGGGCCACAGCCACTTAGCTCCCCCTTCGGGTTCGCATCCAAGGCTCCCCTGTTTATTTTCTGCCTCGGATTCCTCAGGCTTTGGTCATTGGCTGCTGGCCAGCTGGCTACGGCTGCCCTCTGACGTACTCCCTTTTGGGATCCAGGAAGTTTTGAAGAAACTATTTTTATTTACTCTTTATCTCTGAGTGTTTTCTGGCTTCCTGGCCCAGCAGGCCGCCGGGCTCATCTTCTGTCTGGTCTGGCCTGGGATCAGCCCTTTCTCCAAGAGCCTGATGTCTTTCCTGGAGCTTGGTGTGAGCTCCAGGAGGAGGGCTCGGTGTGCAGGACACAGGACTTCTAGATGCCCCACAGCTGCACAGGAGGAGGTGCACTGTGACCGAAACCCGTGTGTTCCCGGGGCTGTGGTGCCTCTAGATGTCACCGACTGTGATGGTCCCTGCGGTCATCTCCAGCTCCAAATCGTTACCAAGTGGCTGCTGCTAACCTGTCCCGCCTGGGGAGCCAGGCTTGTGTTCTTATCTACAGCGCCAGACCCAGCCCTGCTGTGGCAGGGACTTAGCAGTGGTTTTGGGACCATTGCCCTCGGGCCGTGGGAAGCAGCCTCGGTTCCCCAGGCTCGTGCATTTTCAGTGTTGCTGAGACAGTGCTTTATTCTTTGTCTGGCGCTGGGGACCGAGCCCACGGCCTTTGTGTGCTAAACCTCTTGTCTACCTTTCCATGCATATTCCTTATCTTCAAATTATGCTTGAAATTCTTCTTTCAGGTGAAACCTAAGAGCAGGGTGTGGTGGTGCACACCTGTCTTCCCAGCATTTGGAGGCCGAGGCAGGAGGATCGGGAGTTTGAGGCCAGCCTGGGCTACCAAGAGAGACCCTGTCTGCACAAACAGCAAAACAAACAAGCCAAAATCCATCCCCTCCAAAAAAAATCCTACTATAATTTGGCTTGGATTTTCATTAACATTTCTTATGGGGAAGAATTACTGTTTTAAAAATTAATTTTTAGATGAAGACAAGATCCTTTCTCTGTTCACAGATTTGTTTCCTTTAGTAAAGATTTATGATTTTATTCTTTTTCTTCAGTAATTTTGTTTTCTTGTGCTTCACAGGGATCAAACTGGCAGCCTCCCCCTAGCCAGGCAGGCGGTGCCTCGGAGCTCAGCCCCTGCCCCGGGATTTTATTTGTATGTGTTCTGTCCGTTTCACTTGAAGATCATTTCTAAAGTGTTTGTTTTTTGCTACTCTTTTACTCAAGATTTTTTTCTGTTACATCTTTTTGCAAATGAGTATTGCTAGCGTGTTGGAAACTGATTTGAATTCATATATTTCTTTTCTTTCCAACATTTTTATAGAAGTGTTTTTTAAAACTATTTTTTGGGTGAGTTCTCCAGGCTGACGGCCACAGCTTGTCTGAATTATAGCTGTGTCTCCTCCTCTCCAGTTAAATGTTTCTCCTATCTTAGATACCCCGCATCCCTTCTCAGCGAGAACTTTCAGGGCTCGGCCAAGGCCTGGTGTTGGCTGGGGTCTTTCTTGTCTCCTTTAAGGCTTCACACCATTTAGACTAGTGCTCACTTTTATTTTGTTCTTGTGGTGCTGTGGGGAACCAGGGTCCCCCACATGCTAGGCAAGTGCTCCCCGCTGAGCAGCCCTGCGCTGCTGGTTTTTTCCTTTTTTTCTTCCTTTTGAGACAAGGTCTCGATGTGCAGTTCAGGCTGGCCTTGAGCTCATTTTGTAGCCCAGGTTGGTCTTGAACTTGCAGCGATCCTCCTGTGTCAGCCTCCTGAATGCTGGGATGACAGGAATGTGCCACCATGCCTGGCTGCTGCTGGTTTTTACTTTGAGGTTTTTGTCAACCAAGGAAAGACCAAAAAAAAAAAAAAAAAAACTTTCTCTTTTTGTTTTCAACCCAGGACCTTGCACTTTCCAGGCAGATGCTGTGCTGCTGTGCCCCTGCCCCTAAGCCTGCAAGTGCCTATGTGTGCGTGCGTGTGTTCCTCCACTCCCCTTGTCCACACCTTCAACTTGAACAATTACAGCACAAAGAGCATTTTGCAGCCCCACCCCACACTGCACATGGCTGCCTTTCCGGGGATGCATGGTCTTGTGGGGCTTTGTTCCTCCCTGTCTGCAGGCCCACAATGGCCCAGCCCCCATCCCCAGGGGAGCTGCTGCAGCCACCGAACAGCTTCTCCTTCTCTCCCTGTCTCCCTCCCCTCCTGTCCCATCCCTCCTCTTTCTGCTGGCCCCTTCCCATCCCCTTGCCTCCTGTTCTCTGCCTTTTTTGCTCTTTAATTTATTTAGAGATGCTGAGCTGCTCAGGGGGAGTCACTGGCTGTGTCCACACATCCAGTGATATGTGAGCTGGGACACCTTGGGCTCGGGCTGTGTGTGTTTTATTTATTTACATGTTGTGAGACAGTGTCTTGCTATGTAGTTCAAACTGGCCTTGAATTCATTATGTAGTCTGGGCTGGCTTCAAAATTGTGATCCTCCTGCCTCAGCCTCTGGAGCATTCAAGTTATAGGCGTGGGCCAAGACACAGGGCCAGGCTGCTGTGCTTTGGAGCTGTGTGTGTGCCTGTGTGTATGTATACATGTACATGAGTGTGCGCACATGTGTGGTCTTCACTGCACCCCTGGGCGACCTTGCTGTCACCCAGCTCCTTATGGTGAAGTAGGGGTGTCCAAAGAGTCCCATCGCCATGAGTTTGCAGCCATGAGTACCAGCAGCTGCACTGGCTCAGACCCCAGCTCAGGAACTGGGCATTCAAGCAGCTTGATGTTGCCCTCTGAGGCCCCTGGTGGCTTGAGAGGAGGAAACTGAGTCTTGGAGAGGGCGGTGTGGGCACAGCAGGACACCTTGAGGAGGCGGTGGATGTCCAGAGCTGGGATGCAAACCCCACTTTGAGGAGGAGGAGGGGGAGGAGTGTGAGCAGGGAGTGGCGGGACCCCGAGGGCTTGGCCCAGGTGTGGCTGTCCCCCACAGGGACCCTCGAGCTGGCCTAGCTGGTCACAAGGTCGGCCACTGTGCCTTCAGGAGCTCTTCACATGTCCTGGGCCCCCGGGTGGCTGCGCAGCCTCCTCTGGCCCAGTGGAAAATCCCCCTAAGGAGAGATGGGGCCAGGCTCCGGGGCTCCTCTTTGGGAGGCCGGCTGGAGAGGCACCAGGGTCTGTCTGGGCTTCATTGTCTCTGCTGCCGGCCAGCCACATCTGCCCAGCTGTTTGGCAAGAGGTCGCCTCTGGTAACAAAGCTCCCTTGGGTCAGGGACCGGGGACTGGGGACTGAGAAGTGATGCCATTTTGGTGATGGTGACCACTGCTTCTCCGTTGCTCTCAGTGACATGGAGGTGACGAGGTGACAGGCAGGAGGCCTCCCAGGTAGCTTTGGGGCATTGATGAGTGAACACTTCTCAGATGCTCAGGGGGAACCTAGTACCTTGGCAGATCACAAACAGTGGTAGTAGCCGTCCCCTCCCCTCCTCGCTGTCCCCCTCATGCTGGTGTTGGTGGTGCAGACGGTGGTGGGGCTTGGGCTTAGGGCCAAGCAAATAGTGTGGCTCAGAATCCCATCCTGCTGTGACCTCAGTGGACCTGTGTGGACACAGGGTCCTGACTGACGGAGGGGGTGCAGCCTGCTGGCATGAGAGGAGCCTTTCCTGTGGCATCGAGGTGTCCCAGTGGGAAGAGCGGGAGGCAGGGGACAGGAGGGAGGTGACAGTGACACCTCCCAGGTCACCAGAGCCTGGAGCTCGCCCTCCCCAGAGCCATCCCATTGGGATTGGCGGTGGCCGGACTGCTCTCCGGCCTCCAGGGCTGTGAGTAGACTTTCTTTTCTTTCTTTTCTTTCTTTCTTTCTTTCTTTCTTTCTTTCTTTCTTTCTTTCTTTCTTTCTTTCTCTTTGAGACAGGCTTTCCCTCTGCAGTTCAAGTTCAGGCTGGCCTCAGGCTCATTATGTAGCCCAGACTGGTCTTGAATTTGTAAGGATCCTCCTGCCTCAGCCTCCTGAGTGCTGGGATTACAGGCGTGCACCACCACGCACAGCCATGTGTCTTTGTCTTTCTTTTGAACCGAGAGTGGGAGTGGGTGGAGCTGGAAGGGAGGATCCTCTTGGGGGAGTCTTGGTCAGTAACTGTTGGGGCCCGCAGCTGGGAAGGGGGACAGGGCTTACCCTTTGCTCTGTCTCTGAACTTCCCAGAGCTCCCGGCCCAGCTGGACCTCTGTTCCCACAGATATCGGCCCAGTGACGCTCACAGCGGATCCGGTGGTTTTCCAGAAGGAGCTGCGAGACCTCTACGTGCAGGTGGCTGCCCCCGCCCCTGGCTGCTGGCCTTCGTTCATGTTCTTCTTGGTCCATGATGGAAACCAAGTCTTTGCACCACCAGGGGAGCCATGATGGCAGCTTCCTCCCCAGCGCTTCCTCTGCGCTCCAGCTTGGGGACCCTGGAGAGCTGCACAGGATGGGCTCCTGGCCTCCCAGCCCTGTGCCGGCACCTTATTACTCTGTGAATGAACTCAGAGGGAGGGAGCCGAGGAGGCCGAGCTGGCGCTCACAGTGAAAACCCTGCGAGGGTTTTTCTGCTGAAAACCCTGCGAGCTTCTCCTGTAACTGCCAGCTGGGAGTGCAAGCTGGGGCCGGCGCCGGTGTCCCCACAGGGCGCTCTGTCTGCTGGGCAGAGCGGGCAGTGTGCAGGCTTCCTTGGGGCTGATGCCAGGCAGTTGCAGAGAGGATTTGGGAGGTGGCGGGTCTGCTTTCCTCTGCGCCTTTACCCGTGCAGCTGCGGGCATCCAGCGGCGTCCTGGGGCTGTGTGCCAGCTGTTCCCGTGCCCCCGAGCCCCGAGCACTCACTACACTGGTGGTTAAATCCTTGGGTGAGGCTTCATCGTGTCACATCAGCCTCCCGAGCCAGAGTCCACGGGCTGGGACCGGGTCACTCTGCACGGCAATGTGTGGCATGAGACTTGTCTGCAGCTGGGGCAGGTCGAATGCTGCATTCATTGCTCTTGGGGCAGGAGAGGCGGGTGCGATAGCTGAGCCTGAGTGCAGGGCGCCAAGGCCTCTCATGGGGACCCAGCTCCCCTTGGTTCCAGAGCCGCCTCCAGGTGGCAGCTGCTGACACACCCTCTCTCCAGGGAGGCGGTGACTGCCCAGAGATGAGCGTGGGGGCCATCAAGGCCGCTGTGGAGGTGGCCAACCCCGGCTCCTTCATCTACGTCTTCTCGGATGCCCGCGCCAAGGACCATCACCGGAAGGATGAGCTCCTGCAGCTCCTGCAGCTGAAGCAGTCACAGGTGAGCGAGGCAGGGGCCCCAGTCTGGGGACCCTGATGGGGCTCTTGCCCTCCTGCCAACCCTGCTTCTGACCTACCCTACCACCCGCTTCCTGTGCTCCTGCCTGAGTCTGCCCATTGGTCTTCGGGGGCCGCTGGGGCACGAGATGGCTGGACTCACCCCTGGCCGCTCCATCCGGCGGGAGGTAGCTCAGGGCAGACCCGAGACAGGCTGCACGTCCATCTTCCAGGTGGTCTTTGTGCTGACGGGTGACTGTGGTGACCGTGCCCATCCTGGCTACCTGGCCTACGAGGAGATCGCCTCCACCAGCTCCGGGCAGGTGTTCCACCTGGACAAGCAGCAGGTGGCGGAGGTCAGTGCGGGTCTGCGCCCGGTGGCTGAGCAGCAGCCAGGGCTAAGAGGTGCTGAGCGCCCCTCACACTGTGGTTGGCGCAGGGGCGTTCTGGTGGCTGTTATGGTCTCCCCCGACTTCCCACCCAGCCTGAAGCGGATGCTTTGGGTTTTCTGGGCAAAACAATTTGCAGGTACAGAGACTGAGGCCTCACTGGGCGTGGTGCCTCAGCCTGTCATTGGGGTACTCTGGGAAGCTGAGGCAGAAAGATCTCAAGTTCACACGCAGCCTGAGAATCTCAAGAACACCTTGTCTTGAAATTAGAAAGAAAAAAAATACATGGTCTGGGGGAGGGCATGGCGCTGAAGTTTTGGCCCAGTGCAGGGCCTTGGGCTCCGTCCTAACTGCATCTGGCAGGAGTGTGGGTGTGGGGCTTCTTCCAAGCTTCTCCCCAGAGCCTGGGAACCCGAGGTGGGTGGAAGAGAGGGAGCTGCCAGCCACAGGCTGTGTTGTTGGGGATCCAGCCCTGTGGCCTTAGGGACCACTATCCCATTCCTGGGCCACCCGCCCAGTCCTCTGCAGGCCTCTGGGGCTGCTTTTTCCACATCCTATTGCGTCCCTTCCTTCCCGACACCCCACGTCCCCCTGGGCTGCTGGTAACCCTACAATCGGCAGCCACCTTGCTGGGTGCCTGATCCTCTGGTGTCACCCAGCCTGCTACTTCATACGGCCATCAGGATGCCCCAGAGTGTCCTCCACAGACCTGATGCGCTGGCTATGGTCCGATGTCCTCTGTATACCTCATCAGGCCATTGGGCCTCCTGACCGCCTGCCTGTGTCCTCCGCTGCCCACTTCATGGCTTTGCTGGCCTCCACTGGTTCCTCACGTCCCCTCCTCCTCCTTCCCCAGGGCCTTGGCACATGCTGCGGTTCTTCCTGCTCTGCCTGTCCGGCTCCTCTCACCCTCCCACCACCCGAAAGAGGCCATCCTCGATTTCCTGTAGACACCAAGTCTCCTCTCCTCCTCTCTCCCACTGCCCACCCTGCTTCATATCTTTGCCATTTTATGCTACCAATGTAGCAGGTGTTGGAGGAATGGCCGGAGTGGACAGTGGACGCTGCTGTGTCCCTGCAGCCCGAGGCTCTGGGAGGAAGGGGAAGGTGTGAGGCCGTGCGCTGCATCCTTATGAGCGGCAGGGAGGGCCGTCCAGAACAGTGTTTAGATTAGTGTGTCTGAGCTCCAGGATGACAGATGGACTTTACAGTTCCCGCAACACATTCAGCTGCGGCTTTGGTGCGTCTATGTCCCCTGGCGCTGAGCCCCAGCGAGGGCGGGAGGCAGCCCGGAGTGGATGGACGGCTTGGGGCTGGCTTTGGGGAGACCTCGCTGCAGAGCCACTGCCTGGGAACTTTGTCCTGCCAGGAGCAGGTCAGACACGAGGTGGCCACTTGTAGGTGTGGAACATACCAGCTCTGTGTGGTGGTCTTTGTTCTGCTGCGGGAGTCTGGTGGGCAACGGGTCTGTGTCTGTGGGGCCCTCGCTAACCTGGACTGGCCACCTCCAGGAGGGGCTGGACCTGCTCCTTCCCGGACACCGAGTCCTGCCATCCCTAGCTTAACGCCTTGGCCCCAGCCCTTTCCAGATGTTTCCCAGACGTGCGGCGAGCCTGGGAATGTGGTGGGGCAGCCAGGGCTGCTGTCCTCCCACCCCCAGGGGACAGCTGTGTCTTCGTGAGGACTCCAGCTGGGAGAGGCCTCCCTAGAAGTGCAGAGGTCCTCAAGCCGTGCTGGGCAGCTCCCATTAGCCCTGCAGGAGTATGCTCTCCGCACTTGTGCAGCACAGCCTTAGGAGATGGGCAGAGCAGAGCCCAGTCCAGGGCAGGCCTCCTGCTCCAGCACACGTCCGTGCTGTTCCCAGCTGTGGTGGTAGCCACTGGGTCCCAGGTGCCCTGTTTAGAGTTCCAGGATAACTAAGGGGAGGTGGAGGCCAGGCTGTCAGCTTCGCACAGACAGGGAACCATGCTGGAGACCGGCAATGTGGCCTCCAGTCCTGTCCCAAGGTGTGCATTCAGGGTGGAGATTTAGGGAGGACCCAGAGTTGACCCTGGACCCTGCCTGGCACACCTGGCTCAGTGTGCGGTCACGGGGAGAGGGCAGCAGGTGGGGGCAGGAGAGCCGGCACACCCATCACTGCCGCAGCCCCTGCTCCCGCCTGGGAAAGCTTGGCTCTTCTAGGAGAGCTCGGGCTTCTCACTGTTCCCCATTTCCCGGCTCAGCATGGCCAGTTCTGGGGGCTGGGACCTTTCAGGACCCAGCAGGACAGGCGTGATGAGAAGCTGCCCCAGCTCTACACATTGAGAGGCGACTATTTCCTAGGCCAGGTGGGGGAGGGGCGGCTCCCAGCAGGTGGTTCTGATTAAGGGACCAGGAAGAGCCCAGCTGACCTCATCCTGGAACCTTCCGGGGCAGGCAGCATGGAATGGTTGAGGCCTGGGTTGGGGACTGGCTTCTGGTCGCAGCTCTGCCCCCTACTTCCTGAGGACCCTTGAGCTGGTGAGCACAGTGGGCCTCGGTTTCCCTGGGGAGGAATGGCCAGGATGGAAGGAGACAGGGGTGAGTTAGCAAAGGCCAAGCTCCCCGAGCTTTTGGGGGAGCCGGAAGGCGGCCTGGCTCCGTGCCAGCCCCTCTGGAGCAGAAGATTTCTCTAGAAAAACTGGGCCTCTGCCTGGAGCGCCCTCCTGGCCAGTGCCAAAGCCCCGGGGCCAGGGTCTCTTGCCGTCCCTCCGTACCAGCTCCTGGGAGCCAGCTCTGATCCTCCGCTCTGAGGCCCGTGCGGCCTCCTGGTCTCCTTCATGCTTCCCCAGCCGCCCTGGCTGTCAAGGGTCCCAGACAAGCCTCTGGGGATGATTTATCTGCTGTGAAGGGCCCAGCGGCAGCCATCTGGCCAGATTCTTGCTCCTTCTCCATTAGTGACCAGGAGAAGAGCTGGGCGCCCTGCGGCCCATTAACATCTGGAAGCCACAGCTTTTGCCAAATAAACACTATGCTTGCTTAAGGGGGAGCCCTGGGGGCAGCACAGCGGCCAGAGGCCTCGTCTCCCAGGCCTGACCCACAGAGCATCTGGTCTTGCTGCGGACAGGAGAGCTGGCCCCGGCCGGTGCTGGTGGCTGTGTGCTCACAAGGCGGCCTCAGTGAGGCAGGGCGTGAGCCTAGGTTTCCGGGCTTCCCCGTGGCTCAGTAGCCGGCCCCGCTGGCCCTCTTTCTCCACCACAACAGCTCCTCATGGCAGCTGTGACACAGCAGCGGGAGTGACCCGACTGGTGATTGTCACTGTGGCAGGCTTCACCACCTGGCCGCTTTGCTCAGTTACGGTTCCCTCCCCATGAGGTCACGGAGCTGCTTCTGGGCTCTCAAGAGGCATCGCCCACCTCACCAGCTTCCATTGGCCTCGCCAGCCGGGGCCCCTTGGCCACAGCTCCTTTCCAGCCCACCCCACCTGGCCCAAGAACCTTGTCCCAATTCCTTGGCCAAGACAGGTGGGACTTTCACAAGAGACACATGGCTTAGAAATCTAGGCAAACGCAAGACTGGAGCAGCTCCAGGTTTCAAAACACTTGAATTTTTATCTTGTGATAATTGAAATTTTGCCATGTATGTTTCAGCTCAGCATGAACAAAACAGGCACTTTCTAAACCTCAGTTTTTCCAGTTCCCTTCTTTCCTCTCTTCTCTTCAATGAAGATCATAAGACAGGCAGAGCTGGAGGATTTAGAGCCAGGGTGGTCAGTAGTTAACATGCAAGACACCACTGTCGAGGGCTACACCCATGGCAGACATTGCTAATCAATCACAGAACGTTTCTGAAGGAGGCTGAGTGTGGTAGTTTTAAAAAAAATTTTATTTAAAGACAAAAAAAAAAAAAAAAGCAAAACAGAAAAAGGGTAGAAATAATACAGAATTCCAAAAAAAAAAAATAAACAGTAAGAAATCACTAGTTGATAAATTACATATTGTCCTCTTAGAAATAGTTGTTTAAGTTACAAAAGTAAAGCATACAAAGTGGACATTCAAACAGCAAGACTGCAAACAGTTCTGTTCAACAATCCAACAAAAACTTAGTAATATGGTTATCAATCCTATACACTTAAATACACGTGCAGTTATATCTTTTAGAGCACTTTCTTTTCCTCTCCTTTTACAACAACAATTACACACTTTGGGTTTTATTACTCCTACATTTCTTATTACTTTTTACACTAGAGACACAATGTGATATTTATAAATATGATTCTTATTTATTTCACTAATGAGGATAGCCTCAAGTTGTCTCCATTTGCCTATGAAGGCCTCAAGACCATCCTTTTTATAACTGAGTAATATTCCACTGTATAAAAATACCACATCTTTTCACCCACTCTGCAGTTGATGAGCATTTTGGTTGTTTCCAAGATTTAGCTCTTACAAATTGTGCTGCTGCTGAGTGTGGTTTTGTGTCTCTCCTTTCCAGTGGGCATTCGAGGAAGCCACTTCCAGTGAAATGGAATTGATGACCACCGCTGTGCTTGCTCCTGTGTGTATTAGGGTTATGGTACATTTGTCATTTAAAATGACTTATTTTAAAAATTACTGTAAAAAATTTCAAAGATATAGAAAAGTAAAAAAGATGTACCTACCAACTAGACAGATTGACTGTTAATGTTTTTGTTCCATTTGTTTTGTCTGTCTGTATACTTATTTTTCCCTTCTTTTTCTTTTTTATTCTGTTTGTTGTTGCTATTGTGGAGTCAATCCCAGGGCCTTCAATGGAGCTACATTTCAAATTTTTAAAAAATTTTTTGGTCTTTTTGAGACAGGTCTCACTGTGCAATCCGGGCCAGTTTTGAGCTCACTAGGGGAGCTCAGGCTGCTCCTGAACTGGCAATGACTCTCCTGCCTCAGCCTCCCACGTGCTGGGATTCCAGGCTTGCATTGCTACCCTGGTCTTCTACACCATGACACCTTTCACATAAATAATTTAGCACGGAGGTTTTCCTTTGTTCTTCCTTTGAATTGAATCTGGAGCCTGCTCCAGCTGGCCACGCCTTCCACTACTGAGCTGCACACTACTGGGCCTAGTTTGTGCAAATGTTTTTTAAAAAGAAAGGATATTATCTATTCTGGCCAAAATAGTACCTAAGAAAATTAACCAGGTTTTCCCAGGAGCATCTGGTACCTGGTCCGTGTTCGAATATCAGTGTCTTTGAGAGCAGTTTTGTCCGGTCGAGACTTTATCACATACCACGCCTTTTGTGGTCTGGCCGTCATGTCCCGAAGTCCTTGTGACTCTGGAATCAGCTGTCCTTCCTTTCTTGGTGACACACAGCTTGTCCAGGGGGCCCTGACTCGGACCACGTCCCATCCCCTGGCCTGAGATCGCTTTGCCTAGCTGAGTGGGTGTCAGGCAGCTCACTTGATGGCTTGGCAGGGAGCACTCCGAGCATCGAGGGATAAAGGCTGCCATGTCACCCGCTGAGGCCAAGGCTGAGTTTGATCGGCAGCCTTTGTTCCTGTCACGCTGTGACTCAGGCTGTCCTCAGGACGGCTGCCGCCCCGAGGGGACATCCACCCGAGGAGCCCGGCCTGGAACAGTGACTTCACGAGGGTTGCACAATAATGGTTCCTCCGAGTCTCGGCCCTCGCATATGTGCGGCGGGCGCTCTTCCAGGGGTGACCTGGCTTTTCTGAGGCTCGGTTCCCATTGGAAACGCAGAGCCTTGCTGAGCCCTGTCTGGAATTAGGAGGTCGCTTGCCGTGGGCACTGGCGAGGTTTTACTGCTCGGAGGTTTCTCTCTCTCCCAGGTGCCTTTAGGGGACCGGCTTATGTAGTTCCGTGGTTTCGGTGGTCTTCTCTTTCTGGGCTCCAGCGACTCCAGATTTAGCCATCGAGAGTGACTTGGGCTGCTGCCCTAGTCCCTTTGCTCTGTCCGCATCTGTCTTTGATGTCTCTTGTGGAATAACTCATTCTCCTGGGCTGGCCTCACAGCCCCTGGGGGAGCTCCGGCGGGTGGGGTGTTTAAAATGAATGTGGGTGTTAGGGGCCCCCACTGGTACTGGGATTTGTGGGTGACTCTCCTGACCTGCCTGCCCGTCTGCCTCCCTATAATTTATCTGTCATAATTCTTTACCTGTTTATCGTACCTGTCACCTGTATCCATCCCTTATCATCTATCTACCAATCATCTGTATCTATATCTGTGTCTTATGTCATCTATATTTATCTTTCTTTCTATTTGCCTATTTATATTGATTTTTGCAATTCACATTTCACATTGCAGATTTTTTTTTTATTTGACTGTAAACCTGCAACTCTCTCTTACATTTTGCTATAAGAGAAACATATTGATTCAGAAAATATAGGCAGCAGCAGGGTGTGGTGGTGCACCCCTATAAATACAGCACTCAGGAGGCTGAGGCAGGTCGATTTCGAGGTTGAGTCCAAGCCTGAGCCACACTGTGAGTCTGAGGCCTGGGTGGGATAGATAGTGAGACTCTGTCACAAACAAGCAAAATTATTCTATGGATCATCCTTCCAACTTCAAACTACTGAGTACTATTTATATTTCTTTGCAATTTTTTTTGTTCAGAGTCAGATAAACTAAGTAAAAAAAAAAAAAACAGTGTGAAATTTGAATTGGGAATATCAGTGTAAACCAGAGAGCGAGGTGAATAAAAGAAGGGAGGAAGGGGTGGCGGGGTGGGAAGGGTCTCAGGCAGAGGACTGTGAGCTGCTCCCTGCCCTCCCCCAGCCGAGGCCCCTGGTGCCCTTGATTCAGGTCAAGAGGGCGCCCCAAGAGTGAGCCCGAGTCCAGCCTGTTGCAGGAGGGTGGGGAGTGGGTGGGCGCAAGCGCCCTGGAGAGGGCCTGTGTGTCACCTGAATTTCATGTGGGCTGACACAACTCGCAGCTAGCTGGGGACCGGCCTGACGCCGGGGCACGCATCCCACAGGTGCTGAAGTGGGTGGAGTCGGCGGTCCAGGCCTCCAAGGTGCACCTGCTGTCCACGGACCATGAGGCGGGGGGCGAGCACACGTGGAGGCTGCCTTTGGACCCCAGCCTCAAGGAGGTCACCATCTCCCTGAGTGGGCCAGGGCCCGAGATCGAGGTCCGAGATCCGCTGGGTATGCGCTGCCCTGGGGCTGGCCCTCTGGGGGCCCTGTGACGGAGTCGGGGTCCTGGGATGGGACAAGGGCACAGACCCTGGGCAGCCAGGGGCTCAGACCCACGGCTTGGCGGGTAATGGGGTAGGGGGTGTGGGGAGCAGAGAGGAGCTGGAGGAAGGGGGAAGGCACGGATTAACATTGGCGCCTCCCTGTCCTCAGCCTCCAGGGAGCCTGGGGCCCTGTTAGTGGGTGGTGGTGGGGGTTGGCACCCCAGGACTGGGTTGGGGACTGAACAGGACTTGGGCTTCCGCAGGGAGGATCCTCCAGAAGGACGAGGGTCTCAAGGTGCTGCTCAGCATCCCTGACTCAGCCAAGGTGGTGGCCTTTAAGCCCAAGCACCCTGGGCTGTGGTCCATCAAGGTAGGGACCTTGGCACGGGATGGAGGTAGAGAGCAGCTTCTGGAGCTGGACTGGCCTCTTCCTGGGGCTCCCTGGGGAAGATGGGGGCTGTTGCCATGGCAATGGGGGTGCAAGTCCAAGGATGAGGGGAACTCTGCTTGCAGAGGAAGCAGAGTGGTTTGGGGCTAACATGGGAGCAGTCGAGGCCTTGGAGAGGCCGCTTCAGTGTTCTGAGGAGCTGTCCAAGCTGGTATGGGCTTGAACCCGAGGAGTGTGTAAAAGTGGACAGGGACTCTGTGGGGGATGGCAGGGAGTCCACAGGAGGCTGCAAGCCAGGGTCTGCAGGCTGCCTCGGGCTTGCATAGCATACCAGGATGAAGCAGGCTGCAGCCTTAGGATGGCGTGACGCCTGCTGCTGGACGTTCCCTGGGCACCCACTGGGCCCAGGCCTGCAGTAGGGAGCAGAGGAAGGGAGGCACGGACCCCTCCCCGCCTTCAGACGTTTGAGCATCTTTGAGCCTTGAGCTCTAACACCATAGCAATGGACGGTGAGGAGGAGTTGGAGGCGCAGGGCAGACAGGGTCTGCAGAGGTCGGGGGCCTGGGGGCTGAGAGGAAGAGTGGCTTTGAGACAGAGAGACACAGGGAGGGAGGGAGAGAGAAAGAGAGAGAGAGAGAGAGAGAGAGAGAGAGAGAGAGAGAGAGAGAGCGCTCAGCTGCCAGCAGCGAGAGGGCTCCTGTGCTGGGGGCAGGTGAGCTGCAGCATCCACAAAGCAGGAGATCCTCAGTGGCTGCTGCTGTGTCTCCAGGGAGCCCCTGGAGGCCACCTGCCCTGGAGCTGGGTGCTGCTGGAGGCTGGCTCCCTGGTGACACTCAGGTCTGTGCCAGGTCTACAGCAGCAGCCGCCACTCCGTTAGGATCACGGGCATCAGCGACATCGACTTTCGAGCTGGCTTCTCCACACAGCCCTCCCTGGACCTCAACCACACCATCGAGTGGCCCTTGGAAGGTACGGTGGCCCTGGGCCTGCAGAGTGGAGGCTCATCCCTTCTCCTGGTCCACACGGATGCACCAGGAGGGATCAGAAAACAGGAGTGGTGTTTACATTTTAAAGATTTATCACGATGGAAGAGGCAGGGCTGGGGATCCCCTCCCAGTCCCCCCCTCCCTCGAACACATTCCTCTTCCCTGTCTCACTCCGAAGCAGCTCTGGAGTGTGCTTCCCTGAGGGTCTGGGTGAGGAATCATCAAACATTGAGAGGGGACTGAAAGGGAAACCACCCTCGGGGCCAGTCCCCAGTGGGAGTGGGTGAAGGACGATCCCACGTGGCAGTCCTTGGGTTTCTGCCTTTCATCCAGATGGGGGTCAGGAGAGACAGAAGAGAGGCAAGCTGGGCGTGGTGATGCACGCCTGTCATCCCAGCACTCAGGAAGCTGAGGCAGGAGGATCATTGTGAGTTCCAGACCAGCCTGGGCTACAAAGTGAGCTCAAGGCCAGTCTGGACTGCGTGGTGAGACCCTGTCTCAATAACAAACAAATAAATAAAATAAGAGAGCCAGTGCTCCACGGTGACAGGCAGGTGACCTCAGTGCCAGCGATGTTGAGGGATGTTGCGGCCCAGGGGGACAGTGGCCGCCAGCCTCAGGGAGCAGCCGTCCCACACCGCTGGCTGGCTTCCAGTGTGAGCACAAGTCCTGTGTCGCCGAGCTGGCTTTTAGAGGACTCGGGACCTCTCCGTCCTCACCTGCCCTAGCGTGTTCAGGGTCTCTGTGGAAGGCAGGCATCTCGGGGGGCCCACCACCCACCCCTGCCAGCTGCTGGGGGTGATGTTTGAGGGGAAAAAGAAAACAAAAACGGAAAACCCAACAACTGTCTCAAAAGGGTGGGACCTGGCCGAGGTTCCAGGTTCCCCAAGGACGCGATGGAGCCCAAGTCCAGCTTTGCTCCCTGGGGGTGCTGTGGAAACCACCAAAGCCGAGTGGGGGTGACTTGGAGTCGGGGTGTCCACCTGCTCTGGGCTCCGTCTTGAGGCTGGTTTGACGGCAGCCAACGCAGGGGCGGACGCCAAAGCGGGGGAGGCGGCCTTTCTTGGTCCCAGGGCCAGGGCTGCTGAGGGTTCGATGCAGCCGGGGAGCCGGCGGAGATTTCAGAACCACGGACAGCGGCGGGCCCGGCGGGAGTGCACTGGCGTGGGCGTGGGCATGGACGGGTGCGGGGGGGGGGGCAGTGGGAGGGGGCGGGCGGGGCCCTGGGGTGCGGCCCGAGTCCAGCCCGGTGCCACCCCTCGTCCCGCGCCCCTGTCCTGCAGGCGTCCCCATCTCCCTGGTGATCAACTCCACCGGGCTGCAGGCCCCCGGCAGCCTGGACTCCGTGGAGCTGTCGCACAGCTCCGGGCGGCCGCTCCTGACGCTGCCCATGCAGCCGCTGTCCAACTGGTCCGCTCCTCAGCTGTGGGCCGGGCCGCCCTTCCACGCCCCCCGGGAGCGCTTCTACCTCAAAGTGAGGGGCAAGGACCCCGAGGGCAACGCCCTCCTCCGCGTCTCCGGGGTTTCCTACAGCGGGGTGACCCCAGGTGAGTGACCCCAGCTTGCAGGCCCCGTTTCTTGTTGGCTGTTTTCCTGGTTAGATTCGACCAGGAAGTGTTTGCTCATCAAGCTGCATGGGCAGTGATTCCCTGTCCAGCCTCGTGCTAGACACCTGCGCGCTCCAGACGAGGTTCTGCGCTCAGATTTAAAGTGTTCGTCTGTCCATCCATCTGTCCCTCCATCCACCCATCCACCCACCCACCTTCCTTCTACCTAACATTCATTTTCGGTACCTACCATGTGCCCACGTGGTGCTGGGCACTGCACGCAGGGCAGGAGGAGGGTAGACGTGGGTATTCACGCTTCAGTAATCGTGGTCATTGCGGTGTCCTGGAGCCAGGGACACTGATTCCACTCTCCGTTTCCCGTGGGGCAGTCTTGGACTGAGCTCTGGCGGGTTCTGGCTCATGACAGACCCGTGTGCCTGGTGAGAGGTGTCCCCACTTTATAGGTAGAGGACTGAGACCAGATCTCCCCACATGGCTGTGACCTGTGCAGGAACAGGCCATTTTCTGATCTCGGCTTGCTTGTGCTGTGATGGTTCCTGCATGCAGTACTCTCTCTGTCTGGTTTCTGGGTGTCCTGAGGTCTCCCCATGTGGGCAGCAGTTCACAGAGGACGGGTGGACACGTTAGCTCTCCAGGTCCACCGATGGCCCTGGAAGGGAGCAGCGGGGCTCCGTGGCCCCCAACCTCCTAAGACACTGGGCTTCTCTGCTCTCCTGCTGCCCCCCACCCCTTCTAGAAGTGGGTGCCACTGTCCCCTGGAAATTCTTTGGGGGGACCCCACCAGGAGCACTCTGCCCACTTCAGCGGGGAGGAGGAAAGCTCTGTTCTGAGACTCACATGGTGCCCACAGCAGGTGGTAGTTGGCGGCCTCCCCAGCTGTGCCCTTCCTGGGCATCAGGGAGGAGCTGTAGGAGGACATGGCAGGAGAGGGCAGCTTCTCCCCCTGGGCTTTCACACTGACCTAGGAGTTTGGGATTTAGATTTGGGTTTGGCTTGGATGACAAAAGGTGGGGTGAAAAGGACCAGGTGGGATTTTGCCTTCCTCCTCGAGTTCTGGGGCTGGGGGATGGGAGAGCATCCCCCTCAAGCAGGGGCCTCTGGTCTTAGGGTGTGTGGTGAACCTGGGGCCCCTGGGCCCTTCAGCTCTGGGAGGTGGAACCGCATGGCTGGTGGGGGCGCCTGCGTGGGTGGGTGAGTGGCAGCTGCTGTGACACGGCTGAAGACGTGGCTGTGTGGTCCGACCCACTCCCCCGGGATGTGGCAGACAGCCCGGAGCCTGATGTCACCGGCAGCCACCCCATCCCCGCTCTGAGGAGGCCGGGCATTGTGTCACCACCCTGAGCATTTCAGCGGGGGAAGAAGGGTGCTGGAGCCCGCAGGGAATTCCTCAGATCTCCCCTACAGCCCAGGAGAGGGCCAGAGTTACCCAAAGATCAGCGTCAGTCGAGGAGTCTGGGCACTCCCCAGGGACTCATCAGAAGCTGAGATTCCACTGAAGTCCTTTGTTTATCTCAGTAGTTCGTGTGAATTTTGCATTCCCGCCCCATGTTGGCTGAGATTTTCTTTTTTTCTTTTGAGGCAGTTTCATGATGTAGTTCATGCTGGCCTTGAATTCATTATATAGCCCAAACTGGCTTCAGACTCACAGTGATCCTCCTGCCTCAGCCTCCCAAGTGCTGGGATTACAGGCATGAGCTACTATGCCAGGCTGGCTGAGTTTATTTTAAAACAAAAATGCTTTTCCCACCACAGATGTGGAAAAAAATTGGTCCTCGGGGCACAGAGGCACTGGTGCTGCCCCACCTGCCCTCCTGGGAACCCCAACTGATCTGGGAGCCAGGATCACTGGCTCCGTAGATGGGGTACAGATTGGGGAAGGTGGCTCCGTCCACCCTGTCCCTAGTCGGTGGCTGTTGTCTGTCACCCTGGCACTTGGGAAGCTGAGGCAGGAGGATTGTCTCAAGTTTGAGGCCAGCCCTGGCTACACAGTGAGTTCAAAGCCAGGATGGGCTACACAGCCAGACCCTTTTTTGCTTCGTAAAATGGAAAACAAAATAAACCTGCAAAGGCACTTGAGCTATTGATGGAGGAGCACATGGGACCCATGGGTGCCGGGGGCTTCCACCCCACCCCTCGCCACCTTCCCAAGACCACCGCATTCATTCAGGGCCAGCATCACCCCATTTTGCACAGGTGAAACTGAGGCTGAGAGGAGTGCAGGGACTTGTGTCTGGTGACCACCGAGTGGTGGGGCTAGGGCTCCAGTCTCTGGCCCCTGCTCTGGCCCTGTGGGTCTCTGCATCGATGTGTGTGGCCAGGCCACAGATCTGCGGGGCTTCGGAGGCCTCTGAACACTGGTCCTTGCTTGCAGGTGCCCCCCTGGTCAGCATGGCCCCCAGGATCCACGGCCACCGGAACCAGCCCCTGCTGGTCTCCTGCTCCGTGCACAGTGCCCTGCCCTTCCGGCTGCAGCTTTACCGCAGCGGGGTCCGGCTGGGCGAGGAGAGGCACTTCCTGTGAGTGACTCCTTCAGGGCTCTGGGCCTGTCTTCCGGGACAGCACAGCCTGGGGACCTGCAGTGTGATGGGAGATGGAGAAAGTGGTCCCGGAAACTCCCGTTCCTGCCGGCCACGGCCCCAGCCCTTGCTTACCTTCCTGAAAAACCCAAGCCGTGCACACGGGGTCCTGCTAGGGCAGCAGGGGCAGGGAGGGCCGCCCTGTGTGGAGGGGAGTTCAGGGCCAGGGAGGGCCAGGGCCTGGCTCAGCGTCACACAGCAGATGGTGGATTTGTGTCCTTGGCTGGCTGCCTCTTCTTGCTGAGTCTCAGGAGGGTGTGGGGCCCCTGAGGACTGGGTGCATCGGGGAACCCAACTGGGGTTGCAGGGACTGTGCCCTTGCTGTTCTTATTAGGGAGTCAGGGAACAGTAGCTGGGAGATCCCCCGGGCCTCCAAGACCGACGAGGGGACCTACGAGTGCACTGCGGTCAGCAAAGCCGGGACCGGACGGGCCAGGGCCCAGGTCATCATCACAGGTCTGTCCCCTGGGCCCTCTGGTGCCCTCCTCCTTGGTGCTTCCCTCTGCCATTTCCTTCCCACGACTGTCCATCCAGTGGCTGGTGACTGTCCCTTACCCAGGGCGGCTGTTCACGCTGCCACCCGCTTGCGAGCTCTGTTCAAAGCTGTGTCACCCGGTGGTGGCTTGAGGGCTCAGCTGGAGGATGGCAGGGACTTCAGCCCGGGTCATTCTGGCTGGCAGGAGTCCTGTCCTGACTTCTTGGCCCGAACTGTGGGCCAACTGCAGGTGGCTCCTGGGGTCACCACCTCACTTAAGAGTTCCCACCCTGGAGGCAAAATTATGTCAACCATCTGCAACTGAAGTTAGTTTTTTTTTTTTTTTTTTTTTTTAAATCCCAAAGCTAAGCTGTCTTGTCCAGATACATTCAGTTCTAGCAAGCTACCTGTTCTTGGCAGGCAGATGGGAAAACTCTAAAGCAGTACAAAAGAAAATCCAAACTGTCTGCTGCCCCACCAGCCAGCGTTTGGGGTGTACCTCCTTTCAGATCTCTCCGTATGTGCAATTTTATTTTAATTTTTGGTTACTGAGAATCGAACTCAGGACCTCATGTGTGCCAGGCAGGTGCTGTGCCGCTGAGCTTTGCCCCCAGCTGTGGGTGCATTTTAACAGAAACACAGTAATATCCTAGGGGCATTTGGGGACCCGATTCTCGGCCATCCGAAAACCAGCAAGCCAGGGCTTTGGCTTCCACAGCTGGGAGGAAGCCTGGGATAAAGTCCAGTAGTGTGGTGAATTGGTGAATGTGGTCATGTTCACCATCCTTCCTGTTTGCTAAGGTACCTGAACCTCAGTGACAGTCACCTGGCGTTGCGTCTGTATCCCTAGAGCAGTAGGTGGTCTTTTATAAGTGAGCCCCTTGGACCCCACCCAGCAAAATAAACAGGGGTGCCTGCCTCCTGCCTCGCCTGGTCCATGGTCAGGTTTTCCTGTTTGTCCCCCGAGTGTCACATCCTTTCTCGGTGCCAGGCCCTCGTGCATATCAGGCAGTCTCTGATCCCGTCCCTTCTGGCTTTTGCTGCCCACAGAGGGGTTTAGCTAGCTCGTCATGGCCCCTCTGGGCAGTGACCTTATTTCTCAGTTGTGGCGGCTCAGACGGGTGCGCCGAGGTCTCCGTCTCCCGGCTGCTGTGTCCCGGGCTTATTCCCCGGGGAGCAGTTACCGAAGAGCAAAGAGCACGTAGGATCTGTGAATCGAGCTCTTGGCTGTCACTTGCAAAGCACACACTCCAGAGGGCGTGACGGCCAGTGGTGGGGACGTCAGTTCTCCCCGGAGAGTCCCGGATGGCGAGCAGATGCTGCCTAAGCCCAGAGGGACAGAGCATGAGTGTCCCTGCCTATGCCCCTCAGTCCCCCTGGTTGTCTCCTCCTGCAGATCCACCGCCGCAGCTGGTCCCTACCCCCAATGTGACTGTGTCCCCGGGGGAGACCGCTGTCCTATCCTGCCAGGTCCTGGGTGACGCACCCTACAATCTGACCTGGGTCCGGGACTGGCGAGTCCTGCCTGCCTCCATGGGCCGGGTCACGCAGCTGGCCAATCTGTCCCTGGAGATCAGAGGGGTCGTCCCCAGTGACAGCGGGCGGTACCAGTGCATGGCCAGCAATGCCAATGGGGCCACCAGGGCATCCACCTGGCTCCTGGTGCGAGGTAAGGTGCTTCCTGCCATCACCCCTCCCTTTCCACCCAGCACATACCCCAAAAGCCCTCCACCCATCCTCTGCCAAGGTGTTGTCCCTGGCAAGCAGCAGCAGCCCTTTTGGGGTGTCCTGAAGACTCTGTCACCTCCTCACCAAAGCCTAGTGCTGGGGACCAGCAGTTACACACATGCGGTGTGCATGGGAAGGGGGTGCTGCCAGATGGGAGGAGAGGAGGAAGGGGGAGAGCAGCTGCCGGGGGCCAGAGACTTGGGTGCTGCTAGGTCTGCCCAGGCTTACACGATGGCTCACCCTGGGGTGCCGTCTCTGCAAGGTGAAAACTTGACTTAGTGCTTCTCCCCAGTCAGCGGTGCTGGGTCAGTTGCCTGGGGTGCACTGAGCAGACTCTGATGAGGCTCCATCTGATTTGACAGGCAGGAGATCTGTTAATGATGTCTGTCTGGTGACGGCAGGGGGTGCCCATGCCTCTCCAGGCTTTGTGCATAGCTCCCTGCCCCGCTGAGCGTCCCCTGTAGGTTAGGATGGAGCCTTGGTTTGGGGCCAGTTTAGGACAGGCCTTTGGGACCACCTCAAGGTTCCCAGAGACAAGATCCACTCCGCCCTGGTGGCTGCCTGGTGTCTCCTGTGGTCTCTCCCAGCAGCTCTCTGGGGGGATGTTGGGTGGCCAGTGTCCGGGCAGCTCCTGGCAGTCCAGCCCTTCTGCTCCCTAGCTCCCTCTGTCCCCATCCGTGGTGACGGGAAAGGGAGGGTCCTGGGATGGCCGACAGCCCTCCCTACTGTCTCCTCTTTGGGCCGCAGAAGTGCCTCAGGTGAGCATTGACACCAGAGCCCAGAGCTTCTCCCAGGGTGTGGAGGTGAAGGTCAGCTGCTCGGCCTCGGGGTACCCCACACCCCACCTCTCTTGGAGCCATGAGGGCCTCCCCCTACAAGAGGACAGCAGGTGAGGGCGCAGGACGTGGCTGTGGGGCTGCGGGGGTGGTGGTGGTGGTGGTGGTGGTGGTGGTGATGGTGCAGACTCCAGGGGTGGCTCCATCTCCTGACTGTACACAGGGAGGTCACTTGGGGCTCAGGAGCGACATCTCTGGAAACCCAGAAGTACCCTGCTGGGGCATCAGTGGTGGGGCGCTCAGACTCCACAGTCCAGCAGTCCTGCATCTCCTGTTGAGACTGTGTGACCCTAGACAAATCACCTTGGCTCTCTGAGCCTCGTGGATGAAATGACTTTGTACACACAGCGGCCCAGGATAAAGGGCAGCCGCTCTCGAGGGTGATTAACTTATCAATGAGGACTGTGGAGCGTGTGGTGTGACCTGACGTTTTTATGGCTCCACTCCAGAACCCGTGTGGATCCCCAGGGAACCCTGATCATCCAGAGAGTGGCCCCGGAGGATGCTGGGAATTACACCTGCCGGGCTGCTAATGAAGTGGGAGCAGATGAGGAGACGGTTACCCTGTATTACGCAGGTACTCGAGACACCCTGGCTTCTTCCCTCTTTCCTGTCACGTGTATTTATGGAACGTCTAGGGACTTTTATTCTGATGGGGAGGCACAGACCAAAGTGTTTGCGGAGGAGAAGTCACCATGAAGAGCACAGAAGGAGGGGATGGGGGTGGGATGAGCCCCACCCCGTGCATCTTGAAGAGATGACACTTGACAGGGTCCCCAATGGGACCAGCATTCTGGGCAGAGAGATAAGGAGCACCAGGTGTGGGTGGGCTGCTCAGGGCCAAGAGGACCTGGAGGGGGTGAGGGGGTCTGGGAGCTAGTGGTGGGGTGGCCTAGTCACCCTTCTGCCCCCAGATCCCCCATTGGTGTCTGCCGTGAACTCCGTGGTGCTCGCTGCCGTGGGCCAGGAGGCAGTGCTGGGGTGTATGGCCACAGGGGCGCCCCCGCCCCGTGTGGTCTGGTACCGAGGTGAGTTGGGTGGCAGGGAGAGGGGCTAGGAGGTCACCATGGAGGTCTGGGGACAGCCGGTGGAGTTCAGCCACCCACCACGCCCAGCCTGTGTGGTGTCCACAGAGCTAGCCTGGCCTCAGCCCTGGGTTTGAATTCTGGCTTCCCTGGTGACGGCAGCCACGGTGCTGGTGACCATGCAGTGGGTGGAGGGGTGGAGGAGGAGGGGCCGCTCTGGGTGCCCTCACCGCCCAGCTGCTCTCAGGGTCAGTCGGGGTCCTCACCAGCCCCTCGCACTGGGACCTCTGCACCCAGGAGCCCCGCTTGGGCAGGGTCTCACCTGGACCGAGAGGGTAGGGCAGCAGCCTCTGCTCTGTCCTGGACTAGGGGTGGCAGCGGCGACCAGGCTCCCAGCTCAGTGTTCCTGACACTGCCTATCTGGGTCAGGGCCTCAGGCCAGCCCGAGCCTCTCTTTTCAGTTAATTAGTTAATTTTTATGGCCCTGGGGGCTGAACCCGTGGCCTTCACATAGAGAGACATCCCAGCTCCTTTTCTGTTTTTTTTTAAATATTTTGAGGTAATGGCCAAGTTGCTTAGATTGGGCTCAAACTTGTGATTGTCCTGCCTCAGCCTCCAGAGTGCTGGAATCACAGGTGTGCACCATTGCACCTGGCTTCTAGGGTTCTTCCTAAAAGGGAGTCTTACGAAGGAATATTGTTCAGCCTGGAGAAGGGATAAAATTCTTGCCTGTTTTCCTGGCTAGCACACTGGGAGGCTGAGGCAGGAGAGTTCAAACCCAGCCTGGGCAGTTTAGCCACTTAGTGAGACTCTGTCTCATAATTTGAAAAGCAGCAAAGGGCGTGGGATGTTGCCCAGTGTGAAGGATCTGGGTCCAATCTCCTGTACCCACTTCTGAGATGCATTACCACCTAGAGACATTGTCCTGGGTGACATAAGCCAGGCCCCCCGGGGACAAACCGGAGGGCTCCCTTCCAGAGGGCTCCTGTGGCGGGAAGCCCTGGGCCGGACAGGGAGAGGCAATTGTCGGGGGCAGGCAGTCAGGACGGAGAGGGTCCTGTGACCCAGTGAGCTGCTGGACAAACTCAATTTAAAAGAGGGTCGCAGAGGCAGGGGTGACAGGGTGGGGAGGACATGTGATGTCTAGTGGGGGTGTGGTCAGCTCGGAGCAGCTCCAGCTGGACCCTGGGACAGCGGGGCTGGGGCCCAGCGGGAGGTCCCGGCATGGGTCCCTCGGTGCTGAGCCTGTTCTGTGGGAGCACCAAGCCCCATCCAGATGGGCACAATGGTTCAGAGGAGACCCCAAGGGCTCCAGCTTTGGCAGGGCTCAGCCTCTGCCCAGCCCTGTCCAGCCTGGGGGGATGCAGGAGCCCGGAAGCATCTGAGCAGCGCAAGACCATGGTCTCCATGGCAACCACAGCCCCTGCTTTCCCTTTGTGCCCCAGGGGACCTGGAGATGATCCTGGCCCCCGAGGACTCCAGCTCAGGGGTGCTGCGGGTCCCCTCGGCCCAGGAGCGGGATGCGGGTGTCTACACCTGCCGGGCTATCAACGAGCTGGGCACTGCCTCGGCGGAGGTGCAGCTGGAGGTTGGACGTGAGTGCTGGCTGTGGGCTGGTGTTGGGTGGCTCCAGGGCACAGGGGGTGAGGGGTGTTGGGGGAGACCCCGTGTCTTTTCTCCCTGGGCAGCAGGTTGTCCCCCGGCTTGGTGGCTTGCACAGTAAGCATCTGGGATCTCAGGACCCCAGGGTCAGAATCTGGGCAGGGGAGGCTGGGTCCTTTAGGGCTCAGAGTTGTCCTAAGCCTGCACATGATGACAAGGGCTGAGGCAGGCCATCAGCTTCCAGGTCGGGCTGTCCACTCCAAAGTTACCTGGGTGACCCTGTGGCAGGAGCCTCTGTCCTGTCCCTGGCCATGACTTCTTTTGTTACTTGTTGCCGATGTGCTCTGGCCAAGTGTCAGAGCTCAGCTTCCCATCTATAAAGTGGGGCTGCCCCTCCTTCCCCCAGGCTGCTGTGATGTCCCTGAAGCTGGGGGCACTGTGTCCAGGCACAGTGGGCCAGAGTGGGGGCTCAGGCAGCAGACAGAGACGAGCCCTTCCCACCGAGGGAGTCCAGACTCCTCTGCCCTTGGCCTCAGTCTGGGCTCCGGGCACTGAACCTGCTCCTCGGCACCCCGAGCTGGCCAGGACCAGCCGTGGGAGGAGAGATGGGGCAGGGAGCCCAGGAGGTGCAGAGAATTGGGAATGTGCTCGTCTGGGCTGGGCCAGGCAGGCTTAGGGGGTTGCGGCCACCTCAAGGTTGGGGTCCCCTGGGCTTAGGGTCCCCTTCCTCTCCATGTGCTTGTCTCATTGCTCATTCCTCCAACACAAGGTCACTGGACTGCCCAGCACCAGAGGCTGGGAGGGCTTCCTGGAGTAGGGGCTCCTCTCCAGATTGAAACCGGAAGTCAGGTGGAGAGCTGGGGCACTGTTCCAGGCTGCGGGTGCAAAGCTTTGCCCCGTGACAGGAGCGGGACAGGAATGAGACCTAGCAGGGAGGGGGCAGAAGACCCACATGGCAGCCACCTGTCACTGTCAAGGCTGCTCCTGGCTCGGGGAGCCTGGGAGCTGGGGCTGCTTCTAGGAGGCGGGGAGCGGTGGGGAGACGGGAGCACTGTGCTCAGAGCTTTCCCGGTGGGGAGAGTGGGGGGCCATGGCCCAGCAGCTGATGGGGATGGTGATGTCCTCTCCTCCCGGTGTCCTGGACTCGGTGGTGGAGGTCTCTAGATGCCATGCGGTGGGCTTGGTGAAGCTCTATCACTGGTACCGGCAGAGGCTCTGGGTGGCCCAGGGGATCTCTGGCCCTGGGGTCAGGTCACGATGCCCACACTAGCCCGCTGGCTGCCCAAGGGTGCCCTGGAACCATCTAGGCAGGGGGTGGAGCTCAGGGTGCCTGCAGCTGTGGGCCTGGCAGGGGCAACGGGAAATCAAGTTTCCTGCGTGTTTGGGCTGCAAGTGTGATCTTGGCTTCCCAGCCAAGGTGGCAGGGCTGGGGCTGGGTGGGCACGGTGCCCACCTCCTGTTCTTGGCTGGGAACAGGTCTCCTGGGGGCCTTCAGAACAGGGGGAAGAGACACCCCGCTTCTTCCGTGGAGTCTGTGGGGCACTGTAGAGCAGCTGGTGTTTCTTACTTTTACGCCGGGGTGGGACCTGCAGGGGGACCCCGCGATTCCCCGGGGCTCTTTTGGCGGGCAGGGTCCCCATACCCCCCCATCATCCCCTGATCCTGCTTCTGGTGTCCACCAAGGGGACGGTGAGCCGCTCTGTGGTGGCACCACCCCCGGGCTCTATGCCCTGCCTGTCCTCTCCTCTCAGGGGCTCTTCTGCTCCCCAACCCAGAAGCCACTGGTTACTGGGTGGATGAGTAGGGGAGCGAAGGGCTGGGAGCTTCAGTGACACTAAAATCCCCCTGGGCTCACACCTGTGCTCAGGAGGCTGGACCTCCGCCCCGCAGGCCTGAAGCCGCGGAGGCGCAGCAGGCTGGTGCTCAGGCTCCCCAGCCCTGGGTGTGCCCGGCTGCTTCTCCTTTCCCAGTTCTCTGGGCTCTGCGAGCTTACTAATCCAGCCTGGGGTGCCCCATCCATGCCCTTGTTGGCCCTGGTTCCCCCAGAATCCCCACCTTTGATGGCACATTGGAGTTCAGGCCACCACAGGGCAGCCAGGCTGACTTGCACCCCAGAAGTCCCCATGAGTGAGGTCAGAGGTATGGGCAGGGCACCGTCACTATGGCACAGCTAGGTGGAAAGGGAAGGGAACAGACGGGGATACACCGGGAGGGCGACAGAAGGCCGAAGCGGGACTGCGCTTGGGGGGATGCGTTGTGGACAGGGTTGGGGGACACGGGGCGGGCAGACGCAGGAGCTGGAGTTCAGTTGGAGGCCAGGTGTCACCTGGGTATGGCCGAGGCTCAGGGCATGTGCATGGGCAGTGGGAAAGGCTGCCTAGGGCCCCGACACATGGACAAGGTATCTTGCTCAGTGGCTGGACCCTCGCGCCCTGTGCCCTCCGGAGGGGCCAGTGGCAGGCAGTTGTCAGAGCCTGGCCTCTGTCTCCCTTCTGTGTAAGGGGGGGGTGGAGCAGAGGACCCGGGTGGGCGGAGCCCAGGGTTGGGGTGGGGCACCCACCATGGCTTTGGTACCACGTGGTCTGTGGGGTCCTCAGCCTCTCTGACCCCGGCTTCCGCACTTGGGACACGGCTGGTGATACCTGTGCCCACAGGGCACAGTCTCCAGGCCCACAGCTTGGGAGGGATGGACACCAGGTCCTGCTGTCCCTCCTTACCCCTGGCCACTGTCACAGGCGCTGCCCACTCAGGTGGGCAGGTGCAGCCCTCAAAGAGAGGAGGATGGGTTTGGAACATGCGGGGCCAGGAGGTGAAGTGCCCGTCTGGGGGCTGAGGACTGATGGTTCCGCCCTGTGCTGGGCAGGCAGGGGAGCCTCAGTGTCCTCCTGCTGGGGCAGCAGGTGGCAAAGCTGTCCCTGAGGGGCCAGGGCTCTGCAGGAATGGGGTCCTTGACTGGGACGGGGCTGAGCACAGGCTTCCTGACCTCGGAGCCTCCCGCAGCTGCAGGCCCAAGGGACAGGGCAGTGGCCTGGGGCTCCCGGGCGCGGTGTCCTCTCCTTTCGGGAATGTTCCAAGTTGTGTTTGTATCTCCTTGGAAATTCCCTCGGCCTGGAGGCCCGAGGAAAATTTGATGTCACGGTTGGGATAAACGGAGGGGATTTCTACAGAAAGAGCAAGAGTTGGGGCTTCTCCTTGGGGCCAGGCTCCGGAGGTTAACGGGGACCTCAGAAGTCCGTGGGCCTGGGAAAGGGAGCAGGATGTGGTCAGGGCTTTGGGCGAGTGGGCACTGTCTGGGGCTGGGCCAGTTGCTGGCCTTTTAAAGAACAGAAGGGCTCTCCAGTTTCTGTTGGGGGAAGGACTTGATCCACCGATGGGTGTGGGGGCCATGCCTGTAATCCCAGCATTTCGGAGGCTGAGGCAGGAGGATTGCTGTGAGTTTGAGACCAGCTCAATCTACAAAGTGAGCTCAAGGCCAGCCTGAAAAAGACAGTGTTGGAAAGGAAACTTGCAAATAGTTAAGCAGTGACACCCGAGAGGAAAGTTTGGGACCGGGTGTGCGGATGAGCATTAGGGAGGCTATATTTTGCATGTGTTGTTTGCGTCTTTCGAGGCACACATGGTCAGCGCAGCTCCTGGGTAGACTCGAGGTTATTCTCGTGGCCCTCTTCCGACCACGGTGGGTTGAGGCCACCTTCTAAGTAGATTTTAATTTTGGCATTTTCCATGCTCATAGCAAAAAGCGCAAAGAAAGCCGGTGTAATCAGGGCGTGGCCAGGCAGAGGCCCCACATGGAGGTGTGGGGTGGGCAGGTGGCCACCGACCATCCCACCCAGCCTGGGCCTGCAGAGTGGAGAGGGTGGGGTTATGGAGCCCCAGTTCACGGTTCGGGGTTGGAAGCGGGGCGCCCTTGGTGAAGAGGGGAGGAGGGGACAGCCCTGGGGTCCCAGCTCCTCGGGATTCCTTGTGGATTCCCCGCCTCCTGCAGATGCCCCCCGGCTGACGGAACTGCCCCGGGACATCGCTGTGGAGCTGGGCCGGAGCGCCTTCCTGGCCTGCCGGGCCACTGGCCGCCCGCCCCCGACGGTCACCTGGCATCGCCGAGACGGCCTGCCCTTGGGGCTGCGGCAACGGGACTCGGGGGTGCTGCTTATTGAGAGTAAGATCCGGGGAGTAGCGGGCTGGAGCTAGGTCCCCCTTGGCTGTGGACGAGGGACCAGATGATGTGGGAGTGGGACCAGCCCACTTCCGGGTTCCGGGTGGGCGACGCACGCAGGGCTTCACGCACGGAACCCCGCGCGCATGCGTAGAAGCCGTCATAGGCCTCGTGGTGTCACCGCTCTTTGGGGCCCGCAGGTGTCGCCCCGGAGGACCAGGCCACTTACGTCTGTGAGGCTCAGAATGTCTTCGGGAAGGCCCAGGCCGAGACCCGGCTCAGTGTCACCGGACACGGTATGCTGGTGCATCGGAGCGCGGGGGAGGTGGGAGGCCGGTGACCCCACCCCGGACCCCTCCACACACCCTTGGGGACAGATCGGGGCACGGCCGGGTTCCCAGAGCAGCCTGAGTGTCCCTGCTTCCTGGGCAGTGTCCTGGGGGACTGAGCTTCCATGCTCCCCGTCCTGACCAGTTCCCCGAGTGGGCGTGGCACCCCAGGGGCTCTGACCCTGTTGCCTCCCCGGCAGCACCCCCGCAGATTGCCGGCAGTGCGTCCATCGTACGCGTCCTGGAGGGCCAGCCGGTGTCCCTGCCGTGTGTCATCCTGGCTGGGAGGCCCCTCCCGGAGAGGCGCTGGCTCAAGGCCACCCACCCGGTGAGTGCCCCCAGGCTCCTCTGGACAGTGACACCCAGGGTCAATTCGCCTCCATCTCTGCTCTGCAGTTCCCCTCTGCCCTCCCTCTCTGCTGCTCCGGGAAGAACCTTCTCTGACCATGTGCTGGTGGCATTGCCTGCCCCCCATGCCCTGCCTGTGTGAGGGGAGGGGACAGTCCAGCAGGTGGGCAGAAGGCGGCATCCTGAGGGAGGAGGCTGTGCTTAGCCGCACTCTGTCTCCTCGTGCCCCCTCCCCAGCTCCCAGCGGGCGGCCGGGGCTCTGTCCGGGCTGACGGCAGCCTCCACTTCGACCGGGCACTGCAGGAGGACTCGGGGACCTACAGCTGCATGGTCAGCAACGTGGCCGGTTCCCAGCACCGGGATGTGGAACTGGTTGTCCAGGGTGAGTCTGAGGGTCCCAGGGTGGGAGGGAGACACGAAGGAGGCTGTGGTGTCCACCTAGGACCTTTAACCATCACGTGCTGTTTATTTACTTACTTGGTGCCAGGAATCGAACTCAGGCCCTTGAGCTTGCCTGGCAGGCGCTGTACCCCCCTGCCCTGGAGTGCCTTAAACCTTCTCAGATTACACAGCACCCTGTGCGTCACCACATCCCTTTCATGGCCAGGTGCTCGGTGAGCTGGGCACTGTCCCAGGAGCTGTAGAGAGAGCTTCCTTCCAACACTCAGAGCTAGGGATGGCCAGAGGAGCCCGACCCACTTCAATCTGTGAAAGTTTTACACTGAGACCGCAGTGTGATAGCGCAGACTGCGGTCCAGGGACGGTGCTGTTGGTGCTGTGGTACACCAGGGTTCCGGGATAAAAGGCGCTGGGGCTCCGTGAAGGAGAAGTGCAGAACTCTATAAAAAAGGAAAATCAGGTCTGCAGGTGGAGGAGGCGTTGTAACGCGCAGGCCATTAGATGAGGAATTTCTGTTGCGTCAATGTTGGGTAAAAATCTCGCTCTGCTGTTAGGGAACAACCACAAGAAGGAATGTCTGTTTTGGGCTTAGTCTTTCTCAGACTTTTCCATCCCATGGTCAGTTGAGTCGTGACCCTCGTCCCCCTAATTGTGATGACAGAAACATCTTCCCCCAGAGTCCCAGCATGGCACAGGTGTTGTGCAGACCTGCAATGCCTGCATCAGATGGAGTAGCTTCATGCCCTGGGACCCCTTTGGTCCCCACCTCGCCCTCCTCCCCTCCCCTGAGCTCTGGCGCCTCTGATCTTTCTACCACCTGCAGTTTTGCTTTCTCCAGGCCAACCTCCAGTTGGAGTATTGCACTCCTTTTTAGGGCTGAGAAATATTCCGTGCACCCGTGTGTTTTGCTTATCTGTCATCGCTGGTGGACACCTGGGTTGTTTCTGCCTCTTGGCAGCTGGGGTTCAGCTGCCTCCTGCTCTGGCTTATGAAATTGGTTTTGTTTACAAAAGTGCCGCCCAGAATCCACCCCATTGCCACCCACCATGTCACCAATGAAGGGGTTCCAGCCTCTCTGCCCTGTGCCGCCTCAGGAGTTCCCACCCCGACCATCACCTGGACCAAGGTGGGTGGAGCCTCTGGCCTCCAGGGTAAACTGAGTCATCCTGGGATGGAAGAGAGGGGGTCACTGACTTCACCGGTGGCTCCCTCCTAGGAGAGCAAAGCCCTGGCCTCCGGGGGTCCCCATTACAACGTGAGCAAGGGCGGCACCCTGGTCATCACCCGGCCGTCCCCCCAGGACATGGGGGCCTATGTGTGCACAGCCACCAATGCCGTGGGCTTCTCCAGCCAGGAGATGCGGCTGTCAGTCAACAGTGAGTGATGGCCCGTGGGTTCTGGGATAACAGGGCCCAGCCCCTGTAGCCACTAGGGGGTGCACAGTGACCAGCGCTCACACCTGCCTCCCACCCTGCCCAGCCCCCCCCCCCCCCCCCCCGCCTAAGCCCCCCTCCATTTCTCCAATGATCATTGGGCCTTGGGGCCTTTGCATGTGCCGTGCTTCTGTTTTCTGGCTCTTCCTCCGCCTTGTGGGGTGCTCTCCCATCACAGCTGGGGTCAAATAATTAACTGTATGTTGGGTTGATTGGCCCCAGTGTGAGGACAGGATGGGACCTGGGACTTCAGGCACCAGGTCAAAGATGATAAGCAGATGGACAACTAAGCCAGCCCTTTCCTAGCATGTGCTTTTAGGGACAATATTTTATGTTGCAAAAAACCATCTCAAGGGTGAGGTTGCCTCTGCAGTGGTGATGGGCAGGGGCTTGGCGGGATCTGGTGGCGCCACTGCGTGGCTCAGCATGCCCTGGGCCCCTTCGGTGGGTGGGGAGGGTTGAGGGAGGGGAGGGTGCTTACAGCCCGTGGTGGGCGCTGCCCTGGAGTAGACGGGATAACCAATGAGTGATGGAGGAGGAGGAGGGGAGGACAGGGCTGCCCCTGGCTGGGGGCAGCAGGACAGACAAGGCCAGCATGGGGCAGGGTCAGGGGAAGCAGAGGAGCTTCCTGAGGGAGAGTGGGGGAGCCATCAGATCTGAACAGAGCCCGCCACTTCTGGGACAACCCCAAGGTCAAGGGGGCAAGGGGACGATCTGTCCTTCTGGGGATGATCCCGCTGGCCCCTGCCCCACCACTCACGGCCCTGCCTGTGTCCCCAACAGCCAAGCCCAGGATCCGGGTGAATGGGTTGCAGGATACAGACTCGCCCCTCCATGTCACAGCCAAGACTGGCAAAGAGGTGACCCTGGATTGTGAGGCCCAGGGCTCCCCGCCACCCCTGGTCACCTGGACAAAGGACGCCCAGCCTCTGCTGCCTGGGACCGACAGGTACCTCAAGCCCAGGGCCTCAGGCAGGGGAAGGTTTGCAGGGTTTGGTCCCAGCTGGGGACACTTTGCCCACCCAGGGAGGTTCACCAGCTTTTACCCGGATCTCCAAGCCTCTGCAGAGACCCCAGAGGAAGTGTGGGAGCCCAGGTGAAATGTACCCCAAAATAACCTGAACCAATGTGTCAGGTGCAACCACCAGGCGTGGGTGCAGCACCTCCTGTTGTCCCCAGCTGCGCTGCTCCCTGGGTGGTGGGGTCACTCAGGCAGCGTCTGTGGCTCCGTGTTGTTCGCTAAGCAGCAGCAAAGCTGGGGTTAGGGCTGCTCCCTGACCATGACACATGCACCCGCACGCCTGCCCTGCAGACCAGGTGTCTGGGGACCCCTCTGATTGCGGAGCCAAGCTGAACCTCAGGCTGGGCTGTGGGCATGTGGGGTCCAGCCAGTTCGATCTCCTGCAAACTCCTGGAACCCTTGATCTGGTGGGGGTGGCAGGTTGGTGTGGGGGTGCAGCTCAGGGTAGTGACATCAGCCCTGGCAAGGTCCCCGTGTCCGCAGAGGCCCCTGACAACCGGCCCTGCACCCCTGCCCAGTCACACGTCTGTGTCCCGTAACAGCTGTTTGGTGAGCGCTCCCAAACCTCAGCCCTGCGCCCTGAGTGTGGTGTGGGAAGCCAGCCCAGGCCGAGTTGGGGACACCCCCTGGCCCTGTGGGATCGCTGCTGGGGGCATAGGGAAGTTGGGGAGCCTGCAGCTGTCCCAGAAAGACTGCCCTGTCCCCTGGCTGGGCGGTGGCCAGTGGCCAGCGGTTACTTGTTTGTTCATGGCTCCTCACTGAGGTGGGAAGCACTGTCCCTCTGTCCGGCCCTCTGCGCTTCCAGAGCAGCGGGAGCTGTCAGTTTGCCATCACCGAGTTTCACCCTCTTGAGGTTCCTGACACCCCTCCCACTGACCGGGCAGGGCACTGCTGTGTGGGACCAAGGTCCAGATCTCAGGCCCTGGAGCTTGTGAGACCCGGTGTGGACCCTCCTGGTTCCGTCCTGCGGGAAGAGCATGATGGGTGATGCCTGAGGGGTTGGCGCTGTCCGCTGTGAGTGCTGACAAACCCGGTCCCCTGCCGTCCACTTGCTTCCTCCGCTGTCCACACCCAAAGAATGGGCAGCTTAGGAAACCACCCTCACCACGCCTGTCATCTCAGCCCCTTCTGTCATTTTCTTTTTTATTTATGTGTAAAAGACCCTGGGGGGTCCCTTGGAGACAGGGCCTCACCGTGCAGCTCAGGCTGGGGCGCAGGGTTGGAGCCTGGGGTGTCCCCGCCACGCTGCGTGCAGCCCCCAACCCTGGCTCATAGAGTGGTGGCACTGAGATGAAATCCACGGCGGTGCCCGACTTCCACACGCAAGCCAGTGCTTTTAGAGCGCGCGCCTTGTGCCAATGTTGCCACAATCAATCTCAGAACTTTTTTCTCACCCCCACCAAGAAAACCTCCGCAACCTTTGCCCCACCCTCAGCCTCGGCCGGCAGCAGGCTGTGGTCGCCTCCCGTCATTGCTTGATCCCAGACACAGCACAGAAATGGAGTCCTGCGTGGCCTTTCGCATGTGGCTTCTTTTACCTTGCATGATGGTCTCACAGTTCAGCCCCGAGGTCCTGTGGGTTGGGACCTCTGTCCTCTTCATGGCTGAATACTCTTTCACCTGGAGGCCAGACCACTGTCCGTCCGTTCACCAGTGTGTGTCCAGCTCGGGTGATGGTGAACAGCTTCACTTGGTTTGCTGTTCACTTCCGTGGCCGCCTGTGTGTCCTCCCGGTCCTTTGTCCCTGCAGCCCAGAGCTGTGCACAGGAGTCGTGGCTCCTTCCAGCCCCACATCGATTCGGTCATAAAACAGGGATTTCAGATGCTTGTGGCAGACATGTGCCAGGTGATGGGTGGGGGTGCCAGGTGCTGCCCACTGCCCCTGCCCCCTCCCCCTCAGCCCCTCCCCTCCCGGCTCCATGCCACCCTCTGGGAAGCCCAGAACCCACTTCTGTGAGCTGTGCCTGTCTTCCCACCTCAGGACCCTGCTCGCCCTCTGAGCAGGGCATCTCCATGGTGCCCCCTCCTTCCGTGCCCCCCTGGGCTGGGTCTTGTGCTCCTTCTGCCTGGGCGAGCTACCTAGAACTCAGCCCCGTGGTGGCCCTTCTCTGTCCTCAGTCGTTTTCCCCACCCTGTGCTGGCCCCAGTCTGGGCACCGTGGGGGCTCCTCGGTCCCCCGGGTGTAGCCGGCCTCGAGGGTGGAGATGTGCTGAGCCCCCAGGCCTTTGGCCATGTGTGGCCCCGTCAGTCTGCAGGTGGGGGAAGGGCGTCCTGCGAGGGGCGTGGAGGGCTGGGACCCAACATCCCCCATCGAGGGGCACATGCAGACCCTCTGAGGGCTCTCAGACACGCGTGTCCTGTGCCCATGAGCATCTTGCATCCTGCCCACCGGCCCGGCTTCCTGTCCCCCCCACCCCGCCCTCACGGGCCTCGCTTTCCCTCGGCCCAGGGCGGAGCAGCCCTGGCCCACTTGCCCGTTGCTAAGTTGCTGTTGTGTTTGGGCTGCCGCTTCTTGCCAGTGTCCAGCAGTTCTAAGTGGGAGCGTCTTCCCACAAAAGCGCTACTTTATCTGCGGGGTCACTTCCTTGGGGATCTCCCCGAAAGCAGATGGCCAAGTCCAAGGGCTAGAATGGCTGTGGGACCGCTGGTCTTCAGTGTCCACGTTGTCAAGGCAAAATCACAGCCCATGGCATCCACGGAGCAAAGCCACGAGCCCGGGGGGAGGTGCCAGGGTCCCCTCACCCTGCTCACCCTACCTCTGCTGGCTCGGTGAGTCCCAGTGAGCTGTGTCCCCTCCCCCTCCTGGCTGAGGCTGTCGGGTGGTGTGACTGTGGTGGGCGGTGGCGTGCAGTATAGGCGGCTTGGTCTGGGTCTGTGGGATGTGGTTTCCAGGCGACTGTGTTTGTTTGGGATTCTCACACGGAGCTGGGACAGCTGTGTACAGTCCTGGCTGGGGCTGCGGCTCCCGGGGCACCCGGCCAGGGTCCCACATAGGGCCAAAGCCCAGTCCCGAAGGGGAGGGGCAATCAGGCCTGGACATCGCTGCTCCAGGTTGTCCTGTGTCTGTGCTCTCACCAAGCTCCGCCTACCCCATTCCTGGACGCCCAATGCCCAGTTAGCCGGTGACCAGACGCCAGCCACTGTGGCCAGGTGCAGGGATGGCAGAGCTTCCTCGCTGCAACCTCAGCTCTGTCCTCTGCACAGCCGCCCAGCCAGGCTCACAGCGCTTGGGCAGCACGTGGTTGATGGGACCGAGGCTCGGCTGGGGTGAGCTCTGTGGCTCTCCTATCCAGTGCTGGCCCCGTGTACAGGATGGCGGGCATGTTCTCTCAGTTTCCCCAGCATGGCTTCCCATTGGTGGCTCTGGAATGGGGTCTTCTGTGTCAGTGAGGCCACTGTGAGGGGATTTGCAGAGCAAGGCGCCCTGCCCGAGATGCAGACCCCGCAGACAGCCTGAGGTCCTTGCAGGTGACTGCAGGAAGTGTCACTTGATTGAGAGCCGCCAGCCCTGCTCCCAGACAGCTTCTGTGTGAGGTCGGCAATGTGGGGGAGACCAGGCTCTGTGCAACTCAGAGCCGGGGACTCAGCCTGGGAAAGCTTCCTGAAAGAGCTGGAGCCTGAGCTTCTCTGATGGGTCCTGAGTCCTGGAGGCAGTAGCTATAATTTGCCATTAAAACATTTTTGAGCAGCTACTCCGAACTGGGACGAGGCGCACCTGACTCGCCCCTCACAAAGCTACCAGCCTTTGCTGGGCAGCGATAAATGCCGAGCTCAGGAGCAGGTGGCTGGAGCAGGGCACTGTCGTGGCCCTGGCCAGGGATGGATGCCCACAGGTGCAGGGATGCGGCTAGCACCAACCACCTTTGGTCTCCAGGTGGCCCTGCCCCTGTGGGACCTGGCAGGGCAGGTGGGTCCCTCGGGCAGTGAAGGCTTGGCCGGATGGGTGGCAGACAGTGAGCTCTTCCTGCCCTGCCTCCTCTGGGCTGCAAGGAGCTTTCTGCTTGGGCAGGACAGATGGGCTCCCTGGACACAGCACCATCAGCCACAGCTATCTCGGCGTCCTCCCACCTCACGATGTCCCCAGCCTGAGCAGACCACACGGGGACAGCCAAGGGGGCGCAAGGAGCAGGCGTGGGCTGCCCAGAACCCCCAGGTGGGCCCCCAGGTCTTGTCCAGCCAGTGCCGGCCCCAAAGCTCCTGCTTGGTCTTTTCCCCTGAGATCTCGGACCTTGGGCTGGGGCCATGGGGAGCAGCCTCCCTCTGCGCAGCCCGGGCTGGGTCTGGAGGTCAAAAAGCAGGTGGCTCAGACGGGGCCGGGGAACCCAGATCTCTTACAGCACCCCCATCCCTGTTCTCTAGCTGAGGTGCGGCACGGTATCCTGGGACCCTCGTCACACCCTGAGTGTCACAGGGTACATGTATCACCCTCAAGCTGATGGGGCCTTGCTTGGCAAGTGGAGAAAGCATGATCCAACTTAAAGGAAAACTGTGGATAATAACAGCCAAGTTGGGGGGGTGGTCCTGGCTATCGGTACCTCTATGTTTAAACATAATTAATAATCAATCAACTGTAATGTAACCCAGTAAGGGAATATTGTACAACAGTGAAAATGAATTGGAGCTGCACGTACAGGCAGGATACCGCTTACCTAAGTGTCTGACACACACAATGACATCATGTGGGGTTTAGGGACTCGGTGTCATCAGTGTGGCACTGTGCGGTGAACAAGTCCCTTGGATCTCTTGGGAGTCCTGTGAGGGGTGTCTCACACAGCTGGCATCTGGCAGAGCATGTGGGACACATTTTGGGGGAGCATCTTCCCTGGTGTGAACCATCCACGGGCCCTGCTGGATGCCCGGGCAAAGCCACAAGGGGCAGTGTCTCCCTGTTTCGTAGGCGGGGGCCAGAGGCCGAGCCTGTGGCCTGGGGCTGCACGGGGTGAGGTGCTGGTGGCAGCCGCGTGGCCCATGCGCTGCCCACCGGGCCTCTGCTGATCCTCAAGGCTGCCCTGGTGGGCTGAGGACCGGCCCTCGGGGTCCCCTCAGGGCCACTCCCTGGCCAGCTGCTTGCGTTCAGGGCCAGCTGGGGTCACGGCTGCAGCTGCACCCCTGCTCTGCGGGGGCAAAGGCTGCTCGGGGCCAGCGCACATGGGCTGGTGACATCATGTCTGCAGGGCCCCCTGGAGTCTGGCCCAGCTGCCGGAGCCTGGCTGGGGCTCCTGGGTACTGGGGAGGTGTGGCCCCCAAAGTCCCTGGGTTGGTACCAGGGTGCAGAGGGCCTTGGGGCTGAGCTCGGTGCAGTCCAAGGCCCTGGCAGTGCCATGATGTGGCTGGGGGAGCAGGCGACAGGATGATGCATCGGAAAGGGGTGCGGGGATGAGGGCCCGAGGCTGTCTTCTGCTGCCCTGTGAGGGGCTGGCCTGCTTGGCGTCTTGGGGACACGGCTGGCAGGAGTGCTGGCCAGTGGTGGGCACTGCCTGAGGCCCGGAAGGCTTCCTGGAAGAGGCGGCGGGTCGCTGGGAGGTGGGGCCTGCAGCCTGGCCCTGGTGTGGCTGGTCAGGGTCTCACAGGCGCCCTGTCCCTGCAGCCACGTCCTCCTTCCATCTGGATCCCTGCGCCTGACGCGGGCCCAGGCAAGCGATGACGGCCACTATGAGTGCACCGCCAGCAACCCAGCAGGCTCAGCCTCCCGACGCTACATCCTCGGGGTGCAAGGTAGGACCCGTGGCCGCCACGGCCTGTCCCTCTGTGATGTCCACTCAGAGGAAGCCATGAGGTACCTGTCACATGCACAGAGGCAGGGAAGTCGTCACCCCTGAGCCCATAGACAAGAGACAGGACAGGCTCTGGCCTGGGCCACCTGTGGGTTTTAGAGGACTGGGGGGAAGTAGGACAGAATAGGCAGCTGCCCGCTCATGACCCTGGAAGCTGTGGAACCCAAACGCCGGTGTGGGTGGGTGCAGAGGTGGTTGGGAGGCCATGGGAGACCTCTGGTCTGTGAGCCCTGAGCTGGCCTCCGGCTGGGCCCTTCAGAGGCACCAGCCGGGCCCTGTGCAGGTGGACACTCATCTCTAAGGGGCAGGTCAAGGCCCAGAGAAGAGGCACCAAGGCTTTGTGGGGGCGGGGGCTTGCATGGGGGCATGTGCGAGAGATGGGGTGGGTACACATATCTCTGTGCCCTGCACACCCACCCTGGGGGTCTCATCTCCGGATCCTTCTCAGAAAAGGATAGCGTGAGGTCTTTGGCCTCCCTGAAGGCCCAGGACAGTGGGCACTGGGGGTTCTCCTGGGCCTGCCCGTCTGGGTCCCAGGAAGCCCCGAGAGGGAGGGAGGGAGGAAAAGTGTGACAGCGGCTGAGTCCTGGGACCCTCCTGGGCCTCAGTTCCCTCCTCTGCAAAGTGAGACGGCGTCCCCTGCCCCCCTAGAGGCACAGTGCAGTGGTTTGGAAATGCAGAGGCACAGGTGAAGACCTTTCCTCCCATTGGCCTGGGCTAGGGAGATGAGGGGGGCCCAGGCCCTGGGGTGCTTCCACGTGGCATGTGCTTCTCGTTCTGTCATGAGGGGGGTGGCTGAGGCCCTGGACTGTGAGGAGCAGAGCTGGACCTGGGTCCCCCTCTGTGTGCCATCTCCCGGCCTTGCTGGGCCACACTGAGTCTAGCCACCCCAAGCCTCAGTTTCCCCAAATGCACCCTGACCCAGATGTAGCCTGGAGGGTGCTTCTCACAGGGTGTTCAGGAGGACGCCCACCTGTACCCTGCAGGGGACAGAGCGGTCTGCTCTGGGGTCTTGGTGTCTTTTCCTGAGGTCAGAGTCACCTGTCGTAGTGGACCCTCTGCCTGATCTTGTTGGTCCTGACAAAGCTGTGGAGGGGCCTGGGCTCTCGGACCCCTTCTGGGTCCTCATCCTGACCCAGCTTGCGGGGGTCCTGCCAGTGCCCCCGCAGGTGCAGCCAGGTCCACATGTCCTCAAGGCCCTGCTGGGAGAAGCCCTAGATCTGAACTGCGTGGCCCAGGGCCGCCCAGAGCCGCAGCTGCTCTGGTCCAAGGATGGGGCGGCCTTGCCCAGAGCGGGGCCCGCGGGCTCGGTACACTTCGAAGCTGTGCAGATCTCCGATGCCGGGATGTACCGCTGCGAGGCCACCAGCAGCGCCGGGACAGACGCCTGGGAGCTGGAGCTCAGGGTGCTGGGTGAGTGTTGCAGCCTGGGTCTCGGGGGTGTCTCTGTCTTCCCTTGGACCAGGGCCCTCTGCCCCATGTGGGGTCTCTCAGCCCCTCAGCTGCCCTGTGTCACAGAATCCCCTCAGCCCTCGGGGACTACGAGTACATCCCTGGAGTCACCACCAGGCCCCTACCTCCTTGTTCTCTTGCTGCGTGGCCCGCGGGTGGTGGGCTAATCCGTGGGTCTCCGTAGCATCTGAGCCAGCCTCACTGCCTCCCATGGACTCTCAGGAGGCTGCGGGCTGGGGGCTTCGAGGGGATACCCTCTGTGCTGTTGGGGGCCCCTGCACTCGGGCTGGGGGTGAGGGCAGCTGTGTCCTCCCCTCAGAGCCTCCCCACTGGCTAGCCAACAACAGCAGCTTGGTGGAGCGAGTGGCAGGGGAAAACGCCAGCCTCCCGTGCCCAGCCCGAGGTGAGGCCCGAGGGGTGGGGCGGGGGAGAGGAGGCGGGGGGGGGCAGTACCCGGGGTCCTGGCGGAGATGGGGTTGCCACCCCTGGCCAGCCTCAGCCCTTCCTGGAATAGGATAGGACCAAGGACAGAGAGGCTGGCAGAGAGTAGGCAGCACCTCCCTGGGCAGGGCTAGGGACCCAGATGACCCCTGCAGAGCTGACCGGTGCCACCTTGTGCTGTACTCTGGAAACAGCCATCAGCCTGGGGTCCTGGGGACTGGGGAGCTGGAGCGGGAGGGGTCCTGCCCAGCGAGCCTGGGCTCTGAGAGCAGAGGGGTCAGCACTGTGCCTCCATGTCTGGTAAGCCAGGGCCCTGGCCTCTCTGCCACCTCCTCCTTGGGACGGGGCAGCAGCAAAGTTCTTGGGACCCCTGGTTGAAGTCTCTCTCGGCCTTCGGGAAGGGATTGGGGAGAGGCCTCTCCAGCACCACCCCCTGCTGGGATCCTCATGCCAGAGCTCAGGGCCACTCTGCAGCCGGGCTGTGTTTCCATGGGGTTGGTCATGCATCCTGGCAGGGCCTTGACCCAGCCAGAGGCCTGATACCTGGGGCCAGGGAGACGGAGGTGTCAGGTCAGGGCATGTGTATGGGGTGTGTGTGTGTGTGTGTGTGTGTGTGTGTGTGTGTGTGTGTGCGTGCGCGTGCCCATGTGTGCGTGTGTGGCATGTATGCATCTCCACATGCAGAGGGCCACCCAGAGAGATGATGGAGGGGGAACCCTTGGGACGCCTTTGATGCCCCACATCCTGCCTGTCCCCTGCTGTCCCTCCCTCTGTGGTGGCCCTGCATCTGCCAGCAAAGGTCCTCGCATGAGAGTCCAGCCCCAGGCCTGGCAGTGAGGTGGATGGTACATGGGCGTCAAGTACAGGGGAGCTGACTGGGAGTTTTGGGGCATACCCAAGCCTGCCTGTCTCTGTGCACAAGGTGGGAAGGAGGCAGGACCCTGCTGGGTGGATGACGAGGGTCTGGTCACCACAAGGACTCCAGTAAGAGCCACACCTTCTCATCAGGAAGCAGGGGATGGGCCGAGCAGGGCACAGGGCAGGGCCCAGTGGGCTTCTGTCCTCTTGTAGGCCTGTGAGTGCCAGGCATGGTGTTGGTAGCTGGGGCTCAGCAGGGAACAAAGCGCAGACCCTCAGGCTAATAGGGGGAAGGCAGGCAGCAAGGCCAGGAAGTGGGGTGGGCACAGGCTGCAGCTCTGAGGGAGCCAGGGGCTGGTGACACAGAGGCCCACGGGGCAGTGCAGATGCACAGGAGATACCAGGCGGCTCTGTGCTGAGGAACCTGCGCCCTGCCAGGGACACCCATGCCGCAGGTCACGTGGCGCAAGGGCCCATCCTTGGAGCCTCTGAGCGGCCGGCCAGGCGTGGTGGTGCTGGATGACGGGTCCCTGTTCCTGTCCTTGGTGTCGCTCACGGATGGCGGAGACTATGAGTGCCAGGCCACCAACGAGGTGGGCTCTGTGTCCAGGAGGACCAAGCTGCTGGTCTACGGTAAGAGGGGCCCAGATGGCCACACCAGCAGAGCCCACAGTGACATCAGGGGCGCCAGGTGCCATCTCGGGAGCCAGAGGAGGGCCAAGCCCGCTGCTGCTGCTGCTGCTGCTGCTGCGAGGCAGCCGCCGCTCTGACTGCCGACCGGGAGGCCTGTATGGGCCATGGGGGTGGGGGAGCATCACAGCACCAAGTGGCCGCTCATGGCCCTTCGGTCACATCCAGATGAAAAGCAGCTTGGCAGCTACCTCCAGTTAAAACTGAAGGAATCGTGCCAGCATGCAGGGAGGCTGAGGCAGGAGGATCCCAAGTTTGAGCACAGCTGGGACAGCTTAGCAACTTAGGGAGACTCAGGCTCAAAATATAAAATGAAGGGGTAGGGACTTAGCTCAGTGCCAAGAGCAGGGTTCAACCCCCACTCCTGCAATAATGATAAAGGTGATGATATTAATAATAAACAAAAATAGGCGCCTCCCAGGCTAAGAGCACTGTGGGGTGCGCTAGGGCTCTCCCTGCTGGTGGATGTGTGGAGCAGCCTCTGGGAAACCAGAGTTGGGGTGGGGGTCCTGCTCACTCCGGGACCCAGCTGGGTGGCTGTGGCACCAGGGCCGGGTTGTGGCAGCTCCAGATGCACCCAGCACTCTGGCCCCTTGCAAGGCTGAGCAGCAGTGTGGCCCCTGCTGGGCACCTCCCGGGCTGTGCCCATCCCTGGGCGAGGTGGCTGTGACCCCTCCAGGAACTGGCAGATCCTCTAGGGCGCCAGTGACAGCCGAAATATGACAGGGAGGCTGACAGGGTCCCTGGTGGGGGTGGGGCGGTGTCAGCTGTCTGATTCTCTCCCTGCCCCCCCCAGTGTCCCCCAGCATCCGGGAGGATGGGCGCCAGGGCAACGTGTCAGCGGTGGCTGGGCAGCCGCTCTCGCTGGAGTGTGATGCCAGTGGCTCTCCGGTCCCTGAGATCCTGTGGCTCAAGGACGGGCAGCTGGTGGGTGTCCCCTGGGGCGGGGCCGGGACTGGGGACGCCATCTGAGGGGGCATGGGGAGATAGGGTGTGAGTGTGGCTGCAGCCTTGGGCATGGTCTTGGGAGGTGTCCTGAGGGCTGTGGGTGGGCAGCCCAGCACCGTCCACTCCCGTCACCAGCTGGGCCTCAGTTTCCCCATTGCTGATGGTGTGGTTCCCCCGGCCTCTCCTGCCCAGATCCCTGAGGCTGGTGGTCACCGCCTCCTGAATGGGGCCCGCACGCTGCACTTCCCCAGGCTCGGGGAGGCTGATTCAGGCCTCTACTCCTGCCGGGCAGAGAACCAGGCGGGGAAGGCACAGAGGGACTTCAGTCTCCTGGTGCTTGGTGAGTGGCCCCAGCATGCACTTGTGTTGCTGTACAGAGCAGCCATGAAAGATCTGTCCCTGTCCTCTCAGAGCCTCCAGAGCAGGGCATTCGTTAGACAGATGCAGTCAACCCGATGCTAGGCCAGGCAGGGCAGGGCGGGCTCCTGAGGACTGATCCTATGTGCTGGGGTTTGTGCAGCTTCCCAGAGGACAGTGCAGGTGGGGACCTGCACAGGCAAAGGCCCTGTGGCCAGTGAGGTTCTCAGTGTCTGAGCTCTGTGCTTCTCTTGTCCTGCAGTCCCTCCTTCCATGCTGGGAGTCGGGGCTACCCAGGAGGTGCTGGGCCTGGCTGGGGCAGACGTGGAACTGGAGTGTCGGACCTCGGGGGTCCCCACACCCCAAGTGGAGTGGACCAAGGATGGGCAGTGAGTGGCCTCCCTGAGGGACACACAGGGTCGATGCTCGGGCTGGGGTCCCTGGGAGACTGCACTCTGAGGGGTCCCACTGGCATGAGCAGGGTCTTCATGGTACTGAGCATCCTTTAAAAAACTGAATTATTTTTAGGTTTCACATAATATACAATTGCCCAATTTAAAGCAACAGTTCGGTGACTTTTCGTGCATTGTGTCACCATGGCCTGTCTAGCTCTGGAATATTCTGTCACCTCAAAAGGAAACTCCAGAGCCTTTCGGTGGCCCTGGTCTCTGCCCCCAGGACCAGCTTGAGCCCACCTCCCGTCTGCCCATGTTTGCCTACCCTGGACGCTTCTCACAGCGTCAGACCCTGGGTGACCTTGGTGTGGCTTCCTTCCCTTAGTGGGATGTTTTGGGGTTCATCCTTGTCATCGCAGGCGTCAGAGTTTCCGTCCTCTTTATGGCTAAGTGACCGTTGACCCGTGGATGGGCCTCTGGTCGCTTTTACCTGTTGGTGTTGGGGGCGAGGCCAGCTGGGCTTTCACAGCCTGTAGTCCCTCTGGAGCTGCCTGTGTCACGTTCACTCCAACGACCCGCTTGCTGTGTCTCCAGGCCTGTCCTTCCGGGAGACCCTCGCGCCCAGCTCCAGGAGGATGGCCAGGTCCTCAGGATCACCGGCAGCCACCCGGGGGATGCGGGGCAGTACCAGTGCACAGCCTTCAGCCCAGCAGGCCAGCAGGCCAAGGACTTCCAGCTCCGCGTCCACTGTGAGCCCCAAGCCCTTCTGGGTCACCGGCTGCTCGTGACGCTTCTGTTTGCTGTGCTGCCAGGGGACAATGAGGATGGGCGTGGGGTCCTGGGGACGAGTCCTTTGGGAAACCAGCTGGGACTGGTGGGCATTTGGCCCGGCCCCAGGGTTCCCAGACTTCTTACACTGGAGACATATTTATGATCCAAATTTATGGGAAGCCGGTGGCGAGCACCCCATTTGAGGAAAATAAATAGACCAGAGAGAGGCAGGGTGCCCGTCCTCATGGTGTGACCACCCCAGACCCCCTCCTGTGCTTAAGGGAGCCTGGAAAGGGCCCAAAAGGTTAGGGACATAGTGGCCCCCAAGAGCCGTAGGCTCTGGGGTACAGTGTCATCCCACGCCATGCCCACCACCTGTGCACCCACATCCTGGGCACCAGTGGTGGGTGGTACCGGGGTAGGTAGGCAGTACCCCTGCCCTGGGGAAGCCTTGATCTAATGCAGCCCCCATTCCACAGATGGGGAAACTGAGGCCCAGAGAGGGGACAGGACCCATCCTGGGTCATACAGTGAGTTAGAGGCAGAGTGGGGTCCCTGCGTCCTCCGTGGTGACTAGACTTACATCCCATGCCGGCCCATCCCTGAGCTGGCCTGGCTCCCCGTCCTGCATCCGCTATCTCCCCGTGCCCTATGTCATCCTATCCCCACAGGGGAAGCCTGAGACATGCGATCGTGGCCCAAGGGCACATGCATGCATGGCGGGTGGCAGAGGGGGACACTGGCCAGCTGTGAGGGGCATCTGTGACCCCCCACCTGCTGTGTCCTTCTCAGCACCCCCGACCATCTGGGGCTCCAATGAGACGGGCGAGGTGGCTGCCATGGAGGGACACGCTGTGCGGCTCCTGTGTGAGGCTCGGGGCACCCCAGCCCCTGACGTCACATGGTTCAAGGATGGGGTCCTGCTCCCCACTAGCCCCGAGGTGGTCTACACCAGAGGCGGCCGGCAGCTGCAGCTGAGCCGAGCCCAGAGCTCAGACGCCGGTGTCTACACCTGCAAGGCCAGCAACCCTGTAGGTGTCACGGAGAAAGCCACCAGGCTGGCCGTTTATGGTGAGCAGTTGGGGCGACAGCAGGGTGCGGGGTCACCTGAGCTGGGCGTCAAGAGGGACGCCGGACCTACGGGGCCTCCACCTTTCCCAGAGGTCAGTAGGGTGACCACTGAAATGGCCAGAGGTGATAGGGAAATGGGACCAAAAAGCCCTCCGGAGAGAGCTAGCGTCCCTCGTGCAGGTGGGGAGACTGAGGCACAGGGCAAGGGCTGTCCTGGGCTGCATGGCAGAGCCATTTCTACAGTCTAGGCCTCCCCTGGGCTCAGGGCTTTTTGCTAAGCTGACCACGGAGACCTGGGACAATATATTGCTTAGGGTGCCTTGGGCTGGGCTCCCAGGGACCAGGCAGTGTGAGCCGGTTTAATCAGCCGGTAACAGACCTTGGTCACTCACGTCCCCACAGAAGGTGAGCGTGGGGAGGCAATGGGGCGATGGTGTGACCAGCCCTGGAGGGGTTGGTCCATAGCCCCTGCTGTGACCCCGGCATCACCTGATCCTCAGGGTTGGGTCTGGGCAGGTGTGAGTGGCCCCCTGGGAAGTTGGGGGTGGCATGCAGACTAGTGGGGACCATCCTGGTCCCTCATGAGGGATCGGCTTGGGTGCTGTGCCCCCCCAGATGCAAAGGGAGCCCCAGAGTCCAAGGGTATCTCTGAGTCTGGGCTCAGCTTCTTTGGGGATCTGAGGACTCCTGGAAATGAAGGGGGGCACCCATGCATTCACTATTCAAAGCACCTTGGGGTTGAAAGTACCTCGATTCTCAAGCCTCGATTTCCCTGGATTCCCTAACAATGGTGCCCCCCAAAGGGCAGGAGGAAAGCTCCCTGTCCAGCTTGGCTGCAGTGGACTCTGGACACCAATCCACCCCTGTTCCCTTGGCCACCGCTGGCTGAGTCAGGGATTCCCACAACCACACCCGAGAGCCTCTGTGCAGGGTCCTGGAGACACGGGGCCAGCTGGCATTCTGCGGGGACAGAGCGAAGATGAAAGGGGCGGGAGGGGCAGCGGGGCTCCAGGAGGAGGGGCATCTGGGTAGGGGTGCCGATAGGATAGCCGATAGGCCCTGCAGGGCAGGGCTGATTTGGGGGAGGCTGCTGGGGCCTGAATACACCTGCCTCCCCCAGTCGCTCCCACCATCGAGGGTGCCAGCGGAGGGCCGTATATGGTACAGGCCGTGGCCGGCAGGCCCTTGGCACTGGAGTGTGCTGCCCGGGGCTTCCCGCCCCCCGCCGTGTCCTGGCAACATGAGGGGCTGCCGCTGGCCGAGAGCAACGGGACATGGCTGGAGCCGGATGGTGCGCTGCGGCTGCAGAGCCCAGGGGAGGCCTCCGGGGGCCTGTACAGCTGCGTGGCCAGCAGCCCTGCGGGCGAGGCCGTGCTGCAGTACGCCGTGGACGTGCAGGGTGAGCCGGCTGGGGAAAGCGACCTCCTCCCACGCCTGCTGGTCCCCTGCGGTTTGTCCTCTGTGGGGATAGAGGATGGCGAAATCCTCATTGTCCCTGTCTTGTGTGATGTGGGGGGTACTGAGTCCTGGGATCCAGAGTCCGCTGCTGTCTAAGCCCTGCGGCCAGGTCCCCCAGATGGAGGACATCCTCTGCCTCCTGTCCACGGCAGTGCTGCCGGGGGCTCTGTGGGAGCTTGCATCAGGCTCTGGGCCTGAGCCCAGCACCAAAAAGAACAAGAATGTCCCAGACCCACGCTGGCATGGACACTGCCCCATGTCTCCAGCTTTTCAGCCACTCAGTGGACGCTGCCAGCTCCTCTGTGCCAGCCTGTGGGGGTGGAGAGGGCGTGGGCCCAGGTGGGCAGGGCTCTCGGGACTCAGCCTGGTGGGGGGCAGTGGTAAACCAGTGGGCCCTTCACCCCACTTTGATTGTTTGTGGGGAGACTTGCTCAGTTCCAACCAACAACAGCGTGTTCTGCTTGCAGTGCCCCCACAGCTCCTGGTGGCCGAGGGCTCAGGCCAGGTGGCCGCCATCGTGGGACAGCCCCTGGAGCTCCCGTGCAGGGCCTCGGGCTCCCCAGCGCCCACCATCCAGTGCGTAGGGAGCCCAGAGCGGGGGCTGGTTGGGCAGAGCGGGAGCTATGGGGTGAGGTAGGGAAGGAACTGTTCCCTGAGTCGGGGGGGGGGGACAGGAAGCCTCCCCTTGCCTGTCCTGGAACCCCCTTCCAGCCTCAGGCCAGCCTGCAACCTTGGCCCCATCCCAGGTGGCTGCAGAACGGCCGCCCCGCTGAGGAGCTGGCTGGAGTGCGGGTGGCCTCGCAGGGGACCACGCTGCACATTGACCACGTGGAGCTGGCCCATGCGGGCCTTTTCGCCTGCCAGGCCACCAATGATGTGGGCACCACGGGGGCCGAGGTGGAGGTATCTGTGCACGGTGAGCTGTGTCTGGAACTCTGGGGTTGGAGGCAGCCTGAGATGCTAGGCAAGTGAAGCCAGAGGGCATTGGCAGGCCTGGGGGTACAGGACAGCAGCTCAGCTCCTCTGGGCAGTGTCCCTGGGCTGGATGACCCGGTTTCCCAAAGAGATGTGGATGTGAGAGGCTGCTTTCATCACAGCCGATTAGCAGATCTGTCATCTGCTCTGTGCAGCCCTCGGGCCCGCCCCCCTTCCCAGCCTGGGCCTCCCACCACTCTCTTCCTGCTGACCACGTCGACATCCCCCTTCCGGTCTCATGGCCAGAGGCCACCACTCACCATACTATGGCGGCCATTTGTGTCTGCTTCCTGCTGTGTGCGCTCTGAAAGACCAGCACACGATCGTCTCTCCCTGCTGTGTTCCGGGGCTAGAACTGTGCTGCACTCAGAAGAGATGTTCATGTACCTGTGGATGGATGGATGATGGGTGATGGTGGGGTAGATGAGTGGATGATGGATGGATGGATGGATGGATGGATGGGTGGATGGATGGGTGGATGGGTGGATGGGTGGATGGGTGGGTGGATAGGTGGATGAATGGGTGGGTGGATGGGTGGATGGGTGGGAGGTGGATGAGTAGCTGGGTGAGTGGGTGGATGGGTAGATGGTAGATTTATGGAAGGTAGAGGGGTAGATGGTGGATGGGTGGATTGTGGATGAGTGGGGTAGATGGTGGATGATGGATTGGTAAGTGAGTGGATGGGTAGATGGATTGGTGGGTAGATGCGTGGATGGTGGATCGATGGATGGCTAGATGGGTGGGTGGGTAGACGTGGATGAGTAGATGGTGGAGGGATGGATGGGTGAATGGACAGAATTCCTAAGGAAAAGGGCTCCTCTGCTGGCACCCAGTCTGGAGCTCTTTCCTCTAAGCCAGGTGTTTGTGGGGAAAGCTATAGATCAGACCTTGATGGAACCTTGCAAAGCACCCCTTCACCCACAGACATCAAAAGGATGGCTGGGTACCCCTGCCCCCCTCCTTAGCCTGACCCAGGCCCTCCCTTTCTTCCCAGAACTCCCATCGGTCGACATCATCGGCAGCAAGAACCTCACGGTCCCTTTCCTGCAGTCTGTGACCCTCCAGTGTGTAGGGGTCGGCATGCCTCCTCCAAGCCTCCACTGGTGGAAGGATGGGGTGGCCCTGGCAACCTCAGGGGGGACCTTGCAGGTACGTTTAGGAGCCCCAGGGTCAGTGGGGCAACTGGACATGGGTGGAGGAGCTGCTGGCCTTGTGCAGAGCCTTGGTAGCGAGGGAGGGGGTCAGGCACAGAGCCCTCCACACCTGGGACACTCAGGGGTCCTGGGGTGCTGGGCCTTGAGACGGGGGAACGCTTTGCCTCTTCCAGGTGGCAGGCGCCTCAGCTGTCGAGCTGGGGCGGGGGAACAGGGAGGGAATCTGCTGGAGATAGAGGAGCCCCGGGAACCTGAGAGCTCTGCTTGCCCTGGGGAGGTCCCTGGCTGCATGACTCCCCACCGCGTCCCCCGCCCTGCTCTGACTGTCCCCAGCTGGGGCTCTGCAGCTTCCCCACACACACTCTGGCCCCTCCTCCCCTAGATAGAGAAGGTGGACCTGAGGGACGAAGGTATCTACACCTGCACGGCCACCAACCTGGCGGGAGAGAGCAAGAAGGATGTGGCAGTCAAGGTTTTGGGTGAGGAAGTGGCCGGGCCTGAGGCTGGGGGTGGCTGGTGAGCCTGCAGGGCCCTGGGGGCCGAGTGCTGGCTGCCAAGGAGGTTTTCAATCACAGCACCTGGGCAGCCTGAGACAAACCTTGGCAGCTTTTCTGGGGCTCCTGATCCCTTTGGGGGTGGCAGGCTTTGCCCCCCTTTATGGATGCCTTAGCCCGTTTGGTTCAGGCTGTGGGTCCCTCTGCACCCTTGCCAGGGTGGGCAAGTCCCTGCTGGATCAGGCTGTTGGCCTTGGGAGGACTGGCAAGGGGTACTGGAGAGGTCTGATGAGAGAAGCCCACTGTCCCCAAGCTGGTCTCTCGTGTCTCCTCCTAGTGCCCCCCAACATCGAGCCAGGCCCCATCAACCAGGCGGTGCTGGAGAACACGTCCATAACTTTGGAGTGCTTGGCATCGGGGGTGCCTCCTCCCGGTAAGGCCCTCCCCTTGGGGACAGCCCTCCCCGGCTGCCCCCTTAACTCACCCAGTAAGGGCTGGGGATGGAGCTTTGCCCCAGGTCTGTGGCAACTGGGAGGCTCTGCTCGGTTTGCACCTCTGCAGGGCTGCCTCGGGCTGGGGCTGTGGGGTGTCTCTTCCCTGTTTCCCTGGAGCAGCTGCCCAGGAAGGGCTGGGCGCTAGGCACACAGGTGGCGGCATGGGGCTTGTCCTGGGAGGTTGTCCATGCCTTCCCCCCCCTGGCCTGCTCCTGCCTCCCCCACCTCTGCCCAGTGGTCCTGTCTCAGACACCACTGCCCCAGCCTACCCCACTCTTTCCTGAAGAACCTGGCCCCTCTGGCATCTGAAAAACAGCATAGCCCCCCACCCCGGGAGCTTCTCATGGTTGTCCCCTCACCAGCAGATTCAGAGTCCAGCGGGATCTCTTGTTCTCTGCCGTCTTCTGCAGATGTCTCCTGGTTCAAGGGCCACCAGCCCGTCTCCGCCCGGACAGGGCTGACGGTCTCCAAGGATGGGAGAAGCCTGCGCATTGAGCAAGCCCAGCTTTCTGATGCCGGGAGTTACCGCTGTGTGGCTTCCAATGTGGCGGGCAGCACGGAACTTCAGTACGGCCTCCGGGTCCACGGTGAGCTGCCCTGGGGCCACTGGGCAAGAAGTTAGCTTCCCTTCCATTTGTCTATTACCCTGTCCATGCATGCGTTCTTAAGCTCCTCTACAACAACATCCTCCTAGCCATTCACTCACAGCCATCCACTTACCCATCCGTTCACTCACCCACCATCCCTCCGTCCTCCACCCAATAGCCTCCACCCACCATCCATTTGTTCACCCCTCATCCATTTGCCCATCAATCTACCTACCCAGCCAGCCAGCCAGCCTTCCAAATGAATATGCAGACAGCCAACTCCCCATCAGTTGATCCAAGCATCCTCCATTCAAAGTCTCCACTCATTCTTCTGTGTACTCATCCACCCACCCACTCATCCATCCATCCATTCTTTTTTTTTTTAAATCTTTTTGACCCAGGATCTTGCTATGCAGTTCAGGTTGGTCTTAAGCTCACTTTGTAGCCTAGGCTGGTTTCGAACTCGCAATGATCCCCTTGCCTCAGCCTCCTGAGTGCTGGGTTACAGGAGTGAGCCACTATGCCTGGCTTTATCCATCCATTCTTCGATCTACCCATTCATCCACCCATCCATCCATCCATCCATCCATCCATCTATCCTTTCATCCGCCCATTCATCCACCCACCGTCCACATCCATCCATCATTCTATCCATCCACCTATCCATCCATCCATGCGTCCATCCATCTAACCACACTTTTCTCCATGTATGCATCTTCTATCCAACCACACTTGCTCTCGGGAAGCCCTGGGCCCTGCACCCCTGAATAAGAAAGGCCAGAAGAACTCAGTCAAACATAGGATTTGGTAACTAGAGCATAACTTAAAGTGCAAGCCTGTGACATAGTGATAAGAGCTGATAAATGTGGGTCCCCTGCATGCTGGTCCCTGGAGTATCCCAGAGGCCTCTGACTGCTGCGAGCTCCCAGGCTTGCATCTGCAGAGATGTGGGAAATCCAGGAACTTAAGGGAGGCTGGTGTCTGGAGCTTATAACCAAAAGAGAGGACAGGCCGGGCTCCCACTCTCCTGCCATAGTATCCCCGTGGCAGACGGCTTCCTGCTGCTGACCCCAGGCCTGAGTCCAGGTGCTGCTTCCTGGCTGGGTGACTTTAGGCAGGTGACTTCTGTCCGCTCTTTGTGCCTCAGTTTCCCTGGGTGAAAGGAAGCCTTCTCTGGCAGAGCTGAAGGATGTGATGAACAGCCCCGAGAACTGTGGGCTGGCTACCTGGTCAGGCTTCTGTAGGTGGCCCATCCCTCAGCTCACCCTCTGTTGCTTTGATTCCCAACCCGCAGTGGCCCCCCAGATCACTCTGGCACCCAGCCTGCCAGGCCCAGTGCTGCTCGGTGCCCCAGTCCGACTGAGCTGCAATGCCTCTGGGGTCCCCAGCCCCACACTGATGTGGCTAAAGGATGGAAACCCCGTGTCGCCCGCAGGAACCCCTGGCCTCCAGGTCAGCAGGGCTGGGTGACCCCAGGAGGGTGAGCTGGGGCTGGAAACCCAGAGCTAGGCAGAGCCCAAGTTCCTTGACCAAAGGGGACAAAGCCTATGTCATCCAAGGTATCCAGAAGGCCAGGTTCAGACAGGTAAAAATGAAGGGGTGGAGCCATTTTCATTGGATAGAGAACCAAAGCACAGCCACGAGTTCACATCACCTATGATCAATATAAAAATTACCCATGAGAGGTTTCCATTCTATTTTCCACACTAACTCTGAACTGCCTTGTGTATTTCATACAGTATGATTAAACTACAGGACACAGCAAATGTTTACGTTTTAATATATTACAGTAAACAACATCACTGCGAATCCCTCTCCCCTTGCTTTGACGCACCATCCCTTTCTGGAGCAGCTCTGAAGAGCTCTTTCATGAGGGTCGTGTGATTAAAATATAGTGCGGGGCTGGGATGTAGCTCAGCGGCACAGCGCCTGCCTGGCCACCTGAGGTGTGAGTTTGATTCGGGGTACCAGTAAATTAGCAGATGCAACAACACGGTGACAGGAAGGCAGCTCCCGGAAACACAGTTTTCAGGTCGATTCAGTCGACTGAGGCAGCTACAGCTAAAGCCTCTCAGGAAAGAGGATTCCGGAGCCGCTGCAGAGAGCGGCTGGGACCGTGGCATGCATAAGTGAAGTGAGCAGGAAGATTTTGTGGGGTTTCACAGTACTGTGTCCTTTACTGTGATAGTTTTTAAAAATTTAAATATTAACCGTACTTTTTTGTGACATCTCGTGCCCTTGTGATCCATCTTGGTTTGGACTGTGGTCACCTTGAAGGCTCCGTGACTGCCTGTGGCCAGGGTGGCTCCAGAGGCAGAAGTCGGGAGGAGGATGGGCCTGTCCCTACCCCAGACAGAGGTCTGGTGTGGCCCCTGGCTGCCCTGCCCAGTGCGGGTCCCCAGGGTCTAGATGCAGCTGTGTGTGTGCCTGGCCGCAGGGCCAGCTTGTGAGGACAGGGCTCTGTCCCTGTGGGGAGAAAGTGCAGGTGACCTCCTGATAAGGGCCTCACTCTGGGGACACAGGTCTTCCCTGGGGGTCGGGTACTTGCCCTGGCCAGCGCCCGGACCTCTGACTCGGGCAGCTACTCGTGCGTGGCTGTGAGTGCTGTGGGCGAGGACCGCCGGGACGTCACCCTGCAAGTCCACGGTGAGTGTCTGGCGAGTGGCCCTGTGGTCCAGGCTGGCAGCTCTGGGCTAGGACGATGGGGGCAGGGGGAAGGACTGTCCCCAGCCCGGTCTGAAGTGTGACACTGGCTGGATAGATGACACACCTGCCCAGCTCTGTGGCTGTCATCAGGCAGTGTCAGTTGGACCCCAGGACCTGTCCTGCCGTGTGACATCCCATGGGGGCAGCTGGTGGCCTGTAGGCCAGTGGCTCCATGTCCAGGAAGCCAGAGGAACAGGAAGTACCAGAGGGCAGCAGGCAGGGTCAGGAGACACCTGGTCTTCTTGTCACGTGGGGGTGACGGTCCCTTCCAGAAGGGCAGTATGAGGGGGCGACTAGCAACCCTGGCCTTGTGTCTTGTGCATTTGGGGTTCATCCCTGCCTCTGGGGCCTGGAGCCAGTCACTCTGCTCCTGGAGCTCCCTGTCCTCAGCTGTGAAATGGGGAGGGGAGCCCCCCTTGATGGGCATCGAGGGGTTCCTGGAACACAGGGTGACGGGGCACTTGTATTTCATTTTCCTCTTTTGGGGCTCATGGGTACCACAGGGGTGTGGTGAGGGCTGTGGAAGTGTAGGCCCCAGTGGTGGTGCACACCTGTCATCCCAGCACTCAGAAGGCTGAGGCAGGAGGATCGTAGCAAGTTAGAGACCAGCCTGGGCTACAAAGTGAGCTCCTGTCCAGCCTGAACTGCATATCGAGACCCTGTCTCAAAAGGCCAAAAAAAAAAAAGGGAGGCCCTTCATGGGGACATCCCGGGGGGGTTGGGGCAGCACCCCTGCCCCCGAGAATGTAGCAGTGCCCGTCACCGTGCCTGTCGCCAGCACAGGGCCTCCCTCCTTCCGACTTAGGACCCTGAGGCAGCGGGGGGAGAGGCTGGGTGGCCCCATCCCAGTGGTGATGTCCGTCCCCCCAACACGTCTACTTGGGCTGCTGGGAGTGGCCAGCCCTGTTCTGGTGGTGGCCTGTCCCACCGTGTGCCTGAGGGTCCCCTCCATGCCCCCCAGTGCCCCCCAGCATCCTCGGGGAAGAGCTGACCATCTCTGTCATGGCCAATGAGTCTGTGACCCTGGAGTGCCGCAGCCATGCCGTGCCCCCTCCCAAGCTGAGCTGGCAGAAGGACTCGAGGCCCCTGAAGCTGCGGCCTGGCATCCATCTCTCCCAGGACAAGGCCCTGCTGGAGGTGAGCGGCCACCCAGCCCCCGGACTGAGCTTTGGGACTTCTGCCTGGGCCCCCCTCCCCGGCCCTCTGCACCTCGAGACAGGATTGGGCCTGACTCTGACACCTGGCTTCCTGCCAGCTGTGTGCCACCACTGAGCGGGCCTGGGATGGATGTGGGGGTATAAGGGGGCCGGCCAGGTGGCATTGAGGGGGCTGCTGCGTACACCTGGGGCTCAGCGACATCACAGCCGGGGACACAGGGACTTTACGGCTTCCCCTGTTCACTGGCATCACTGCCGGGCAGGTGTCCAGGGCGGAGGTGGGGGACGCTGGCCGCTACACCTGTGAGGCTCTGAACCGCGCTGGCCGCTCCGAGAAGCACTTCAATGTGAACGTCTGGGGTGAGGGTCTGCTGCCCCCTCCATAGCAGGGCCAGGGTTGGGGCCTGGTGGGGGGGCGCTGCCCCACTTGCCCGTCCCCGTCCAGCCCCTGCTCATCCCTCTCTTCTCTGCCTCAGTGCCTCCGGCCTTCCCCTTGCGGGAGCCCCGCCCCCTGGCCGTGACCGAGGGGCAGCTGGCCAGGCTGTCCTGCGAGTGCCGCGGCGTCCCTTTCCCCAAGGTCACCTGGAGCAAGGACGGTAGGACGGCGGTCCCCACTCCAGCCCGCACACAGGGGCCCCTTCCGCCAGGAAGCCCGCCCCACCCTGGGCTGGGACATGGTGCCCCCTGTGGCCCTCTGTTCTGCCTTTCCATGAGTCGCTGAGGCCTACTACCCTGGTCACTGCTGAACTCCAGGTCCAGTGCTGGGTGCAACAGGGGCCCAGGCAACTCTGGAATTCCTTTCACCCACGTTTGCCAGCAGCCTGTCTATGCTAGGCCTTGTTCTGAGTGCTGGGAACACAGCACGGGACAACGGACCTGTCCCCTCCTGCCAGGGTTGGGCTGTCATGTGATAAAAATGAGCAGGAACTTGGTAACTTAGGTGGCAAGAGCTGTGGTACAGGGAAAGCCAGGGAGGGGATGAATGTGCAGGATGGGGGTGAGGTGTTCAATTGGGGGGCCGGGCTATTAGGCCAACCAGACTTGAAGAAGGGAAGAGAGAAGGCTGAGAATGTGACAGAGAAAATCATTCTGGCAGTGGTAATGGCAGGTGTAAAGGCCCTGGGGCAGGAATGAGCCGCTCATGCTTCTAGAACCTCAGAGAGGACAGGGGACTGGAGTAGAGCCAGTAAGGGGGGACAGAAGCAGGAGATGGTCAACAGCACAGTGGCACTGGACCAGTATTTGTCATAGGACATTGGTTTTTACCCTGCCAGTGAGCGGGCATGGCAGGGCTCTAGACAGAAGTGGCATAGACTGACACACACAGGCAGGGCCAGTGTGCTGAAGGCCAATCCCTGGGGACAGGAGTGAGAGACAGTGCTGGTTACCCAGACCAGAGGCCACAAGGTGACAGGAGGTGCCCAGGAGCCTGGTGTAGAAGGTGTTGCTGGCCGGATGGGGGCACTGAGGGAGGACGGAGGATCCCAGGAGGGTGCAGCAGCTGTCACCAGGGCGGGGGACTGTGTGCCAGGACTGAGTTCCCTGCACCTTGAAAAGTCGGAGCAGGGGCTTTGACCCAGTGCCCCAGGGCCTGCCCCTCCCCGCAGGTGGCCAGAGGCCTGGACTTGTGGCCGCGCGGGTAGGGGAGCCCTGGCCCGGCCTGAGGGTGGCTGCCCGGGAGGCGGTGTCCAGCAGGCTCCTCTAGGAGGAGCAGGAGTAGGAGCCCCTGCCATACCCTGGATGGGGGGCTTCCCTCTCACTGCCACAGGTCAGCTGCTGCCCGGGGAGGCGCCCGGTGGGGAGCAGGTGTCCGTGGTGGGGCGACTGCTGTACCTGGGGCGCGCGCGGCCCGCACAGGAGGGGACATACACGTGCGAGTGCAGTAACGTGGCCGGGAACAGCAGCCAGGCCCAGCGGCTGGAGGTGCACGGTGAGCAGAGTTCCAAGGCCCGGCGGCCGGGACCGGGCCGCCCGCCCCCTGCCCCCTGCGCACAGCCCCTGCCAGGGACCGTGGGGGAGACGGGGTGGGGTGCCATTCTGTCCTGCGGGTGCCACGGCCAGGGAGCGCGGGGGAATCGGGGGCCCAGCGCCTTCCCTGACGCGTGTTCCCCGCCCAGCTCCCCCCCAGATCGCCGGCCCCCGGGAGCCCCTCACGCGCGTGTCCGTGCTGCAGGGCGGGGAGGCCGCTCTGGATTGCAACGCCACGGGGAGGCCACTGCCGGCGGTGACCTGGGAGCGGGACGGGCAGCCCCTGCGCACCGAGCCTGGCCTGCAGCTGCAGAGCCAGGGCCACCGCCTGCGGGTGCAGCAAGCACAGGCTGCCCACGCGGGACGGTACAGCTGCGTGGCCAAGAACGCAGTGGGGCTCGCAGAGCGGAGGTTCGAGCTGTCCGTGCTGGGTGAGGCTGGGCAGCACTCGGGGGCTCTGCTCCCGGGCCTGGAGCTTCCGGAGGTCAGGTCCTGCCTGCCGGGCCTCCTCCGGGGGTGTCGTCCCCCGCTTCGCAGATCCCTGCCTCCTGCCCTCCTGCATCTGCGCTCCCAGGGGTGGGCGGGATTCGACCCCTGCGGGCTCTGGTGGGAGGTCAGGGCTGGGTAGGACTTGGAGGGCCCTGTGCATTCCCCCCTGTTGAATCCCTTCTGTTTGCCTGGGCTGGGTGGGCCAGGTGGACTCAGGGACGTCACCTTTTGTCAGGCTGGCATCCAGGGACCCCGAGTTTGCTTGGCGCCCCACTCTGGGATATCGGACTCCGCCCGTGGGGGCGTGGCCTGGGGTGGGGTCCTGAGCGGCTCCTCCCCCATTCAGTGCCCCCGGTGCTCCTGGGGTCCGCCGACCCAGTGACCAACGTCACAGCTGCTGTGCACGGCCCCTTGACTCTGCTCTGCGAAGCCACAGGGGTCCCGCCCCCCGAAGTGCGCTGGTTCCGGGAGGAGCAGCCCATCCAGCCCCGGGAGGACACCTACCTGTTGGCGGGTACATTACCTACCGGCCGGGCTGTGTCCCAGGATCAGGTCTGATCCCTCTGTGCATGACATGACTGTGACCTCTGACCCCGAGCCCCAAAACACAGGTCAGGGGAGCTGCTCCCTGCGGTGAGGAGAGGTACCTCAGGTCCCGCTCTGCTCCCCTGCTGCTGACCCACAGTGAACATTTTCAGGGAAAAGATTGTGATAAGTCCTGCAGCCAAGAGCTGCACCATGCAGGAAGTGCCAGTCCAAGTGCCTTCTTGGCTTATTCATGTTCCCGGGAGCTTGATCCTCGATGGTTCCCACTGGTTAACAGATGGGGAAACTGAGGCCCACACCTTTCATCCCAGGTGGCTGGATGCTGAGGGTGAGCCAGGCTCAGGAGCAGGACCGAGGTCTGTACGCGTGCCTGGCCAGCAACGAAGCTGGGGAGGCATGGAGGAACTTCAGCGTGGAGGTCCTAGGTACGTGGCAGCCCTGCCCCTGTGGGGGCCCCAGAAGCCTTTGCTTCCTGCCCGGAAGCTTCCAGACGCAGGCAGGGAAGGGAAGCAGCCAAGCCTTGCTGCCTCGGCTTTATCCAAAATCTCTGCCCTGAGGCCACTATGGAACTTTCCAGAAGCAGCGGGACCCACACACAGTGGAAAGGGGGACTCTTTTCAAGGACTTGTCTGAGTGGCTCTGAGAGTCCCTCGGCCAGCAGGAATTTTCCACTAAACCCATTGCCCTGTGAAAGCCGGCGCCAGGGTGTGGGGAAACTGAGGCCCAGGGCACTGAACAGGAGCCGGGGGCTCTCGGCTTCCTGCTCGGCAGTTGTGCACCCAAGTGGCTGGCCCTGGTTGGTAGTGAGCACCTCCTCGCTTCTCCTAGTTCCCCCCACTATAGAGAACGAGGGCTTGGAGGAGGTGACCAGGGTGCCCGAGGGACAGACAGCCCAGTTGACTTGCAACACCACAGGTAAGGGCTGTGATGTGCCCCTGAGTGCCTTGGGGCCTCTGTGCCCATGCTTCCCCTCCTCCCTGCTGCCCTGCTGACCGCACATCACAGCCCCCAGCGCCTCCACCCAGGTCTTGGCCAGCGCCCAATGCCAGGGCTTCCTGCCCAGCACTGGCTAATGGGATGTGTCCTGTGACAACTGAGATCCTGAGAGAGCCAGCTCCTTGTCTTCAGAGAGCAGGCTGCCACTGATGCTTGTGGGATGGGGGATGGGCAGACGGATGGACAGATGGATGGACGGATGGTTGGGAAAACAGGGAACAGATACATGGATAGATAGATAGTAGCCCGGATAGATGAATGGCCAGGTAAGTGGGTGGGAGGATGGATGGATGGTGGATGGAAAGTAGGTGGGCAGATTGGTGGGTGGACAGAAGCCCGAGTGGATGAGAGGACAGAAGGAGGAACTTGCCGCTCCATCCTGCCTGTCTGGACCAAGCCGACTCCAGCCCCAGCAAGCAAGAGGCAGGCAAAGCCCAGGAGAGGGGCCCTGCTGTCACTTCTGTCTCCACGTCCCCTGTCCTGGCTGCGAGCAGCCCCTGACCTCTGGTCTGTCTGCCTCAGGCCACCCTCAGCCCATCATCACCTGGTTCAAAGACGGCCGGCCCCTGGGTGGTGGAGATGCCCACCACACCTCCCCAGATGGAGCCCACCTGTGGGTCCCCCAGGCCAACCTGTCCCATGCCGGCCACTACTCCTGCATTGCCAGCAACGTCGTGGGGGAGAAGACCAAGCACTTCCAGCTCAGCGTGCTGGGTGAGCCGGGCATGCCAGCCTGGGCTGGCGGAGTGACCGCTCCTTAGTGATAGAATTGGCGGCTGCATCCAGGTGCTTGCTTGGTTAGATCTTCATGAGGAGCCTGAGCTCTAAGGCCTAGTGTGGTGATGGTGACATGGTTCACATCCAGAGTGTCTGTCCCCGAGGGCAATGTGCCACCTGCTGTGTGCGGGGAGACACAGTGGCTCGGTGACATCTGCTTCTAAAAATGCTGGGAGTGACAGGTTGAGCCCAGGCAGCGCTGTCAGAGGAAACTTCCAGACCAGTCCGAGCAGGGCCATGCCGCCCCGCAGTGAACAGGCCCCCAGCTCAGGGAGGAGTGCAGACCTGCAGCAAACAGGACTGAGGAGGCCTGCCTCGGTCGGTAGATGTGCTGGGTGTTGAGAAGCCATTAGAGAACCTGAGGTGGAGGTTACCATCTTACTCTCGTGCCCTGATCACAGTGGGAAGGTTGGGTCCTGGGCGGCCAGCCCTGAATTCAAGTTCAGCTGTACCAGTCGGTGTCAGGCACACAGCGGCAGCTTGGGGCTAAGCACCTGGGTTCTGGGCTGTCTCAGGCCTTGGTCGGAGCTGGGGATCTGTGCCTAGAGTGCCCTCCTGCCCGCCACAGTGCTGCCCACCATCCTGGGGGCGACTGAGGATGGTGCCGGCGAGGAGGTGACCGTGACCATCAACAACCCCATCTCTCTGATCTGCGAGGCGCTGGCCTTCCCTGCCCCCAACATCACCTGGATGAAGGACGGGGTCCCTTTTGAGGCTTCCAGGAACATCCAGATGCTCCCAGGTGACGTCCTCTTGGGCATGGGTGACACGGGGGACACACATCACGTTGGCTCCACCAGAGCTCACAGCAGCTGTGACACTGGTCCCCGTGTAGGCACCCGAGGGCTGCAGATCCTGAATGCCCAGAAGGAGGACGCGGGCCAGTACACCTGTGTGGTCACCAATGAGCTGGGGGAGGCCACCAAGAGCTACCACGTGGAAGTGCTCAGTGAGTTGGGCACGTGGGCACAGGCCCTGTGGGACACCCTGGGTGTCTTCCAGGTTCCTCTGATGCCACTGGGCAGCTGCAGACGCTCTGGCATTCACCACCGAAGCCCTGAGGCTGCCAAGAGCTGCAGTGGTGTTAGGACTCGGCCCTCTGGGTCCCGGCTTCTCCAAGCCTGGCTTTCTTCTGCAGCCAGGGGATCCTCAGCTGGAGGCCTGGACCCCAGGAAGGGCCTCCAGAGCTCACCCCAGGAGCCCCCTGCCTCAGGCCTGCCCTGTCTGCAGCCATCACAGACAAATACATGCCTCATCTCCTACGTGGATACCCCGTCCCTCCACTCTGGGGAGCCAGACCCTCACTTCTGGGGCTGTCTCCAGGATCCGGGGACCCCTCAGACCCTCTGTGATTTTTTTCAGTCCCCCCTTCCATCTCCAAAGACGACCCTGCGGGGGACCTGGGGGTGAAGGAGGTGAAGACGAAGGTCAACAGCACCCTGAGTCTGGAGTGCGAGTGCTGGGGCTCCCCCCCGCCCGCCATTAGCTGGTACAAGGATGGACAGGTGCGCCCGGGGGACCCAGCGGATGGGCACCTGGCCTCTCCCCTCAGTGTCTGCCCGAAACCTTCCAGAAGAGGCAGGACCCACAGCTGGCCTGGGCCCCACCCTGTCTTTATGCTGTTACAGCCCTCACCCCTTTTATGTTCCGTTTATTTTGTTGTGGAACAAGTTCTCATTAAGTAGCTAAATTTCCCAGGCAGGGCTTGAAGTTAAGGCCCTCCTGCCTTGGCCTCCCAGACTGCCGGGGTTACAGGCTGGCACCACTGTACCCAGCAAAGCATTATCTTTTCATCCAGCTTTTTACAGGGGACCGTGCTCGCCAAATGTCACCATCTCTATGCTGTCATGTCCAGCCTTTAGGCTGCAGGGATTTGCTTTGACAAAGTCAAGGTGTTCGGTGACTTTATACTGTGGTTTTGTTTCGTTACCGGGAATCGAACTCACGGCCTTGTGCTTGCCAGGCAGATGCCGTGACGCTGAGCTGCACCCCCGTGTTTTTTAAAACGTGAGCACAAATCTCGGTGCCTCTGCCCATTTCTGACTGTCTCCCCAGCCCGTGACACCTGGCCAGCGTCTGCGCATCATGGGCGAGGGCCGCCTGCTCCAGATCCAGCCCACACAGGTCTCGGACTCGGGGCGGTACCTGTGCGTGGCCACCAACGTGGCCGGGGAAGATGACCAGGACTTCACCGTGCTCATCCAAGGTGCGTGTGCCCAGGGAGGCCGGCAGGGGGTGCTTGAGAGCCGAGCCACGGCGGGGCCCAAGCCGGGGTTTCCCCACGCTCAGCAGGGCAGGGTAGAGGAGGCTCAGGGACAGGGCTGTTCCTCCCCCCACCCCATCCCCAGGTCACAGGATTCAGCCCGGAATGGGCGCGTTTGAGCAGAACCCCTCGCTCTAAGCCCTGCTGGTTTTATCTGGAAGCTTGGGGAGGGTGGGTGGAGGCGCCTGCCTGTGTGCTGGGGGTGTGTGGGGGTCTCTGCGTCTCCCCTGCACCCTGGCTAATGTTGGCTTTGTCCCCAACAGAGGTGAAAGAAGTGGGGAGGGGCACAGGAAGTAGGCGCCCATGGCCAAGCCAGGTTGTGCTGAGGGGCACCGTCTCTGGTGCCTCCACGCAGGGCCCTTGGCCCTGGCTTTATCCTTGACGGGCTGCAGGACCTAAGGCTGTCATTGTCCTCTCCTAGGTGATCAAAGCAGGTGGCTTTGGGCCCCTTCCAGCTCTAGCAGCTGTCCTGTCCTCTGAAAGGCCATGTGTCCCCAGCTTTCGGCCCTGGCAGATTCCTCTGACTTACAAGGAGGCTTTGGCTCCTGTCAGAAATTTTATCCTGTAGGAAACTTATCCCAGCCCTGGCACATAGTAGCTGTTCAATAAGCACACAGGGTGTGGATGTGACAATTCCTTGACCAGAACAAATGGCTCCCGCACTGGTCAGGTGTCTGTGGGGGCAGAGCTCGTGCCCTGACTGTGTCTCCTCACAGCGCTGTCCCCTCTGCCCAGTCCCCCCCATGTTCCAGAGGGTGGGCCATCCCAGCGCTGCCTTTGAGTCCCTGTCCCGGGAGGAGGAGGCCCGGGGTGAGGTGACGGAATACCGAGAGGTGGTGGAGAACAACCCGGCCTACCTGTACTGCGACACCAATGCTGTCCCGCCGCCAGAGCTCACCTGGTACAGGGAGGGGCGGCCCCTGTCCACCTCTGCCGACCACAGGGCCTCCGTGTTGCAAGGTAGGCTGGGCGCTGAGTACTGCTGCCTGGTGACTGCGGGTAATTTTGCAGTCCAAGGCCCCAAACGGAGGGCTCCCGGCTCTCCTGGACCAGGCGCCGGCTGATGCTGGTAGTACCGAATCTCTGAGCGGCCCATGTGGTCCGTGTGATTTCTGGCTTAGCACTTAGCACGGGTCCTGCCAGGTTGGTACCCAATAAGTAGAGTCACACTGAGCTTGGTGCTTTGGCCCTCGAAAAAAAAAGAGGTGACCCCCTGTTGGCTGCCGTTAGCAGTTCCGGAAGGGACCTCTCCCCCTGCCCGTGACGTCTGACCTGCTCTCAGGAGACTCAGCCAGGGGTAGATCCATAGCATGGACCCTGACAGTGGGTCCAGCTCAGCTGCCAATCAAAGCCAGACGCTGGCTACTTGTCCTGCCCTCTACCGGGCCAGTGGCACTGACCTTTCACTCCATCACCAACCCCTACCCTGGCCATGCAGCCCTAATCCTGGCCATGGTCACCAGCTGACCTGAGTTCCAACCCTGACCGGTTCTAAACTCAAACTTCAGCAGAGCCCAACCCAGGCTCTGCCCCTTGTTCCCGGCCACTGTCCCCTGGCCCTACACATGAACCCCTGGTTTGGCCCTGGTCAAGCCACCCACAGCCTGGGCCTGAGCACATGGCGACCCTAACCCAACATCAGCTAAAGGCCAGAGCCAGTGCCTGCTTGATGCCAGGGTCTGTTCCTGCCGGGCTCCGGGTCCCAGAAGGTCCGGAGTGATAATCTTCTGGTGGCCACAGGCCCACGAGCCTCTTTGGACATCGGAGTTTGTACCTACCACTGTCCCGCTGGCCCCTGGGGAAGCCTCAGTTTCTCCATCTGTAAGATTGGGTAGCAGAGGCCCCGTGCCTGGCACGCAGTGAGCCAGCAGCCGCACGGGACTTCTTTTCACCTGCAAGTTGTGGAAGGCAGGCTGAGGCGCCCTGTACCACAGATGAGGCAGGAGGGTGACTTTCCTACTCCAAGCTCAGGCCTCTGTCCTGCATGCAGGTGGCCGGGTCCTGCAGCTGCCCCTGGTGCGGGCAGAGGATGCTGGGAGGTATTCGTGCAAAGCCTCCAACGAGGTGGGCGAGGACTGGCTACACTATGACCTACTGGTGCTGAGTGAGTGGCCCTGGCCTGGGGACACAGGGAGCCTGGGAACCTCCAAGGAGCCCAGCTGGGGGGTTCAGCCCCACCTGACCCTGAGCCTCCCAGGGGGGCTCCACATCGGGCAGAACTGGGTCACTTTCCAGGTGTGTGAGCTTCCTGGCTGTGTGACCGCAAGCAAACCACAGCCCTCTCCATGCCGTAGAGTCCTCAGTGACCGCCAGCCCTGGGGGAGGGGGGGCGGCGAGACAGGGTGTGGAGCCCCAGTCAATGCCTGGCATCCTGTGCTGCTCCTCACCTCCTGTCCCCAATCCAGCCCCGCCTGTGATCCTGGGTGACACCGAGGAGCTGGTGGAGGAGGTGACTGTCAATGCCAGCAGCACTGTTAGCCTCCAGTGCCCGGCCCTGGGCAACCCGGCACCTACCTTGTCCTGGCTGCAGAATGGGCTGCCTTTCTCCCCGAGCCCGAGGCTGCAGGTGCTGGAGGACGGGCGAGTCTTGCAGGTGAGGACGGTGCTACTCGGGCTGCAAGGGCCCCATGAGCTCAGAGGCCACCAGCAAAGGGGGCGCATGCCTACCGCAGATGGGCCTGGTGGGCCCAGAGCCACTGTGGGCAGCTGGTGGCCTCAGACAGAGCCTGGCCACGCGTAGGCCCCACTCCACCACCAGTGTCTATACAACGGACTGTAGGCAACCCTGGGGACCAGCACAGCCCCCAGCAGTCCTCCTCAAGCCCAGCCCCGTGACACCCCCAGGGGCTCGCAAAGCCCTGGTGGGGGCCCTCTCAGGGCTCCACTTGGCTCCCTGGGAGCACCCGGGGTCACTTGCCAGCGTGGGGGAGAGGGACAGTGTCGGGGCGACTCCCCAGGTGTCCACGGCAGAAGTGGCTGACGCTGCCAGTTACATGTGTGTGGCGGAGAACCTGGCGGGCTCTGTGGAGAAACTGTTCACCCTGCGGGTCCAAGGTGAGCCGGCCAAGGGGGTCCCTCCTCCGTGAGGGGGTTTCAGGACTCGAGGTTTGGGGATCCCAGCCTGGCCCCAGCAGCATCAGGGGACAGAGAGCGTTTGCGGGGCACCCTGATCACTACTGGGTGAACCCCTGATGCTTGGAAGCCGATGGGGGCAGTCATTGAGCCCTTACTGTGTGTGTGACACGGCTGAGTGCTTTCCCGGGGGCTTCTTCCCACGGAGACACTCAGAGAGCAGGCCCAGGTTGGGGAGCGCCTCGGCACCCCATGGCCTCCGGAATGGGAGGGGGCGGTGCTGAGCCCTCACTGTCAGGGGCCCTGATGGCTGTTTGGGCTCTGGGCTGACGGCTATGCAGCCTTGGAAGTGTGGCTGCCCTCTCTTATCCCCAGCCCCGTGTGCTCACGGGTAGGAGCCCTCCCCTGGGCTGTTGCAGAGGTCTTCGCCCTCGGGGTCTCCCCCCTGGCTGCCCACCCCTGCCAGCCTCAGTCTCACGTCTCTCTTCATCCCCGTGGCTGTGTGTGTGGTGGGGGGCAGTGCCCCCGCGGATCACGGGCCAGAACCTGGAGCGGGTCAGCGCCGTCCTCAACAGCAGCGTCTCCCTCCCCTGCGAAGCCCTGGCTCACCCGAGCCCCGAGGTCACTTGGTACAAGGACGATGAGGCCCTGGCCCTGGGGGAAGAGGTTTTCCTCCTGCCTGGTGGGTAAACCGAGCCTTGTGGGGAGCCGCAGCTGCTTCTCAGAACGGGGACAGGGTGGGGGGCCGGGGGATCTTGGCTGGGGGGCTGGGGCTGGCGTGAGGCTTGGCTCCCCACAGGCACCCACACGCTACAGCTGCCCCGTGTGCAGCCCTCGGACTCCGGGACCTACCTGTGCGAGGCCCTCAATGCGGCCGGCCGTGACCAGAAGGCTGTGCAGCTCAGTGTGCTGGGTGCGTCCCATCCCCACCCGTGGTGCCCGCCTCTCCCTTGGGCAGCAGAGCCAGTCAGGGGAGGGGACAACCCCTGGCGCCAGGGAAAGTCAGGTGCTACTAGCTGTCCCATGGCAAAGGCTGTCCTCTCAGGAGCTGGGAACAGCTCTGTGACCACAGGGAGTCCTCATCCCTCTTTGAGCCCTAGCTTTCCGGTCTGTGAAGTCAGTGGTCAGCCCGGTGTGTGGCTCATGGGAGCCTGGGAGGAGGGGGAACAGCAAGATGAACCCCGAGATCTGGGCCCAGGAAGGGACCCTTCCTTGCCAAGCTCATGTGGTCATGGATTCTCACTGCAGAGATCGTGATGGCCCTTGGTCTTTGGGGTCCTCTTAGGGGAAAGCTGGCCCCCAGTGTCACCAGCTGGGGGCTGGGGTTCACGCAGCCTCTCTGCAGCCCTGGGCTGGTTCATACCATGCCAGGCCCTGGAGTCTCAGAGTAGGAGACAGAGTGGGGGGCAGTGGGGAGAGCTCCCGAGGAGAGCTTCACCCAGCTGGAGGTGGACCCTCACAGGAGGGAGCCCAGGAGGGCTGTGAGCAGCAACCTGGAGGAGGCTGAGGCCCAGAGAGGGCATGAGGTTGCCCCAACCGCCCAGCACACCCTGCCATGCTGGCCTGGCCTTTTCTCCAGGGTCAGGTTTACCTTGTGACCCCTAGGGCTCCATAGAACTTGCCCATGGGAGGACTTAGGAGGACCCAGGAGGCCTTGGTGAGTCACTGGGCTGTCGTCTTGTGTCCCCAGTGCCCCCCACCTTTAGGCAGGCTCCCGACAGCCACCAGGAGGTGATCTTTGTCCGTGCCGGGGACAAGGCCATCCTGAACTGTGAGACGGACTCATTCCCAGAGCCGGTCGTGACCTGGTACAAGGACCAGCAGCCCCTGGCCCCGGGGCCGTGGGCCCAGGCTCCGCAGGACGCTCAGCGGCTGGAGATCCTGGCGTCCCAGGTGGGCAGCATGGGTGGAAGGGCAGAGGCCTGGCGCTGGGGTGTTGGGTGTGAGACCTGCAGATGGATACCCAGGAAGGACGTGGGCCCTGAGAGTTAATGTCCAGCCAATGCTCGCACTGACCTGCCCCACTCTCTGCCTCAGTTTCCCAGACCTGGTTTGCTCCAGCTCCTCCTTGCTGGGCCCTGTGGCTCCTGGGCATCTGCCCCATCTTCCTTCCACTCTGGTGTGGCCCACACACGCTTAGGTGTTCCTTGTGCGAAGGCTCGCCTTGGTCTAGAAACTCCCCTGGGCACTGTCTCCTGGCCCAGCTCCAACACAGAGAGAGGGGCTTGGCCCGGGGGAGAGGGCTCTTGGAGGTCCTGTGTACTCACTTGCCAGGACCCTCCTGTTTCTTGGGGCTCTTAAGAAAAGACAGAAAGTCCCAGCTCACTTTAGCTCCCTGGGCAGAACCAGATTTGGGGAGTCCCTGCCCTGAAGACTTCTCAACCTGGATATATACATCGGGGAGCCTTCTCCCCAGGTCCATGTACCCCATCACTATGTGCTTTTCCTGCTTCAGGTGTGGGACAAAGGTTCATACAGCTGTAAAGTTAGCAACGCCGCCGGGGAGGCCACTCGGACCTTTGTCCTCACTGTCCAGGGTAAGATATGCCCAGCCTGGCTGACCCACCCATGACCTCCTGCCCGGCAGCACATAGGCTACTAGGAAGTGGTGGTGCCGCAGGTTATGGACTCGAGATCTGGAAATTCAAAGAGCAGGGTTCATTAGGGCTCTGCCCAAGACCTGCTTTGTGGGGCAACTTTGTGCCCTGGGCCTTGGGTTCATCACCAGTCAAGTTTGGCCCAGAGCAGGGCCGGCTGGCTGGGTACCCCAGAGGCAGCAGATGTGCTGAGAGAGCTGGGCACCTGGTGCTGGGGTTAAGCCTGAGACACCAGGCACTTGTTGCTCTGGGCCATGCCACCTTTGTCATGAGCCCTTAGGGTACCATGCCATCAGCCCAAGGATGGAACATGGATGGCTGGCATTGGGCTGGACATATACCTCCAGCTGGGGTGGAGAGGAGCCTGACTCATCAGTGTGGGGAGTTGGCCCGGTTTTCTGGGGTCAGATATGTGTCAGCTAGTGTATAGATCTAGCTGTGTAACAAAGAGTCCCCAAAGTACAATGGATTCACTAGGAGAGAAGTTTCCTCTCAGGCCAAAGCCTGGAGGTGAGTGTTAGCGCTGGTGGGGTCCCCAGCTCCATGTGGTAGCTTGGGAGAACCCACCCAGGTTCCTTCCATCTTGTTGCTCCTCCATCTCCAAAGGGCTTATCCTTCTTCCTGTGGCTGAAGTCTGGACACGCTGCAGCCTGTCCCCAACCACAGGACGCAGAAAGGAGCACAAGTGTATCTGTCTGTCCCACTTGTGTTCTGTGAATAAGAGCTCAGGCATCTGGCCACTGTGCTACACAGGAGTCTGGGAAATTTAGTTTTTCCTTGCATGACCAGGTGCTCAGTTAAAACTCGGGTGTCTGTGATGGGAAAACAGGTCAGGGGCACCCCATCCACCAGCAGCCTCCCAGTCAGGGAGCAGTAGATGTTTGCCATCCTGAGCCACACTGGATATAGTCTTGGAAATGGCCAGTACCAGGCATGGGGCCCTAGGTGCACAACTCCCTCCATGAGAAAGCAGAAGGTAAAGATCTCTGATCCTGGAGGGCAAAGATGTTTCACCCAGCCAACTACTCTCCTGGTACGGTCTGCTTGGGTGTATGACTTCATCCTGGCTGAGAGAAGAGCTGCAGGATCTATTAGTGATGTCTGTCCTGACACAGGCTAAGGATTGCTGGTGCATGAGCCATTCATTTACCATCCTTAGATTAAGCAGACCCATTCAGGGCTCTGCTTTGTAGATGCTCATTGCAGCTGCATTTGTGAATAAAGCAATCATTCCCATCAGTGGCAGAGCATAGAATGTGAACTCCTGGCTCCAGGGAAGGGCCTGCTGACCTGCCGGAGATGAAGGGAAGGGGAAGTCTGAGGATTCCAGGAATGTGGTTTCTTTCTCACAGTGCCCCCAATGTTTGAGAACCCCAAGACAGAGACAGTGAGCCAGGTGGCTGGGAGAGCCCTGGTCCTGACCTGTGATGTGTCAGGGGTCCCTGCGCCCACTGTGACTTGGTTGAAGGACAGAATGCCTGTGGGTGAGTATGACGTGTCCTTCTTAACACTTGAGTGCAAAATGTTCTTTTAGTCAAGACCATGATAAAGAAGACAGAATTTGTTAACACTCCCATCAGACTGAGAAGGCAGGTTCCGGTGGAGGCCCCGCCCCTCCCGGAGACCCCGCCCCATTCATCTTTTGATTCTGTTTCTTGGAACCCAGACTTCAAGGACCGCCCCCTTCCCTCCTCCCTCCCTGCTCCCAGGAGACAGCTGACTGGTTCAAGACCAGTGTAGGGGAAAAGAAGGGGCCCATTCGCCATGACCAGGGCCTTGATGGGGGGAGAGGGGTGGAGCCTGAGCTTGAGGCCCAGACCCTCCAGGGCATGGATCCCTCGGGAAGAAGTGTCCCCAGTGGAAAGAAATCGGGGACCACTGTAAAGAACAGAGCAGTCAGAGACTGAAAGTGATGTAAGAGTAGGCTCCATCCCTCCAGGCCTCAGTTTCCCTGAGTAGAAGCAAGGGATGAGGAGCTCAGAGGCCCCCCCCCATCCCCCAGAGAGCAGCGTGGTGCATGGCGTGGTCTCCCGGGGCGGCCGCCTGCAGCTGAGCCGCCTGCAGCCCACCCAGGCCGGCACCTACACGTGCGTGGCCGAGAACGCCCAGGCCGAGGCCCGCAAGGACTTCGTGGTGGCCGTGCTGGGTAGGTCCGTGTCCCGGCCCCTCCTAGAGTTCCACCCCGTGGCTGCCCCCCGAGCCACCTCACCACACTCCTGCCGCAGAGGCTCCCCGGATCCGGAGCTCGGACGCCCCGCAGGAGCACAGCGTGCTGCAGGGCCAGGAGGTGCGGTTAGACTGCGAAGTCCAGGGGCAGCCGCCGCCCGACGTGGCCTGGCTGAAGGACGGCGCCCCGCTGCAGCAGGACGTGGGTCCCCACCTGCGGTAAGACCAGCTGTGCCCGCCCCAGGCAACCAGCTGCCGCCTGCCGCGGTCCCAGCCCTCCACAGCGCCTCCCTCGCAGGTTCTTCCTGGACAGCAGCTCCCTGGTGCTCAAGGGCCTGAGAGCCTCGGACTCCGGCGCCTACACTTGCGTGGCCCGCAACACAGCGGGGGAGGATGCCAGACTGCACACGGTCACCGTGCTGGGTGAGACGTGGCAGGGGACGGGCATGAGGTCACAGCAGGTTGGCCAACGAGGGGTCTCTGTGGGCACCAAGAGGTGCTGAGCAAGCAGAGAAGGATGCAGGAGACCTGGGTTCAAATCCCAGCCTCAGCCTGGTGGGGGCGTCCCAGGGCTCTGGACTCAGTCCTCAGACGCTAGGTATCACCTGGCCAGGATGCTGCAGGGATCAGGGTGCAGGGGATGAGAAGGAATGGGGTGTCCCTTAGGTGGGTGACAAGTCTCTAGGAGCCCCTGACTGTGATGGCTGTAGGTGGCACAGCCCAGGGCTAGGTGCTGCCTCCTGCTGGCCCTTGGAGGAGCCCTCTCCCTGCCACCTCTCTTTTGCTCTCTGCCACCCCAGTCCCCCCCACCATCGAGCAGGAGGCAGGTGGCACAGGGATTCTGCTGAGCAGGCCTGGGGAACTGGTGACCATGGCGTGCCCAGTCCGGGGCTCCCCACCCATCCACGTGAGCTGGCTCAAGGACGGACTGCCACTGCCCCTATCTCAACGCACCCAACTGCATGGCTCAGGCCGCACCCTCAGGTAGGGGAGAGGCCGTCTGGAAAAACATAAATACACAGAGGCTCGTGGTGGGGAGAGCGAGAAGACTCCGGGAGCCACAAAAACTGAACTCAGCTGGCCGGGTGCAGGAAATCAGGGAGGGCTTCCTGGAAGAAAGTGCCACAGAGAGTGCTTACTGTTTCAGGCCTGGGATGGGGAGCAATAGATGCAAAGGCGAGGGTGTGCTTTGAAGAAGAAAGCAGAGAGAGAGATGGGGAGGCAGTGTTTATTTCAGAGCAAGCAGGAGTAGGTGCTTGGCTCAGGGGGCATTTTCGTGAGATGGGAGGAAGTGGGGTGGTGAGTGTGTTTCATGGAGAAGAGCATCTGGGCAGAGGAAGCAGCAGGTGCAGGGGTGGACAGGAGAGGACAGGGCTGTACTATGTGGGGCCCAGAAGGACTAGGGTTTTCCTAAGAGCTAAGAAACCTGGGGGGGGGGGGTTTCAGTGCAGAGAGCTTGTGGTGTGGCTCATGATACTTTTTGGTTTTTGTTGTGGTGAAAACATACAACATAATGTTCTCATCTTGACCAGGCCTAAGTGCTTTAGCATTAAGCACGTTGGTAGCCAGGAGGAGGCTGAAGCCAATTTGAGCCCAGCCTGGGCCACTCATTTTTACTCAGGTCTCGTCTCAAAATAAGAAATAAAGAGTTGGGGGTGTAGCTTGGTGTGAATGCCCAGGACTGGATAAACCCCAGCACCAAGTAAATCAAAAGCAGTCGAGGCAAAGGGAGGTGTTTAGACAAACGAGAAGGCTGCATCTGTGGCTTTGAGGCAAATGTCTGCGCTCACAAAGATTCCCAACCAAGGTGACGCAGGTCTGAGGTTGTTGTTATGGGGCACACGACCCCAAAGAGTGTTTTGGGGCACACTGGTGGTCCTGGCGGTCTTTTGTGCAGCCACACAGAGGGCCCCACCCCTGCCCAGCCCTGGCTGTGTCCGGGTCCCTCTGTGGTGGGACTTGACCAGAGGGGCTCCATGCGGACTCTGGTGGCTTGGGCCGTGGAGAGGCTCTGGGACATCCAGGGGTGGCCATGTGGACGGTGTTGGAAGCCAGGACGGGCTGTGGAGTGGACCGTGCCCCTGCTGCGGGGTTAGGACAGGTCTAGGGGCTGGGGAAGGGATGCAGCAGGGCCGGTGACAAGGAGAGCCAGGCCCAGGAGTGAGTGACAGTTTCAGCATCATGGCTGTCACTGGAGCAGCTCGGACGGGACGTGGGGGCAAAGGAGCTTCAAAAGGAAGTGGGGGACAGTGGGTGGGACAGGGACAGAGAAGTGGTCCACAGGGAGGACAAGCAAGCTCTCCCTGTCCCGATGATGGGGGTCCCGGACACTGGGCTCCGCAGCAGGGTGGTTGGAGGGCTGGGGCTCGGCCAGGTCACCAGGTGGGGTAGGGGGAGCAGAGGGCAGAGGGTGGGCTCTGCTCTGCACTCCTGTCCCCACTTTGAGAGAAGGCAGAAAGAGCAGGGGTGGCTGGGACGCTTCTGTGCAGCCTGCACCCCTCTTCCCCGTCTCCGTCTCTTCTTCTCCTCCCTGCCCTGTCCTGGGGTCGGCGCTCAGGATTTCCCAGGTGCAGCTGGCGGACGCGGGCACCTTCACCTGTGTGGCTGTGAGCCTGGCCGGTGTGGCCAGCAGGAACTTCACTCTGCAGGTGCTGGGTATGGAGCCGGGGATGCAGGAGGGCGCTTGGGCCTTGGTAGGGAGAAGGAGGACCCTCGGGCCACCAGCCTGTCTGGGTGGAGCTGAGGGCAGCCCTTGGGGTGCCCTGAGCAGAGCATGCTCAGCGGTTCAGTCTTTGATTCCTTCAGCTGCTTGGCCACTTGTCTCACTGGTAGTCCTTGCTGCCAGGGCCTCACCAGGGTGCCAGGGCCTCACCAGGTGCCAGGATACAGGAGTGAGCAGGGTGCTTGTCACCCAGGACAGGGGCAGGGGCTCCCTGGCCTTGGGGACCCCAGGGAGGTTCCTGGCCCAGGTGAGAAGGAACTCTCCAGGAGCAGGGTGTCTGGCAGGTAAAAAGAGCCCATGCCAAGGTCCTGGGGTGAACTGGTTCTTCCCATACCCTTGTTCCCCACAGTGCCTCCCATCCTGGAGCCAGCGGACTTCCAGGGCGAGGTGGTGGTGGCCCCTGGCTCCTCTGTGGTCCTGCCATGTGAGGCCCAGGGGAGCCCCCTGCCCCTCCTGTCCTGGATGAAGGACGGGGAACCCTTGTTGCCCCAAAGCCTTGAGCAGGGGCCTGGCCTGCAGCTAGAGAGAGTGGGAGCCGGTGACTCGGGGACCTACTCCTGCGTGGCCACCAGCGAGGCCGGAGAGGCCATGCGACACTTCCGGCTGACTGTCATGGGTGCGTTGGGTCCTCAGGGTGGCTGCAGGGACCCAGCCTGAGTGGACAGAGGAAGTATACAGGAGGCAGGGGAGGCTTGGGGTGACCGCCTGGGGCTGGACAGAACGGCCCAAGGGCTCGGTGGAAACCTTCACCATGTCAGGCTGCACTGGGCGCGTGACTGCCATTTAGAGCCCCCATTCCGTGCCTTGCTGATTCATTCTTGTGTTTGCAGTGCTGGCGGTGGAGCCCGGAGCCTTTGCACTGAGCTTTGTTCTAGACCCTTTGTTATTTATTTTGAGACAGGGTCCTGCTAAGTTTCCAGGGCTGGGCTTAACCTTGCAGTCTCCTGCCTCAGCCTCCCAGCATGCTGGGATGTAGAGCCCAAGGGATTGTCCCCAGCAGAAGGGGCCCTGGCTCTGATGTTTCCATTTGTCTGTGCCTGGGTAGAGGGGGAAAAGGGGAAGAGGGGGCCCCATCTCCAAGCTCGGCTGTCCCGTCGTGGGCAGGGAGAGGAGCCCTGGGCTGCAGCTGACCAAGGCCATCCTGCAGACCCGCCCCACATCCAGGACTCGGGGCAGCCTGTGGAGCGGTTATTGGTGGCCGGTGCCCACATGGAGCTCCTGTGTGACGCCAGGGGCGTCCCCCAACCTAACATCACCTGGCATAAGGACGGGCAGGCCCTGCGTGGGCAAGCTGGCCGCGTGTTCCGTGTGGAGGGCGTGCAGGTGCTGGGATGGGGCTGGGACTGGGGGTGGAGGGGGAGGAGAGGGGCCGCTGCAGCTTCCTTGGGGCTGGGGCAGCTGCCGAGCTTTCTCCAGCTCTTCCTCTTGCGGGGTGTGAGGGTGTACACATGGCCCCCTAGTCCTGCTCCCCAGTACCAGACCCATGGTTGGTACCAAAACTGGAGAACTCCCCATCCAGCCAAGGAGGGCCGGTGCATCCAGGGGGCCTTCCCAGAAGAGGCTGGCCTTGCACCAGCCCTGGAGCAAAGTGAAGAAGTCCAGAGAGAGGCCTGGCTGGCTGGGAGGTGGAGAGGCAGCCTTGGTAGGCCCGGGGGAATCCAGATCGGAGCCCCCTGCTCATCCTGCTCTGTCCCCAGGTGGGTGACGCAGGGCTGTACACCTGCCTGGCTGAGAGCCCTGCAGGCGAAGCTGAGAAGAGTTTCCGGGTTAGAGTTCAAGGTAGAGGGTGTGTGGAGGTGGAGGCAGGATGGGGCCTCAGGACAGGGCTCCCTCTCATGTGCTCTTGTGCCCCCAGCCCCTCCAAATGTGGTTGGGCCCCAGGGTCCCCGCTCTGTGGTCGGCCTGGCCCCAGGGCAGCTGGTCCTGGAGTGCCCCGTGGAGGCAGAGCCAGCGCCCGAGATCGAGTGGCACCGAGATGGGGTCCTGCTGCAGGTGGGTGCCAGGCTGGGGACTCGAGCGCTGACTTTGGGGGACCCCAGGCCCTGGTTGGGTGGATCCTGGGCACTGAGCCTGCTCTGAGCAGTACTTGGCCTACCCGCTGTGTGGAGTCGTCCACCCCCATAATTCCTGTCTCCTTGGAGCTGGGGGACACTGAGGCCAGGCAGGGAGTCACATGGAGTGGCTGTGACCTGAGGCTGTAGCTGAGGCTCTCTCTGTTTGTCGTGAATGTGGCTCCTTTACAGCTGGATTCAAGGGTTGTGCGCCTGGCCTGGAACTTTGGATTGGGGTACCCATTCCTCTGAAAACGTCTGGTTCCTGTGCAGAGCTCAGGGATGCCATGGGGCAAAGCTGTGGCACCCAAATGGGTGGAGACCCTGTGATACCTCCCACACTTCCAGGGTTCCCATGCTCATGGTGCTGACATGTGTGTGTGGGGGTCTCTTTACCCTGGCCTCTGCAGGTGGACACACACACCCAGCTCCCGGAGCATGGCAGATTCCTGCAGTTGCAGGCCCTGAGCACGGCCGACAGCGGCCACTACAGCTGCACAGCCCGCAACCAGGCGGGCAGCACCAGCGTGGCCTTCCACGTGGAGATCCACAGTGAGTGAGCCCACCCCGCCTGCCTGCCTGCCCACCCACACAGAAGCCCCACTGAACCACAGGCCACCAGCCCTGTCCTTCTGTCCTCCCCACAGTGGTGCCCACCATCCAGCCAGGACCGCACGCCGTGAACGCCTCTGTGAACCAGATAGCCCTGCTGCCCTGCCGGGCCAGTGGTGAGCCCCCTCCTGTTGTGAGCTGGCGGAAGGATGGGGCTCCACTGGATCCGGAGAGCCCCAGGTGGGTGCTGGTGGGACAGGTGTTGGAGAGCTCTGTGGACAGCAGACAGGGACACCCAGGGCAGATGGAGCGGAAATGTGAGTTTGTCGTCTATATATGAGTGACCCTTAGAGGACAAGGCCCAGCAAGCCAGTGGTTAGTGGCCTTAGGACCCCAGTAGCCAGTGAGCTGCTGCTAATCTGTGTATGAGATGCGATCAAAAAGTGTGCTAAACCAAAGATCCTGGAAGTCTGTCACAGTAGAAGGCTGTTTCATGAGTCTGCCTCAGAGTCCTCCAGCTCCCTGGTCCCATCATTCTCCGTGCTTTCGGCAGCAGCTCTGGAGTGCTCTCTCCTGAGGGTCTGGCAGGTTCGAAGTCCTGAATCCACTCAAAGCCCTTTCCTTTCGTGGTCATTTTCACTTGGGGAGGAGTCGGAAGCCTCACAGTACCAGACCCAGTGACTAAGGTGACTGAGGACAGAGCGTCGTGTGTTTATGAGCTGTCTTTGCATTGCATGGCACTCGGCAGCAGCTTTCACCATATTTTTGATCACACCTTCTAAAGACACTCAGCAAAGTAGACTCCAGAACCGCTTCAGAAAGTGGTGGGGCAGGGGCGGTGCCTCGGACCTAGCTCAGTGGCACAGCGCCTGCCTGGGAAGCTGAGGCCCTGGGTTCCATTCCTGGTACCAAAAGGAAAAAAAGGAAGTGGCTGGGGATGGTGAGACAAGTGCGTTGGGGGGGGGGGCGTGTATTCTGAGGGGAATTCATGACATTGTGTCTTTCCTTGTAATGAATATTTTTTATTTCAACACTGTATTTTAATCACCCCTTATATGAGCTTTCTCTCTTTTCCTCTCCTTTCCTCCCATCCCTCCCTCTTCTTGCTCCTTCTCTCCTCCTTCTCCTTCTTTCTTCTCCCCTTCGAGCATGACAGATGCTGCCCCAACAGCCCCAAGCCCCCCAAATCTCAGCCCCTAGCTCACTCTGTGAATACCAAGACCAGGTTCCCAGAGTAGAGAATGTCATTGGCTCAAACTGAGTGATGTATCCTTCTGTGGTCCAATCAGCTGTGTTGGGGGTGGGACCACACCGTGCAGCACAGCGCCGGGGGAGGGCAGCTTCCCTGGAATTGGCACCTCTTGTGGGGAGCCAGGTCCAGCCGGTTTCAGTCCCCTCTGCTTGTTGGTCTCCATGGCAACCCCACCCCGCTTCCAGGCTAGAGGTTCTGCCTGATGGGTCTCTGAGGATCCAGCCTGTCCTCACCCAGGACGCCGGCCACTACGTCTGCCTGGCATCCAACTCTGCTGGCTCCGATCGGCAGGGCCGCGACCTGCAGGTCTTCGGTAGGTGGACCCTGCATCAGCCAGCCCCTTTGGGGGACCGGTCCTGCTTAGTTTCTAGGTTACCCCGGCAGTCAGGAGCCAAGCGCAATGGTCTTCAGGGTTTCTGACCATGAAACCTGTTAGTAAAAAGTTTGAATCGACGCACTCAAAGGATATGTATTTGTGTGCATGCTTAACACACACACACACACACACACCACTACCCTGTACACTGAGTGTATAGTGCGCTCAGCAAGTCAAACAGGAGACACTCTCTAAGAACATTCTCTTTCCAGCCCTTCCCCTGAGACAGGGCTGCCGAGCAGCCCAGCTCTATGGGGGCTGATACCATGATCAGAGTGGAGGAGAGGCCGGACCTGCAGCTTGTGGGGCCCTAAGACCTCGTCCTGCTCTGTAGGATTAGTTAGGCTCCTCCCCCGGAAGCCTCAGACAGCCCTTTCTTCCCTGACTCCTGCTGCTGTATCCCCAGAACCTCCAGCCATCTCCCCCGGCCCCTCCAACCTTACCCTCACCGCGCCCAGCCCAGCCGTGCTGCCCTGCGAGGCCAGTGGCTCCCCCAAACCCCTGGTGGCCTGGTGGAAAGATGGACAGAAGCTGGACTTCCACACGCAGCAGGGTGCCTACCGGTATGAGCTGGTCCTCCTGCGGGACACCTGAGCCATGGGTGGGGAGGGTGCCCACCGCCCAGAGAGGCCCAGGCAGGAAACCTGGTGGGGACCAAGCCCTGGGGACCAGGAGGTCACGACTTCAAGGCAGCAGGGATGGCCAGGCAGGGACTGGGTGCTTTACACATCCTTGGCCGAACAGGAGAGCACAGGAGTGTTAGGGTCCCTGCAATCAGACATGAAGAACATCGTGGAAGGGGCGGAGTGGTGCCTCCTTGGTGGAGCATTGCCCAGTATGCGTGAGGCTTGGGGTTCCATCCCAGCACCCCAAAACATAGCCACGGAGGTGTGTGCTGACTGGGCCCAGCCCTGTGTCTGTCCAGGAGCCTCTGCCTCCCTGCATAGCTAATTGTTCAGTGGCCATGGCCCGGCACCTGACGCTCTGACGTCTGGGGAATTAGTGGGCTCATCATGGTCATCCTGGGACCCAAAGCGGGCGCTCAGCACAGCAGGCTTTTGGACTGGGGCTCCTAGAGTGGTCCTGCAGAAGTTAGGAGAAAAGCTACTGCACCAAACGTACAGAGTTACAGAGAAACAAGGGAGGGAATCAGAGCCATGCAAACCCAACGGCCCAAACTCATGGGGTAGAAACTTCTGGGAGGTGTTTTTTGGGGAGGGAGAGTTTGAGACAGGATCTTGCTGTGCTATGCAGTCCAGGCAGACCTTCAACTCACAGTGACCTCCCTGCCTTAGCCTCCTGAGGGCTGGGATGACAGGCGTTGGCTTCCCTGCCTGGCTGGAAGACACGTCAGAGGCAGGACTGGGCGCCGATGTGGGAGGGAAGTTGTTGGGTGGGACCCACATCCAGATATGGCTGAAGCCATTGCAGGACAGCCATGCTGGCTCACCCAAGCCATCTGTCTGTCTGTCCATCCAGTCTCCTGCCCTCCAACGCCCTGCTGCTTATGGCCCCCAGCGCCCAGGACTCAGCTCAGTTTGAGTGCGTGGTGAGCAATGAGGTGGGCCAGGCCCGCAAGCTCTACCAGGTGACCGTGCATGGTGAGTGAGGGCTGGCATGGGCCCCTCCTCCTCCAGGAAGCCTCCCTGGATTCCGATCCCGTCCCACTCACAGAATAAGGCATCAGCGCAGTTCCCGGTGACGGGAACATGCAGGAAAAGTGGCACTAGTGTCACCCCCACCTCACAGCCCAGCTCCCCTGCACCTCACCAGGACTTAGGCCCTGTCCTTGGTTACAGAGCCTCCGACCATCGCCGATGACCAGACAGCCTTCACTGTGACCAGGATGGCACCCGTGGTCCTCACCTGCCACAGCACGGGGGTGCCGGTCCCCACTGTGTCTTGGAGCAAGGCGGGCGCCCAGCTAGGGGCCCGGGGGAGTGGCTACCGAGTCTCATCGTCCGGTGAGTGGTAGAGAGGACGGATGGAGGGATCAGCCTGGCTCTGCTGACCCCTTACTCTTTGAGGGCAGAGAAGCTGCTGCCCTCCCCGAGACTCAGTTTCCCCTTTGGGCACTGCCGTGTTGAGGCCCAGTAGGGGCTGGGGGCCTGAGGTTCAGGGCAGTGCCATGCTCTTTCCTGGCAAGGGGAGAGAATTTGCTGCCCCCAGCTTCTTCATAAAGTTTATTTTATCCCATGAGATCAGCTGCTGTTTATTCTGAAATTATGCTCTTAATTTCTTGATGTTGAAAGTTCCTTTCTTTGATAAAATTGAGGTGATGGTAGTTTTTATTTTGTTCAATACTTGGAATTGAACCAAGGTTTTTCACAGTAAGCTACATCCCCAGGGCTTTTTTATTCTTTTATTCTGGGACAGGGTCCTGTTAAATTGCTAAATTGTGGGGTGCATGCTTGTAATCCCAGAACTTGGGAGGCTGAGGCAGGAGGGTTGTTGGGAGTTTGAGGCCAGCCTAGGCTACAAAGTGAGTTCAAGGCCAGCCTGAACTGCATAGTGAGACCCTGCCTCAAAAAGATGCAAAAAAAGCCTCAGAAAGCCCCCCCCCCCAAAAAAAATTGCTAAGTTGCCCAGGCTGTGTTTGAATTTGCAATCCTCCAGCCTCAGTCTCCCAGAGTGCTGGGATTACAGGCACGCATCACCACATCTGGCTATGTGGTGACTTTCAGAAAGCCTCTGCTTGTCAAAATGAAAGTCTAGCAACCTTTTGGGGATTCCCCGAATTAAATTTATTTGTTGGTTGGCAGGGAAATCCTGAGCTGGGAATCTTGGATTAGATCTGAGGTTTTCAGACTATCTGAGGCAATAGAACACCTCCTTCTGGCCAGCAGTTACAGTGGAGCTGAGTAGGAAACACTTAGAAGCTCCAGATCCAGCAGGGCAGGGCCGTGGGTGATCTGAGGCCAGCAGGCTTGGCTCCCCCACCACCCGGGGATCTAGAGACTCCCTTACCTGTCTGGGGCAGGGCCTGTGGTCTGAGGAGATGGCAGGGGTGGCCACTGTGCACCAGGGTGAAGGGAAGGAGGATCAAAGAGGGATCCCGGGAGGCTTCCTAGAGGAGGCTGCTTTTTAAACATGGTGAAAAAACCAAAGTGGAGGAGGGCTCTGGGCCTGGGCAGAGTGATGGCCGGTCCTGGAGTGTCACAGCCGGCGTGCTAGAGACCAAGTCATCTGACTTGTCACTGTACCAAACGTGATCAAAATATACATAGTAGCCGGGGCATGGGGGTGCACACCTATAATCCCAGCACTCGGGAGGCTGAGGCAGGAGGATCGTTGGGAGTTCAAGACCAGCCTGAGCTCAAGGCCAGCCTGCACTGCAGAGTGAGACCCTGTCTCACAAAGCAAAAAAAAAAAAAAAAAAGTGTGTGTTTAAATTTAAAATATGTGTCACAGTAAACGATGCACTACCAGAAAGCCCCTCAGACTCTTCCCTCTCACCTCAAACACACTTTTCCCACCATTTTTGCCACTTTCTGAAGCAGTCCTGGAAGTGCCCCTTCCTGAGCGTCTGTGTGTGTTGCTATCAGGAATTTGGTGAAGGGTCCTGCTGAGTGCCACGAGTGCCACCCAGCGGGATGTCAGCTCGGAAAGACAGGATGAGGTGTCCTCCTCCACCTCACTCACCAGATCTGGCGCTGTGCGATTTCTGGCTTCTCAAAGTCAAAATGAGCAGGGAAAGGAAAGGTTCTGAGTCCATTCAGGACACAGAGGCAGCCACAGCAGCGGAACTGAAGACCTCAGGAAAGAGCTCTCTGGAGCTGCAGCAGGAAGCGGCCAGGACCAAGGGATCGAGGGGTCAAAGCAAGGGGAGGATTTGTTGGGGGAAGTAGATTCGCGGAAACGCGTCTTTTGCTGAAATACATTTTCCCAAATTTAAACCTGCCCCAGGTTTTTCAGCCATGCCTCACACACATGGGTAGACTGGGGCATGGTTACACTCACATAGGCAGCAGGAGCAGCCTCTGTCCCCCCTGCTGTTTACAAAGATGTAGTGGGGGAAGCGGCCTGCGCCAGGGACAATGGATGGGGTTATGTGGGAGCCTGGCCAGCTCTGCCTCTGGGGACCCTGTCTCCGACCCTGTTGTCACCTACAGGTGCCCTGGAGATCGGGCAGGTCCTCCCCATCCATGCTGGTCGCTACACCTGCACAGCCCGCAATGTCGCCGGAGTGGCCCACAAGCACGTGGTCCTCACCGTGCAGGGTAAGGCTCTGGCCAGGTCCCATCAAATCCCACTCCCCACGAGGCCCTTGGGAGAGGAGACCCGGCTCAGAGGTGTCCCAGGGACCTCTGTTCCCTGTGCTCTCGCAGCCTCCCCTGTGGTGAAGCCACTGCCAAGCGTGGTCCAGGTGGTAGCGGAAGAGGAGGTACTGCTGCCCTGTGAGGCCTCAGGCATCCCCCGGCCCACCGTCACTTGGCAGAAAGAGGGGTTCAGCATCCCTTCAGGTAAGACACAGTAGCCTGCAGGGGGTCCGGGAACCCATCTTCCCAGGAGCCCTCCCTGGCTTTCCTGCCTGCCCCAGAAGCCCCTGCAGGCCTTTGAGAGGCCCACCTGGCCCAGGGACTCAGTCCTCACCCCTGTCACCGCAGCCTGAGATCCCATCTGAGGGTTGAGAGGGTGTTTGGGCTTGGCTGCCGCCAGGCTTGCTGGTCACTTGGTCATTCCATCATTCCACAATCCCTATGAGTCATGTGGTGCCCTTCTTGGGGGCCCCGCTCCCCAACAGCCACTGATTTTCGCCCATCACACCCAGGAGGGCGGAGCCAGGTCCTCCCCAGCGGACAGCTGCGGCTCACCCGCGCCCACCCTGAGGATGCCGGGAACTACTTCTGCATGGCCCAGAACAGCGCGGGCAGCGCCATGGGGAGGACGCGGCTGGTGGTGCAAGGTGGGTTCCGGGAGGGGCCTGAGCTGGATCCAAGGACCGAAGCCTAGGATGCTCTGCCCAGCAGGGTACGTCAGGCACCCGCCCTACCCCAGCGCTGCCCATGTGGCTCCATGAGGAACTAGGGGAACGTTCCTCTCTTGCACTGGGACCGGCTTCAGGCACAAAGCCCACTGCCTCTGGGGACCCTCCCTCTGGTCTCCCTCCCTCCAGCCAGGGACTCTAGCTGGACCGTCCCTCTGGCATTTGGACTCACTGGTAGCAATATCCCGACACTGAGTATGCCAGCCGGTGACTGTCACTCTGCCCCACAATCCCCGCAGTGCCCCCTGTGATCGAGAGCAGCCTCCCTGACCTGTCTGCCACAGAAGGCTCCCACGCCCTCCTGCCCTGTGTAGCCAGGGGCAGCCCCGAGCCTGACATCCACTGGGAGAAGGACGGCCAGCCAGTGAGCGTGTCCGGAGCCCAGGGCAAGTACAGCCTCCAGCCCTCAGGAGAGCTGCTGGTGAAGAACTCTGAGGTGAGGCGGCCACTGGGAGGGTGCATGGTGACCACATTGCGTCCCCAGAGCGCACCAACTGGTTGTTCTTAAGCAAACCTTAATGGTGCTGGGCCCTGGGGCTGGGCGGTGTGGTGCCAGGGCTGTGGGTGGGGCTGCATCTGTGGGTGGGGCTGTGGATAGGATCTTGGCTTTGGCTAGGTCATGAGTATGGGTGTGGCCATGGTGGTGGGCGTGGCTAGGACGTGGGTGTGGCTTACATGTGGGCGAGGCCAGAATTTGGGTAGAATGTGATTTGTGCAGAGTCCTGGATATGGGTACGGCCATGGTGGTGGGCATGGCCAGCGTTGTTTAGGCCATTCCGTCCTGAGATCCCTGTGGTTAGTGTGATGTGGTCAGGGCCCGGATGATGAGAAGCAGCGCTCCTTCCCACAGCAGAGAAGCGCTGGGTGCAGTGGAGAAGCTGGCCTGCCACCAGCTGTGTGACTCTAGCAAGTGTTTTGGTTAGGGCTGCATGCTCCATGGGAACCTACTTGTCAGGGTCTCCAGGGTGGTGGGGTCAGTTCTCAGGCCAACACCCCCTCTCTCGCAGGGCCAGGACGCAGGCACCTACACCTGTACTGCGGAGAATGTGGTGGGCCGGGCCCGGCGGCGTGTGCATCTCACCATCCTGGCACTGCCCATCTTCACCACGCTGCCTGGGGACCGCAGCCTGCGCCTTGGGGACAGGCTGTGGCTGCGCTGTGTGGCCCGAGGCAGCCCAACCCCAAGCCTCAGCTGGACCGTCAACGATCTACCAGTCACAGGTCTGGGCTGCAGGGGGTGGCAGGTGGAGGCTGTGGGGGAGGAAAAGGCTGTCCATGGGCCCCACGTGCTCTGGTAAAAGGCCACAAGAGAGGAAGACTCAGGCCAGAAGAGGGCATGTCCTGGCCCAGAGCTGTGGTGCCCATCGTATGTCCTGCAGCAGCCCCTTGACTGATGACCAAACGCTTCTGCAGCCCAAGCCTCATGGCCTGGGATCCCCCCTTAGTGGATCTGACTTGATCATCCTGCCCCCTAGCGAGAAGGGGTGTTCGCTTTTGTTTTTCACCCTTTCCGAGTGCCCGGGTCCAGTTAGCTCAGGACACGAGGTCTAGGCCCTTGATGTTGGTCAGCATCCTGGGACCTTGCTTTCTCCTCCACAGAAGGTGTGTCCGAGCAGGATGGGGGCAGCACCCTGCAGCGGGCAGCAGTGACCAGGAAGGACAGCGGGACCTATGTGTGCTGGGCTGAGAACAGAGTGGGCCGCGTGCAGGCGGTCAGCTTCGTGCACGTGAAGGGTAGGACAGGACCCTGGATGCCTTCCATCCCGAGACAGCCAGGCAGCCCTGGTGCTTGCTTTCCAAGAGCCTAGGCTCCTGAGGCCGCTCCCTGCAGTGGACAGTGCGGTGCCAAAGAGGGAGGAAGACCCCTGAGGCCTGCTGGCCCCCTGCCCATCCCTTCCAGCCTGGCTCCTGGTAGACTCAGGAAGAGTAGAGCGCAGCCCTGAACACCCAGAGGTGTTTTGGAACCCCACTGCACTTCTGCCTATGACAGAGGGTTCTTGTGCTCTTGTTTTCCTATACTTCCTGCTTCCCAAAGTACCTGGCAGGCATCTGCAGCTAGTGTACTTGATCTGTGAGAGCAAGTACTAAAGACACACGTATCCCTGTGTTCCTGCCTGTGCTCATTTCAGACATCACTAATCAATTGCAGCATGATTCCCCTCCAGTCTCAGATGCTGCTCAGCCTAGTTCCAAGCAGCCACTGTGGTTCTTTGTGACAAGGCCCAGGCCCTGGAATTCGTGTTCCCAGTGCATTGATCACACACAGTCCCTGAAGGCAGAGGCTTGGCAGGACTTTGGCGATGGGTGTGGGAGTCGAACCTCCAGAAACTCTTCCCTGCTGACCCCTCCTTTGATGTTACCCTATGCAGAGGCCCCTGTCCTACAAGGAGAACCCTTCTCCCGGCTGGTGGAGCCTGTGGGGGGCAGCATCCAGCTAGACTGCCTGGTCCGTGGTGACCCAGCTCCCAACATCCACTGGACCAAAGACGGTCTTCCACTGTGGGACAGCCGCCTGCAGATACAGAATGGCTCGCTGACCATCCACAGGACCAAGGCAAGGGGTGCCCCAGGACAGTGCTGTGCTGCTTCTGATGGCTGGGGAGGGGACTTTTTAGTTTGTCACCGCCCATTACAGCCTACAAAACATTTCCTTCCCTGTTCCCCTAACACACTCCCACCATGACCAAGCTGACCTCCTGCCAGTAACTTAGGTTTTCTGAGTGTCAGTCACCCCAACCCCTTCGTGGGGGTCATGACTTTCCCACCTCCTATGAAATAGCAGGGATCAGGTAGCTGACCTGTGCCAGGTGTCCGAGAGTGGCTCTGCATCCCAGAGCATCCTTAGTAGCAATGCCCTGGACAGGGGTCAGTGATGCTTCCCCGCTGGACAGATGCAGAATTCACAATGCCCCATGGGAGAGGGGAGGCACATGCCTTCCCCGGGTCTGGAAACCTCGGGGAGGGGAGTGGAGAGCCCTGGCTCAGCCCCCTTTCTCCTGTGAGGACTGGCCACATGTCTCTGAGCTTTCATGTCTGAGGGTGTCTCAGGCCCTGAGCTCACCATGCAGCTGTCCTGGGTACAGGTGTCAGTGGGGCTGGGAGAGCAGCCACCACCACCATAGCCACCGCGGCCAGTCCCCACCTCACACTTCACAAGCGTCAATCTGCTTAACACCTGCAGCGGTGCTCGTGGAGCCCGGGTGGTGGCACAGGCCTGTGATCCCAGCGCCCGGGGAGGCCGAGGCAGAAGGATCTGCATCCAAGTCCAGCCTGGGCCACTTAGCAATTTAGTGAGATCCTGTTTCATGGGGGAGACTGTCATTCCATATGCAGGTCCTGGGCTCAGTCTTTAGTTCTGAAAGAAACCCTCATGGATCTCATCCTCACTGTTGAGATGGGGAAACTGAGGCTCCAGAGACATATTGCATGGCAGTAATGGTCCCTACCATGAACCAGTAGGTCTGAGACTGTCTCAGGTTGGTCTGGCCTCAGAGTCTGTGTGGCTGCCCATGGTGCAACCTCCTGGATTCACTGGGGCTTGGGCATGGCCTCAGGCTGCCTGCTGCCTTTCCGGGTGAGGCAGGCACTTCTGTGTCTGGACAGACCGATGGCCATGAATGTCCAACACACCCGGTGCCCTGGCCACTTACACTAGCGGAGTCCTGCTGACTCGGGAGCCCTAGAAGGTGCACGGTGCTGGCCGGTGCAGTCCATGTCCCGGGGAGTCCTGTAGGGCTGGAATGTGTCGTCCCATTCGGGGCTTCCCAGGGAACTTCACCCACAAAGCCTCGCTTTTCTCCCGAGAAGCCTGGGTTAGGGACTTGGAGCCGAATGGCTCAGCCCAGCCCGTTTGGAAGAGGCAGACTGTTGTGTAACCCCACCGGCAGGCGGCTCCTCTTGGGGCCTCCAGCCAGGGCTCCTTTTCTGGGTGTGAGCGCGCTGGCTCCCTGTGTGACTGTTGATAAGTGGCTTTGGGGTCCCTGTGGGGGGTGGCACATGGGTTCTGACGGCCACTGCCCCACCCTGGGTCCTGGTCTCCCTGCAGATGGCTGACGCGGGCCAGTACCAGTGCCTGGCGGAGAACGAGGTGGGCGCCGTGAAGAAAGTGGTGACCCTCGTCCTTCAGAGTGAGTCTTGCCCTGGCCCTGGGCATGGACACTTGTCTCCAGAAGCAGGGGATGAAGAGGGCGTGCTCAGGGGCTGTGTAACAAATGTTTGCTTGTAACCCACAACTGAAGTCCTAGGATGCAGTGCTTAAGCACTGGGTCATTGTTCATAGCTCAAAGCTGCCACTGAGGTCCTCGCAGTGACGCTAAGTGCTCTGTGAGCTCCGGAATAACCCGAGAGAAAGTCTCTGGGAGGATTTTTAGAGAACAGTGTGCTGAGACAAATGGGCACACAGAGAAGGGCGTGTGTGCCAAGTGTCTGATGCCATGGGCTTTCATAATAGGGGTCCTCCCAGGACCCCCAGCAAGCCCGTCCAAACACTGCCTCCACCCCAGTAACGGTTCCAAGGTTTTGCCTGGTTTTATTTTTTAAAAATACACAGCTCTATTGAAGTATAATTTATAGAACATAAAATGTACCCATTTGTGGTAGAATATTATACAGCCCCAAAGGGTGGCACATGCTACCATACGACATGGATGAGCCTTGAGGACACCGTGCTGGTGAAGTAACCAGGTTCCCTTATATGGGGTCTGCAGAGCAGTCAGATTGATGGAGGCAGAGGGGAGGAGGTTGTCAGTGTCTGGAGGAGGTGGTGTTTGAATGGGTACAGCCTTGGGTTTTGCTGCAGGAGTTGTGTTGGGTTGCACAACAGCGTGGCACACGGCACTGCGGCACTGGACACTTTAAAGGGGTCACTGTGATAGCCCTGCAGCTGCCCATCTCTTTACTGCTTTCCTCAGGACAGTGCTGGGGGTGGAACCCAAGCCTCACACATGTTAGGCAGGAGGATGGTTCCTTTAAACCCAGCCTAGCAATTTAAGGACCCTGTGAGACCTGGTTGCAAAAAGTTCAACAGTGTCTGCCACTGGCTCCACACCTCGCACTACTGCAGTTTTTAAGTGAGAAAAATTTAGAGTGTGAGTATACAGCTGAGCGTGGTGGTACACACCTGTAATCTCAGCCCTCAGGAGGCTGAGGCAGGAGGATCCCCACAAGTCTCCATGAGGCCAGTCTGAGCTACCTAGTGAGTTCAAAGCCAGCCTGAACCATGTATCAAGACTCCATCTAAAGCCCCTCTCTATACACAAAAATACACAGTGGATCCATTGGTGGTCAGTTTATAGAGTAATAGAGACATGATCACAGCCCCTTTTCAGGAGATTTCTCTCCCTCCAAAAACATTCCCTTTCCCCTTTGCCATCCCTCCCCGCTCCCAGCCCGAGCCCAGGCAGCCGGGCCTCTGTCTCAGCGATCTGTCTCCGAGGCTTCCACTGTCCTAAGTGTGTCTTCCTTTTCAGTGTTTTGGTTAGTGCCCCTCTGCAGTGTGCAGTGGTTGTGAGGCTCTAACCTTCGCTCTTTCTGCGTCCCCTGCACTTGCGTAAAAGATCTGCAGGGTTCACAGAAGCCAGTCCTGCGGAGTCTTCAGCCCTGGCTCCTTCCTTTCTGTGCCTTCTGGCTTTCCTTCCAGCCTTGTGTGCCGTTTGGCCCATGCCCATCTTTTAATTCTCCCCACCTTCGTAGGAGAGGCTGACCCCGCCTACCTTGTTCCCCTGGTTCCCCGAGCTACGGCTTTCCCATCTGCTCCTGGACCGCCTGGGTAGCTTCTCTGGTGGAGCCCATTCTCATCTGGCTCCCACTGAGTCTTTGTCTTAGTGAGTCACAGGGCTGCTTCAGAGGCTGGTGACAAGTCCTTCATGAGACACAACGTTTAGTGCTGGCTACAGCAGATTCACTAAAACTGGACCAATAGGAGAGGATTAGTATGGCCTCTAGGCAGGGGTGACACACACATTTGTGGAGCATTTCAGATCAAATACACGATTTACAGACATCTTGGTCTGTAGCTTGTCTTTGTCTTAATGGTGACATGGAAGAGCAGAAGGTGTGAAATTTAACGCAATCTAGATGTATTATTTCTGTACTGTTTGGATCAGATAGGAAGGGTGATGTCTAAAACACATCTTTAGCTGGGCATATTGGCACAGACCTGTAATCCTAGCAATTGGGAGGCTGAGGCAGGAGGATCCTTACTAGTTTGAAACCAACCTGGGCTACAAAATGAGCTCAAAGCCAGCCTGAACTGAAGAGCAAGACCCTGTCTCAAAAAGACAAATAAATAAATAATGAAAAATAAAATACATCTTTGCCTCACCTAAGGTGACAGTTTTCTTCTAGGATGTCCAGAGTTGCGGTTTTTGTATCATTTAGGTCTGTTTTGAGTTCATGTTTCTGTGAGGTATGTGTCTAAATTCTTTTTTGATTTCTTCTGGTACTGGGGGTCGAACCTGGGCTTTTACACTAGGCTACATTCCCAGACATCGTTAAATTTTTATTTTGCAAGTGGGTCTCACAAGGTCCTTAAATTGCCAGACTGGGTTTAAGGTAACCAGCCTCCTGCCTCAGCTTCCCAGAGTTATGGGTTGCACAACAGCGTGGCACACGGCACTGCGGCCCTGGACACTTTAAAGGGGTCACTGTGATAGCCCTGCAGCTGCCCATCTCTTTACTGCTTTCCTTAGGACAGTGCTGGGGGTGGAACCCAAGCCTCACACATGTTAGGCAGGAGGATGTTGCCATGCTTTGCTCTTTTTTTCTTTCTTTCTTTCTTTTCCTTTACGGATGTCCAGTTGTTCCAGGATCATTTATGCAGGGCATTCATTTCTCTCAGTGATATTTTGTAGTTTTGGATATACGGTCTTAAACTTCTTTGTTAAATTGATTACTAAGTATTCTATTATGTTTAGTTCCTTTTTTAGATATAGGACCTATCTTTATATTTCAAACTGGCCTTGAACTCCCTAGCTGAGGCCTCAAACTTGCAGAGATCCTTCTGCCTCACCCTCCTGAATATTGGGATCACAGCTGTGTGCCACCAAGTCTGGAACAGATGCTGCTCTGGATCTAATAGTTTTCCTAGTTTGATTTCTCCTTGTTCATACACAGAAACACAATTGGTTTTCATATCTTGGTCTCATCTCCATTACCTTACTAACTTGGCTCCTAGGCCTGGTCACTTCATAGTGGGTGTTGTACTCCACTCAAAAAACAAGGCCCCATGACGAAAAACGGGGCAAGACCCCAAGATGACAAACGGGGCAAGATGTCTTTTTAAAAGAAGCGCTTTTATTTTAGCTGGCCCAGCGACACAGTGCAGATGGAATTTGCAAAGCTGTGCAACTGAGTTAGAGTTTTGACTGATTTTTATAGTTCATTTATGATTAGCTCATTGATCATTAAGTACATAGTGATGAGAAACAGAAGTAAGGTGGGCCTTTGTTCCCCTTTGCTTGAGGTCAGAGGCATTTCACAGTGGGTGGTTAGCCAATTTATAGCCCTTGGTCTGCCAATTCCAGGAACATTTGTCTCTCATGAAGGGAACAATGGTTGACACAGCATCATTTGTCTCTTACAAGGGGAACAAAAGTTGACATAGCACACAGGTCACTAAGGTGGGGGGGATGACGCATTACAGAACAGCAGAGTGACGCGGTCAATTAATTTATGACTATGTGGTTGGTGCTTGGTTACTGGGGTAATGAGCTCAGTACAGAATGACAATATTACTAGTAACTATCTTTTTAAGTAACTATTTTTGTTAATTATCTTTTAATCAATTATTTTAATTTTTAGCATCTTAGTACAACATTCCCCACTGATTTTTGTCAGTGATCCAAATCATTGGCTCATGGAATTTTCAAGCAGTGGTATTTGTTCATAAACTTGTATCCTTAAAACCATGAGTTTTATTGCTTTAACCTGGTCTTTGACATAATTTACTAATCTGTTTATAATGCAAGGTCCAATTGTTAAACAAGTAAGTAAGATTAACAGAGGTCTGGAGGCTGCTATGATTAATGTTGTCAACCAGGGAGATAGAGAAAACCATCATTTAAACCAATTCTGTTTAGCTTGTCTGGCTTGTTCTCATTCCTGTAGCCGCCTTTTAAGGCTGGCCATACTTTGTCTGATAACCCCAGAATGATTGGCATACAAACAACAATTTTCTCCTAATGCTAGACAAAGACCTCCTTCCTTTAGGAACAGGAGATCTAGAAACCACCGGTTTTGTAAAACCATCTCAGTCAGTGAACTTAAAGAATCGTCTAATTTGGAGACAGAGTAACTAAGGGCTGCTAAATCTTGGTCAATGAGTGCATGTAAGTGTCTATAATTTTGGTCTTTTGACTATTAGGCTGGACACTCTTAAATCTATTGACCTTGTTATCTCAATTTTTAGTAATACAGGTAATAATACAGGATTTTTTTGTTGTTCTTATTGGACTCTTTAAGTCAAAGCTAGGGAACAAGTGACTCTTACCATTATCTCTAGAGTACCAATACACTTGGGGAAAGATATGGACTAATATGTAAAGCTCAGGGCACTGGGTGAACAAGTGATGCATGGAACAAGGAGTTATATTAGAAGTACAGGCAAACCAGGCTCCATTGGGAACAACAAGGTGTTGATTAGCAGGATAGGAAAAAGTATAAATCAAAGCTGAAGAGGTAGGATTACAGAGTGCAGCATAAGGGGAAGTGTGCAAGGAGTAGGAGGCAGAGTAAACACAGGTTCCTGGAGCACCCTGTACATTGTCCAGTGTGAGCAGGGGCTTAGCATCTCACCAACAAAAGGTGTCGTCTCTACAGGAATTTAAAAGTTGATTTGCCATAAGCAATGTCCAGAGGCAAGAAGGGGCTAGAGATGTCACAGAAATCGCAGAGGGCAAAAAGGTCTCAGGAGCAGGAAGTCTAGTGGAGGAGAACAGAAGATTGGGTCTCCAGAGTGAGGAAAAAGGTAATGACTCCCTTTATTTTTCTGTCAAGGAGATACAAATTTACAACCCCAATGTCTACAAAAATATTTCGTCTCTATGGACTGTGAACACCTATGATGAGAGGCTGGCTGTTGGTTTTGGGGGGCAAAGATATCAGCCAGTGGACTGTAATTTCTTTTGAC